TGTCCTCACATGACTGACATCTGCAGCTAATATCCAATTAACCCAACAACATCACAGATAATGGAGAATCCCTGTCTGTGATTACCTGAATGTAAAGCACAACAATGAACAAATGGTACAGTGTAACCATGCAGAAGAAAAGTTATCCATATACATGGGCTAATACAACGCACACAGCTGGAAGTAAAGGGCTTGATGCAGTGAGAAATGAACTCGTTTTGAGGGCTGACAGCTAAATTTACTGGCACACAAGGCCAGAGCGGGAGCTCGGCAATGACAAATGAAGTGTATGGAAATGAGCTTGGCTTTAACATTATGAATAAGCTTGTTTCTACATTACCCAGCACATGGATGCCAGTAATGACAGCGCAGTGTCTTACTTAAGCACAACAGGAAATCAGAAAAACAGAAAAAAAACGTACATTAGTTTTGCCTTGAGCGCAAAAATGCACTATTATACGCCAGACCTTGGGAATGACTGGCTGGCAATGGAAGTGGAAATTGTTCTTCATTTTGTAATAAATTGAGAAAAATGGAAGTCGTGGGGGGAAAAACCTGCTGGATTCTAGGGTGAGTAATGAAAGTGTCCCTGTACAACAGAGAGTTGTTTACTGCAGCAAAGCTTTGATTCTTATCGTGATGTTTCAGGCAGAACATGCGAGGTTTAGACCCTTCAGGCAGACGCATGTCAGTTCTGCAGTGCTACTCTGTAGAAAAGCTGCTGAATTTTCCTTCTTGCCATGGTATCGATAGTGATCAGAATTACCGCCACAGAGCATAAGACCAGTCATTTAGAAAAGCTTTTAGCTGGCAGTGCAGTATAATAGTAAGGGGACAAAATGGCATGCTCAGATAATGCGTAACTAATGCATGAGTCATGATGACTTTATAAATCACAAATTAATGTAGGATGTATCACAAATTCCAGTGAGTCTTTTTTCTATCACTTGGGTTATTTGTTGTGATTGAAGGTAAAACACTGTACATAAACATATGAGACAATCTGTGACTTGTCTGACTTTGTCTGATTACAGTAACATCCTGCAAACTGATTTCTGTGTTTATATGTCCAGTAAAGCCTTTCAGTTAAATCCAGTGATGTTCTATTTACAGTTCGAAAGTATGCAAGAGGCTAGGGTTTTTGTAGAATTTGACTCGCATGGCATCAAAATCCATCACAACATCCGCCTTGATGATATTTAAAAGAATGGGGAAGCCCTTCAAATGGGCTCTGGGGATCGAAACAAAACCTGTGCTGGACAGCCTGAGGTTTCCCACATGAGCGAAAGAGAATGTGCAACCAAATACACACACATCACAGAAGAAATTCTTGCACTCAGCACTGGAATCACTCTGCAGTAGCACTTGCTTAAGGCACATACCAGGCAGGACAAGATCCAAAAAGTGGATTGTGAAAGTTATTGGGCTCTTTTATTTATTTATTTTTATAGCACATCAAAGATGGAGGCTAAAGTGATGGCTGTTGGTACTCTACTTTTGTGGATCCACAATTTGCTTAATCCATGCAAGCGGTAAAAAGTAGCAACTGATTTCATCATGCACACTACCTCACTGCCAAAAAGGATCCAGTCTACAAAATGTCTGGAGTGTCTGATGCCATTCGGGTTGTCGTGTCACCCATCTGGAACATATCTGGAAAAACAACTTCGTAGTCTGTTCTATTCACTTCATGATTTTGTACGATTGGTTGTTGAAAACACTTGGCTTCAAATCAAACCTTGATTTTGGCTGCAAACCTTAATGAGATACAATTCAAGCTCAGCTGATCATAAAGGGAGGAAGAGCATAGATGAGATTCAGCCAAGGCCCTGAGCTTGAATAGAATTTCTAACTGGTACTTTTAACCCTTATCTTTCAAAACAAATATGTTAAAACCTTTAATGCTGTTTAGAAATGGAACACATGCAAAGAATGCCGGTTTGAATGTGTCTTTGTATTTCATTAATATAAACTAGCAAGACACAATAATGTTTAATTAAGGGACAATAAAAGGTTTGCCTGAATGACATGTTTAGTTTTTAAATGTTTTTGTTTTATGATTGTCACATTGCTTAATTGTATGATGTATGACAATTATAAGCACGTAGTCACTCAGCAGAAGCATTCGATCCTCATACATTACTTTGGCATTTACTTGTCCTATTACAAAGTGGTATTGATTCATTCTGTGGTGTGAAAGTGAATGCAGATGAGAGGCCACATTATGAGCACAGTGTGCCTCCGACTGAAGGAGAGCAGTCAGACGTGATGGGGGAGAGGGTGGGAAATTGTGCAGTCTCGGGAAATTGGGCAGAAATTGAGCAGCAAAGCACGGCTGCTCCAGCGGCCCATGAGCCACGCAGCTCCAGTGGTTTGGGGCCACCTCAGACAAAAGCCTAACAACCAGGCTGTAAGTGAAAGGGGCCTCTCGAGTGTGAAACCCTTCTCTGTCTGAGGCTGCAGATGTGAATTGTTGTGCCTCCGAACGCGTCACCAAATTACCCTAATTGGCAGCCTGTGAACCTCTGTATCCCCCCTCTCTCCTGAATACGAAACGAGCCGGAGCACAGAAAGGAATAAGGAGGAAGATGCAGCGCGCTAAGTTATAATGTATGAGAAGTAAAATGATTTTGCAGCGGCTCTATCACTACAATTTTCCCTTTTCATTGAGGAAAGCACTATTTCATTCATGCCATTTCCGTTCATTCATCAGCTGGGGCCAGCCTAGACTCACAGTGCCATCTCCCCACCAACACTCTTATCAATGGAAGTGACGTCAGCAGTGCCTGCAGCTGGGTGGTGGTGGTTGGCGATCACGTGGTCCACAGAGGGTATATACAACATTGATGCGCTGATCGTGGTGCTGAAAACATTTACTCAATAGTACAATAGCGCCAGTGCCGCTGCGATTCAAAAACACCTTTAAACTAAATAAAGTCTCTTTCGCTTTTTTTTTTGTCTCGATGTTGGTAACAGGCTGAAAATATCTGGGGGGGAAACAGAAATTCTCTCAGTTGATCCACTATTCATGATATTTTTTTGGCTTTTCCCGGGCGTTGTGAGTTTTACCACTTCCCCACCCCCAAGTGGGACTTCAGGTAAGTGGAATCTCATTTTGTATCATTCAAAAGAAAGTCTGATCAGATAGATGATAACATTCCCTCCGCGAGTCTTATTAGCAGATGTTTGAAAAGGGAAACGTTACGTGCATGTGGAGAATGATTGCAATTCTTTTAATATCCCAACATTATCGCTAAAATGAATCTTTTTCATTTATTACTTATTGGCTGATTGTAAAGTAGACACAATCTTCGTTTTTACGATGGAAAAATCACATTCAGTTATAACTATGTATTCGAGTAGATTTGACAACTATTTCAAAGAAACATATTTAAAATAATATTTTATTTTCATTTCACAAATTTGAAAAAAGCTATTTTTTGACAAAGTTCACATTATTGTTAAGGTTGTAAAAGTAATAATTAAGTCCAATGTAAAAAATAAATTGTTTTTGATTTGACAATTTGATTGAAAAAGTGAGACTTTGCTCTGCGCAGATTTTTAAAACATTTACTAAATAATACTGTGCAGCATCTTCTCCGTAACCCGTGCATTATGGCCTAATAATTTTTTTTAAACGTAAAAAACAGCCAAAATTGTATATATTTTAAAAAATGAATAAAAAGAAAACAACAACCCTGTATTGTGTCCATTTTTCTCTCTTTAAAAAAAATGTATTTGTGAATGCAATGGCTTAAATGGCTTTGCAAATTTCCTCAATAACTCAAAGAGATTTTTCGGGTCTGGTGAATCCAGTTTTAAAAAATTGGAAATAATTAAATTTTGAGATGTTTAACAAAAATTGTGCGCTTGTCAGCATTCCACTACTGTCTCTGAGGAGAAACGCGCTCGCATCATATGGGGACAAAGCTGCGTGGTCTCTCCGGCTGCTCCCTCGATCCCTTGCGCAATGAGCCTTTATCCCCCAAATTAAACCCTCTGCTCGTTTACTATTTGGAGTCACTCAGGGACCGTAGGGTTAAAATTCAGCCTTAGCCACAAGCTTTACGCATGACTTCCCGGTGAGTGCCATCTTTCCACCAGTGCCCTGGCGAATCGCTTTGGCGCACAGGTGAAACGGAGTCAAGGCTCGGATAAATCCTACTTTTTCACGCATTTGTAAAGCAATGGTAAAAATGGATAGTGCGGGCGTCCTGGATGCATTGACTTGGAGGAAAAGGTGAGGTTTTTCTACATAAAGAAAACAGAAAGACTCTTTTGCCGGTAATATTTTAAAACCGTAACAAATGTGTCGATTAAATCAGGATGTGGACGGAAAAACGCCACAGCGTCTGTTATTCTTCATCAATAAATCCGCACCATGTCAATAGGATGGCGTGGGTTAACGCGCCACTTGAGGGGGAAATGGCCAGTGTGTTGGGTCGAGACGCAAAGTCGATTACCTTCCTTATAGAAGCGTATTTACGCCCGTAAATTAAACGAATTCTAGCTGGTTTACAATTCTCCTAAATGTTCATGTTTCCTCGTTCACACAGACTGGTATACATAAACGGCAAATAATGCGGCTGGTGCAAAATATTGAAACTAGAGCGGATTTTTTCGCAAAAACACTGCATTTGGCATGGCTCATTAGACTGCCTTCTCGCCCGGCTTTGCTCTCAAATGTTTGGAAAATTAAACAAAAGAACTGTATGTGGTGTTAATTGCTTCCAGCATCTGGCTTGAAAAGATCAATTGTTTGCAAATGAAATACAAATGGCAGCCTTAATCTGTGGCATGCTCTGTGAGCTTTCATCTTTAAGTCAAGTTCATCATTCAGAAAAGAAAAGCAAAGCTACATGAAATTCAAAAGATCCCAGTTTTCATTCAAATTCCAGAGAAAAAAGTGTGATGACCTGTGAATTATTTCTTATGTGTCTTCTCTCTTTGCCTCCCTTTCTTCTTCTCCAGGTGCTTAACCTCCCTCCTGCCAGTTCTGCATGGTCATGACCTGTCATCACGCCTTTTCCACAGCCCACCTCATCCTATTGGTCCTGCTCATTGTCACTCCACATCTAACTGGCGCCGCCCCTGTGTGGGGTGTGGGTGGGGAGGGGGGGGTCGAGGGGCGCACCCGGAGAGACCGTGAAGAGGACAGCCTTGCCTCCTTTTTCTCTACCCCACCTCAGAGTTTCTCCGGCCCTGAAAACGCATCCATAGACCGGGGTCGGAGCCCGGGTCAAGATAACCAATTAGATAAAGTGACGGACCCTGCGCAGGTGCTCGCCGTTCTCTTGGAGTCCCTGGACCGCCCGGGAGACAGTGAAATCCCGGCGAGCCAAAACAGAGACTGGGAAGAGGATCAGAGTCTGAAGCAGCCCTCCATTGAAGGCTTGGAGGGTGGCAAGATAAGGAGAGCAGAGCAGACAGAGGGAGAAAGGGGAATGGAGGAGCAAAAGGAGGGGCAAGGGGCTGATAAGGCTATTGAAGAGCTAATTTTAGGCCATTTGACAGCTGCTCAGGGGGATGACTTGAACGAAAAGGGGGAGGACGAAGATAGAACTACAAGGTCAGAGGAGGATCAGAGGTGGTCCATGGAGGATGTAGGTCCTGATAGTGCAAGTGAAGAAGAGAGGAAAGAAGAAGAGGAGACGCAAGAAGAGGGCGATGATTTAGAAAGTGTCCCAGACAAGGATAGATCTGGTTCTACCTTACAGGTAGATGATCCCGCTCTGCAGCGCAAAATTAGAGGCTACTTCCAAAACATTGACTTGGGTCTTCAAGACAATGAGATCCTGCCTCCGCTGAAGGGCTATAAGGCTTACAACACTCAGTTAGCGCGGGTTGGGAAGAAGCAGCACTGGCAGGATAGCCGGTCTGGCAACAGACCAATCAAGGGTGGAAATTTCATGGATGACTTTGAGGATGAGGGAGAGGAGCTGGAGGAGGAGGTGGAGGAAGAAGAGGAGAGCCTCTCCCACATGGAGGAGGAGGCGAGGGCACGTGCAGAGAAACAGGAGGTTCTCAGGCAGCAGGAGGAAGCAGAGCGAGCCAGAGAAGAAGAGCAGAGGCTTGCAGACATCGCCTCCGACATGCTGCTGCAGTACATGGGCAGGAAGCAGCAGGCGTACATGAAGCCACGTCAGAAGAGCAGCAACACCGCCGAGGATAAGCGCTCAGAGGAGGTCCTCCCTGATGAAGATGACCTGGACCAGCAGATGATTGACAGGCTGATTGAGATCAGCAGCAAGCTGCACCTGCCTGCCGACGACGTGATTGAGATTATCAGTGATGTGGAGCAGAAGAAGAAGAAAAGGAAAGAGCTGCAACAGCAGCCACTTAACAGCAACCCTGTTGCTCCGCGTTTTAGGCCTCTGGTACCTCCTCCTCTAGCCGCGCCACCTATTTACCACTTCACAGCCTCAAAGAACCCTAAGAAAGCCCCATATAAGTACAACAAATCCAACAAAAAATGGCACAAGGACAAGGTGAAGTCATACAAGCAGGACTATTGGTATAAGCCTCAGAAGCAGCTTGACTACTGGTATAAACCCCAGAAACAGTTTTTAGCTTTCCCCTCTTATCCATACTATCAAAAGCCATATCGAGCCTACTACCCCGTTTACTTCCCATATCCTAAACAACAATATTATGGCAAGCCCTCTCCCTCCAGAGACCAACCCTTTGGCCCCCAGGAACTTGACCTCCAGCCCCCACGACATAGGCACAGGGTAGGGGGTAAGAACCGTGGACAGGGCTGGAGGCAGCAGCCACCACGCTTGCCTATCACCCCTTATATCTCTAACTATATCCTTCCTCACCCACGGACCTACCAACCATTACCCCCTCCCAAGCCAATAATCACACCCAGGAGGGGCAGGCGACCCCCGTACTACTACCCGCAAGTCACACCGGGAGATGACTATGAGGAAGATGGGTTGGTGCCTCAGCTGGACAGTGAGGAGGAGCTGGAGAACTTTATTGAGAGGATCTACATGAAGCGCAGAATGTATTGAGAGATTTTTTGGACATTGTCAGATCAAAGAGACTGACAGAAGTGGGGTAGACTGAAAGTAGCTAAAAGCAGAGGAGAAATAAAGGACTAAAGGTGATGTGTTCAGAGCCTGATTGCAGTTTAAGGTCTGATGGGTGCAAAGTTCAGTTTCTGTTTTTAATCACTATAATTTAGTTGGTTTTCTCAGTCAGGGAGAGGATGAAGAGATCCCACTTTGAGCTCCCTGTAACCATGTTCAGCCTCTTGATCAGTTTACATTTTGAAACAGAGCATACCATGGCGTATGTCTGCCTCCATTCAGGTCGATCTCTGAATTTCAGAGAATTCTAGAGGACAAACACACACACAAATATATATAGACGCAAAAATGTACACAGAGGCATGCATACACACTCCTCTAGTTTCACATCTTTGACTCATTCACAAGCAGATTTACCCATTGTAAGAAAACTACATTGACAAGTTTCTTTGTATCTTTTGTTCTGCATTCTGTAAATCACATAACAAAACTAAAGCAGTTCACTTACTTTTCAGCTATATATGAATAAGAACACTGCTACTGTCAAATGATGACACTTTAGGTGTATTTGATGTGTTTAATGCCTTTTCTTATGCCTGATTGGAAAAACGTTAAACAGCTGCAGTTTTAACACACACACATTTCAGTTGTTCAAACTCAAGATTCAGATTTTTGCCTTACAATCACCATAGAAAAGGGAATTGTCACTCTGCATATTACTACCATCACACATGGTCCCGATGTAGAAACCCTGTGGACTCCAAAAGCACAAACTTAAACTCAAAACACTTCCAACCTGGTGGACCAAGGGTTGTCTCTCATTTAGGGAATATTGTGTCAACATATCTATAGCAGATCCACCATTATGAACATAGCCACCATCATACCTTTCTTGTGGTTTATCTCAGATCCAAATTTCTGACTGTTTTTTAAAATGTTTTTCTCACATTGCATTCCATCCAATATCTCTGTTTTTATATTTTGTTTAAAAAAAAAAACGCCTTGTAAAACTGATTTCCATTGAGAGGCTACTAGTATTCTGTTCATTTTCAGAAATTCATTGAGAAGCTTCAGGCCGGGGAGTCAGGGATTGTGCTTAAACCGTTAAATGCACGTCTTTCTACTTGCATCTTAAAAAATGAACAAAAAAAAAGAACAAAAAAAGAGAAAAATAAAACAGTGTGGAGAATTCAAAATGTTGTTTTCTCTAAGAAAAACTGTGAACATCAACAAAAAAAAACTCAAAGGAAGAGGGCCACTGTGTCCACAGTGAAGCCATCTGTCTTGTAAAAGGAGAGTGTTGTATTTGATGTCACCTTTAGCATTGTAAGATGTACAGTGTGAAATAAATATGCCCGTGCAATGTGTAAATAACAGCATGATGATTAATAGTTTTGCTATATGACAAAAAATAAAAGCAATTATTTTATTAAAGTTCAGTTTTTTAATGGCTTTTTGGAGAGTGCTATCTTGAATTTATACAGCAGCAAGACCACTTGGTTCTTGAATAAGTAAACGATCCAAAATTGAACAAAGACAAAGGCAGTCAGCTTAACCATAGTGACAGCACGACTCATATATGTCAGAGTCACATCAGTATGGAGACAAAAGAAAAACGTCTATATAGGGAGTTTATTATATTTCCAACAAATCAAGAAGACCGAAAAAACAAACAAACAAACAGAGTGAATGGGGATAAAAGGAGGAGAAAAAGAATTGAAACATTCTGAAGGAGGGAGGAAAATGGTAACTGCAGTGATTGATGAGTCACATGATTGGTGGATGAGTCATCCAGCTGTACACTTCACTGCGCAGGACCACACACTCAAACGCATACACAAACACACGCAAACACACATGCATTTGCACATTCTTTTTGAGCTGTATAGTCATTTAGCTGCTGGTATTCAAGATTAAGATTAAATCATGTTTGCTTCAGCCTGGAACCTGCTGGTCGACCGGTGGAAAGGTACTGGTAGATTTGGTTCAGCCATATCTTGTTTCCACACCTCCCCTCACTGTCACGTCACACAGGCAGTATGCCCCTCTGCTGTAATTCCTTGAAGTGTACCCAGTTGTCACTTGTTTGGCATTAAAACAAACTTCTTGTGTGCCATCAAGAGCATGAACACTTATTTGTAGCCTGTCAACATGCTCTCAACAACATGTTTTTCTGTCAGCCTGCTCTTCACTTGACTTAAATAGGACTTTCATGGTTGGACCTTGACGGGTTATTTTTCCTGAATACCATGTCATATCTTCATATTTAGTAATAGTTTTGTGTCTTTGTGCGTCTTTAAAAAATGACAGCACGACAGAAACAGACGACTCTATCACAGTTGCTTCTCAATCGGCAGAAAACATTTTTATTAAATTTCTGACACAGTTGATGTTATGTCAGCATTCATACAATGCTTTATGAGGTACCAGATTACTGTTGGCACACCTTAATGCCACAGATGTACAAGATCTAGAGTGAGCTTCACCAGGGCCTAGTATCTCAGAGGTCAGGCAAGCTTCATCCCAATCATTGACATCAATGTAGGTTCTAAAGAGGAAGCTGTCAGTGAAGCATTTAATTTGAAAAAATCTTTTAAATCTTCCATCCATCATCAACACCACTTATTCCCTGACGGGGTCACAGGAGCCTATCCCAGTGGTCAACGGGCAAGAGGACACCCTGGACAGTCCATCACAGGGCCACACACAAGACATACAAGGACAAACAACCACTCACACTCAGTCCTAAGGGCAATTTGGAATGTCCAATCAACCTAACATGCAGGTTTTTGGACTGTGGGAGGAAGCCAGAGAACCCATGCAGACACAGGGAGAACATGCAAACTCCACCCAGAAAGGTCCTGGGTCCCCTGGGACTCGAACCCAGAACCTTCTCACTGGGAGGCGACGGTGCTAAGCACCACACCACCGTGCCGCCCCCAACCTGATCTTAAAAGGTGTAAATGCAGTATTTCTGTCATATTATTGTCACATACTGTATAGCATTGACTTTTTGATGACTTTTTAAAATCAATTTTTGATAAATATCAATGTTCAGATCCACAGAAATAAAAAATAATATGTAAATGCTGTGGTGGTGGACAGCTGAAATAATAGTTGTATCTATCTAATTCCATTGTTTTCTGGCAGAAAAATAAGATGCAATATAAGATCTACCCACACTCAAACACCAATGTAGCTTTCAAATAATAACTTGTTAAAGTAAATGGTTTCACACATAAACATCCAATAGTTTAGGACACTTTCGAGCAATAAAGTTAGACTGCGCATAGAAATATGTTTGCTGCTTTGAAAGTAAAGACTGGGCTACAGCAGATTTCTCAAAAGCTGTTCAAAGACCAACGATGTTGCCGCTCCTAACCTGATGAATGTTTTTAAATGAAACATGATTCTGGAAAAACCTCCACGTTTCTTGATTTCCCAGCTAATTTCTCATTGTTGAACACAACAAACCCCATTGGCCATGCTCTGTCTAGTCATTAAGACAACAGAAGCAGACCAGGGTTGCTCAGATTGAAACACATCCCTTGTTTATGATCTCCAAAACCCGTGTCTTTTCACTCTCTACTTTCATCTCTTCCTTGCCTTTCTTTGTCCTACTCCATACCCTCCTTCCCATCTACTCTTTTTTTCCTCCAATTATCCATACCCCCCACTCCTCCCTAATGCTGCCTAACACCCAATCTTCTCTCCTTTTCTTCACTACCCGCTCTCCATTTCTTGTTTTGTATGCAAGCCCCAAGGGAGAGAAATGGGTGAAAAACACTCTCTCTGCACCACTGTCACAAAAGACTGGTGAGTCATCTCCACTTATGTTCCTGTCTCCCTCCTCCCACAAAAAAAAACAACACACGTACAGGAAAAACACTCAAATTACCTGCCATGCACTTACAGGAAGACATGCACAGAAGCACACATGTTGGTCATTTTGTAGGCAACAGTCACATTGTATGGAGACAACGGTACACACACATTACACAGCTCACCAAAACGACCCTGAATTAAAACCCAGGTCACATACATTGTAATAAAAATGGTAGTCACTTATTTTTGATCACTTGCACTTATTTGACAACTACTTTTGGTTTATAAAGGAACACTTGTGTTGTGGTGAGTACAGAACATAAAGAATAGCTCTGCGGACTGCGAGTTAAACAAGTACAAGATAGAAAGAGGAGAAAAGACAGAAACACAAAAATGTCCATTGTTTAAAAATGTTTGGCCACTTAAGGTCTCTGAGAAACAGGAGAAATCCACTACCTCCATCTGCTGGATGACTGATGCAATGCCGCTGTCAGGCTTATGTGAACAAGATGGCAGTTCTCAATGGGCAGCTATCTATTTATCTGAATTGCATTAAATAAATGACAAATAGAGAAGTGGAAAATATATAGAATTTACAGAAAAGGAAAATAAAAAGTTAAATTAAAAAATACTAAAATTGCATCGACATTTACTGCCAGTCATGATTGTGCCTCTGATTGTGCTGCAGCAATGTGTGAAAACACAAACAAAGCAAACATAAAAAGTACATCTCATCATCATCATCTTATAGCATGTTGTTTTTCATCTGAGCCCTTTTGCCGTTGATTTTTAAGCACTTTTTAAAGATATGTTGTTATGAAAGGCTCAGATGGAACATTCTATTGAAAGAAAAAACAGGCTAAAGACAAGTTGACTACATCCATAGCCTCTTCATTCTCTATTCAATTGGTCTACCCAAGATTTGCATGCGGGTCATGTGTATGAAGGCAGATACACCCTAGAATCATGCTGCGAGGAAATGTGACAAAAGGCGACTGCAAGTGAAGTGTAGAAATGGCCTCTCTGAAGGTGATGATGTGTTGTAAAGAGCGTATGAGCATGGTGATTTTCAAATCCTAATGACAATGTCATATCCCCTTTATAGGAATTTGCTGAGTTTTAAACGACAAATAAATTCCTCATATGACAGTTTTGTTGGGCTGGACTTGAAGACATAAAAAAACCCCTTGTTGCTTATCGAAACATACAGACTAAAATCAGATTATCAGTCATAGTCACAAAGCATCTGAATCTTCAAAGCGACAGACAGAAGAACCTGTGCTTCTTTGTAATAATGTGGGAGTGGTTTTCGCAGTCAGAGACTTTCTAGCCTCTTGAGGTCTCACCAGGCTTGCTGATGTCAAAGCACACTCCATGGCAGAGACATTAGAGCCTCCACCTGATTACTCTTTACAGCAACCTGCTTGTGAGCTATTCAGACACATGAAATATTGAAGGCCTGGAGTTTCCGTTTCACCTAAGCGAGGGAGAGAAGAGGGCAGAGAGGCAGGCAGACAGGCAGGCTAGAGGGAGAGAAGAAAAAGTCCACCGACAGTGGGATTACAAGAAAATAGCATATCAGGCATCCTGGGAGGGAGACATATGAGAAAGGATGGAGGGAGAGAGCACGGAAAGGTAAGACGCGGTATATGATTGTGTAGGACTCGTGAAGTACTCTGAGAGAAACAGGGGAAGCTGAACTGTTCAAGGAGCTGTTGACTGATTGGCTGATAACCCTGCAGTCAGACGGTTAAAAGGAAGTGTTTTATAATTCTGCTGTGACTTCCCTCTAAAACTTCAGCGGTACAACTACCATCCAGGCTGAAACACTGACTCAGAGCTGCAGTGAGGAAGGCACTGAGATCCAAAACCTCCTGGAAGGAGAGGAAGAGACCAAAGCAGACAATGAAACCTGTGATGGAGAGGTACAAGACAGCTTGGTCACAAAAGGCAAAACAAGCCATCGTGATACTTTTTAAAAAATGCATTCCTGAGATTCAATACTTTTGCTAATGGTGGTGTTGCTTGGTTGGTGTGGTTGAAGATAATGAAAGCTGGAGAGGATCTATGTGTCATTGGTGCAGAGATGTTGCCACAGGAGACTCTGATAGCCACAGGCACAGAGGGTGATGATGACTTTGTCCCATTGTCCCCCCTGCCAACAGAAGAAGAGATGGGACCCCCCTCAGTGTCATCTCATCCTTCCAATACACAAAGTAAAACTAACTGACCGATGTCTGTGACCTTTGTATCCATGCTAGAAGACAGATTCTGTATTATGCTTCAGGCTGCTGTGGTGCACTTTACAGTTTGTCTCTTCACAGATCGCCCATCAGAACCCTGCTGGTATTGTTTGAGGTCTCTTGACTCAGAGTACCGCCCCAAAGCTGCTAAACAGGTCCAAAAGCTTTATCAAAACACATTATTTCTATATCGGTGCTGAACCAGATAAACTGAAAAGAGACAACTCTAAGGGGACGATTTTCTATATTTGTCATCAGTTTAGAAATATTCGATAATACAGCAACAAAAAAAGTGTGCTTTTGTTTTCATTGTCAATTGCACAGTAATAAAATAATGAATTAATAAGTTGATCAGTGTACAAGACTGAATGAGCAATTGAATACCCAAAAATACAAAGCTTGAAAAAAAAAAAGTTAAGCTTTGTGCTACATAATCAGCGGTCAGCGTTTGTTCCCACACTGCAAGTTGCTTATAGAAAAGAGGAGCCTGAAAGCTAGTGAGAGCGATTTAGACCATTTTTCTGAATTTTTCAGTGCATCAAAACACTGAGGCATCTAATGAAGAAATGCTATCCTTCCTGGAAAGAGCAGTCACTACTGTTACTGTTCCACTTTATGACTAGATAGCGATTTTTTTCGTTTTTCGGGCCAAAAATAATTACCTGAGCCCAGCCTGAAATTAGATGTAGAAAATCACTTTTCATGGAGGCCTTTTTGTCTCCAATACAAGCCTGCAACTTCAACAACTGATTAGTTAAACTGGCTTGGTTTATCAGCATAGTAACAGAGATGTAGCTCATATTTCTAGGTGACGTTGCCCAAAGAAGAAATGTGAAGAGAGCAGAAAATAAGAATCCAAAACTACAATATTTGTATAAAACATAAAACTTAAATGTTGCTTAAATCTCTCAGATAAGTTTGACTTAAAGCTGTTGAAGGCAGGATCTTTAAGTTTTAGAATGAATTATTAAAAGGAACCATGGTGCACTCCATATCCTTACTCTGCAAATGTGCAGTAAACAGTTTTAGAGCAACTTTAAGCTACAGTTTTCTTCAATCTAGTTGAAAGGGTCTTCAACAATGATAAACTGATTTTAGCAAAGCACAGAGGAGCCTATGATGTGTAAAACATCTTCACCTTTTAGGGCTCCAGCGGCTCTGACAGTCAATTAAAAGATAAATAAGGTTGAGTGGAGAGAAACTGTGAATTGTTTCGAATTCACAACATTTTTCCAAGTGGCCGCTATTTCTCTTTTCATGTTAAACATGCCTTCGGCATTCAGTCACCTTGCTGAACATATATTTGTTTGGGTGCATGTCTCTTTAAGAGAACTCAACCCTCTGCTGTCACTTTGTGGTAGGAAAACACTGATGCTGCATCCACACCGCCCACTAGTGAACAGAAAGTGACTTACCAGACGGACCCACGGCCTCACTTTGGGGTGGCTTGTTCCTCCCGCTCCACATGCCGCCCCCTCTGGGGCCGGGAGGGGCCCTGCTGGGGACAAAGGAACCAGGAGCTGCCCGAACAGACAGACACCTGCCCTCACTGCCATTTGGGTTTGCCCCCTGACACACTGCGCTGGCATGAGGTTGGCAAAGATCCTTGTAAACACATGCACACATAAATAGACCCCACACATGCCGCTGTGTTTACTAGAAAGCCTCTGACTGTTTTCCTTCTTTTATTACAGGCAAAGTGCATGCTGTTTGATGGGCTCAGGAGCTTGAAGAAATGACATTTATCGCTACTCCTTGTAGATTGTGTTGAAACAAATATCTTCTGTTAGGAAATTCTCAGGACATTTTCTGCACCTTAAAATTAAGCGTGAATTTGAATGCTTGTAGAAAAAATACCATAAAGCTTAGTTATGCTCATTCTTTGTTTAATGTTGATTAAATATGTCTGATTAATTGCACCACTGTAAATTGATGTGAAATGCACGTGTATAACACAATAAACATTTCAGTATATCGGAGTTTGACTGCTTCTGCATACTCTTATTTATGCATAATCATTTTTAATGTAATTTAATGCTAATTTAAAGTCAATTAAATGTATGTTTTGTTCAGATGTATTATTGATTGTTTTTCTTCTGTTGGTTTTTAAAGGAAAAACCCATTCAAAGTACCATCCAATCCAAATATTTGCTCTGTGGCCTTCCTATAGTTGTGGCTCTAGAGAGTCAATAGAATCTAGTCATTTAGAGTACAAACTTTAATCAATTTAGCAGAAATGTCCTTCAACACGATCAGTTTAGGGAACTTCCATAAAGAATAAAGCACCAAATCATTCTGTCATGAGGTGTGCCCTTAGAAGAGATTTTATCAACTATGGTTTTAAGTGGTTTGCAGTTGCCCTAAAGCCTAAAGGAACAAATGGATTGTTTTATGAACAAGAATCTGAAATTAGAATTCAGTGGCTGCAACGTCACAATAGAATTCTGAAGTTCTCCAAAAGGTTCTTTACTGTGTTCCATTCTTTGTTAGACTGCTGTCGTCAGTTCATCTTTGTCACATGGTCATTGTCGGTATTCTTCTGACTTTCTCTAAATGTGCAGTGGATTTGTGCTTTTGCACCAAGATCTGAGCTCGCCGCCAGCCACCGTGGGCACACAAACTGCAGGAAACCATGGAGAACCAAGAGGATCACTGTGCTTTGACTGATGAGGACAGTGAGGAAGAGGCCTTCAGTGATGAAGGTTCAACCTCTGGCTCTGAGAAGATGAGCTGTTGGCAGTCGCTGCCAGACGTGTGCTTGCAGCATGTGTTCAGATTCCTTCCCGATGGCGCTCGTGGCAAAGCGTCTCTGGTCTGTCGACACTGGCGCAGTGTCATGCGCTCACCGTGTCTCTGGCGCGTCCGTTTCTTCCACTTCAGCGGCCGGCTTTCCAAATACAAGCCGTCTGACTACTGCTCAGCTGTGGGTTATGTCAGCAGTCTGGGAGCGTACCTGGAGAAGCTGGAGGTGGTTGTGTGTCCACCGCGAACAAGCGCAGTAGCCCAGCGACTGAAGGAAGCCATCTGCGGGCTGCTGAACGAGTTAGTCAGGTAAACACCCAAAGGCCTCTTCAAAAGCTAACCTCGACTGGTTACATTTTCAACCCACTTAGTAAAATGACTTTTTGTATCTTTTCTCCACAGAGTAAATGCTCCACTGCGATCACTCTCCCTGGTCAGGCTGGAGATGGACCGGTCCTCCTGGGCCTCAGTACACAGAAACACTGTGGTGGACAGTCTGATTTATTTACTTGAGAGTGGGGCGTCAAAGCTCAACAATGTTACTCTAAATGGGATGAGAAATGACATGCAACAGGTGAAATCATTGCTCCACTGGATGACTAGATGAATAGATTAAAAAAACATTGTCTGGACAGCTAAACTCAACATGCTTTGCACATAAATTGAGCTTTAATCAGAAAAGGTTAGCTGTCTGCCAGACAAACAATCAGGACTGCTAGATAAAACAAAAATGACAAAACAAACAGAAAACGGAAGTTGATACGTGAAATAAAAGAATACAAAGAAGTCTGGCTGATAGATTCAAAATGCGCCTCTTTTTGATGCTCGTTCATGCTTTTTTGTAACAAACACCACAGCTTTAGTTTGGCGATTGTTTCAGGGGTCTCGCTGTGATAAATGTTACACTTATTCATTCACTAACCAATTTGTGTGTTGTTAAATCTAGTCTTTTTTTTAACCTCCAGGGTTTAAAGTTCCTTTCTGCACTGTTACAATATCAGAAGAAGCTCTCTCCCCACTATTACATTTCATCCATGGACTTGAGGGGATTCTTTTGGACTACTGAGCCTGTCCACCTCAACCCCAGTATGCCCCACATTCTGCAGCAGCTGCAAGGCCTCACCAGCCTGGGCCTGAGTTACTCGTGTGTTTCAAACGAGCTGCTTATGGCTCTCCAGCAAAGACGGGGAAGAGGGGGAAGGAACTTCGGCAGCGATGGAAGCATCTTGCAAACCTTTTCTCTGCACTGCACTCGGAATGAGCCGCATCAGCAGGTATGCAGGAACAGCTGAGGTGATGGTTAGGGAAAGGTGTTCAAATTTGTGCATGGTAAACCATGCAAAGAAAGCTAAAATGTAAAGAAATTAACTTTAGCAAAATAGGGTAAATGTTTCTGCTTCACTGTCTTCCCCAACCAGCTGGTGCACAGTTTATCATGGGCAAGTTTGGCATCAAGCTGCCCAGACCTGAGGGTCAAACTTACAGTGGAACAAGTCATCAACACAGAATGGCTTGCAAGGATCCTGGTGCCTGGTATTCCCCTGAGGGAGTACAACATGACCGCCTTCTATTCCCCAGACGAAAACTGGAGTTTCAAGCCTGTCCTCTCTGACATGCTTCCTCTTTACAGACGCAGTCTGCAGGTCAGTGTTCTGATCATCAGAGACTAAGTGCCCTCACTCCAAAAAAACAGTATATGGATCACACCAGTTTGTCAGTGTGAGCAGGCTTGCCCACCGTTTTAGCATTTAGCTTAAGAATATGGCCTCAAAGAGTTGCCAGCTCAACATTTGGTGTTGTTCTATTTAGTAATTGTTTGATTATGGTTGCTTGAGTAGCCTGAGATTTTTCTCTCATCATAACGGTTTACAAAGATCATTTAATTATTTTTTTTAGATGCATCTTTTGCAAAACTATAACGAAGGCTAGAGAACATGGCTATAAGGTATAGATAGTCATATTTATATTGTGTATCTTTCTCTTTTAAAAGAATGTTGCATTGTTTAAATGATCTGTAATGAGTCATGGTCTTGTCTTGGGTTGGTGTGTGAGTCCTCTCTGGGCACACTGGCTTCCTCTTCCTGTCCAAATACATACACGTACCACATACTGTAAGATTAATCTGAAAACAACTCTGGATAAAGAGCAATTAATGGTCTTACCCCATAAAATGTTCATAATAAAGACAAAATTTTTTACATGAAAGACATTTTTTAAAACTGTATAGGACAAATTAAAAACCATGGTACTTTAACCAATACAAATGTTACGCAGTCTGGCCTCCTCAGTCCATCAAGAAGTCTTTAACCTTAATGTTAATATAATCAAATTTTGGTTTTGAGTCCTTATCTAAAAAAACGTATAGGTATAAAAAGAGTGTGAGTAGGCTCTTGAGAAATATGGCGTTTGCCAGTCATTTGTCTTATCTTATCTTGTTTCTTATTTTCTTGGTGGTACATAGTATCTGACCCTGGACCTTAGCAACTGCCGGGAATCTGTTGACGATGAGCTGCTGGAGCTGGTTGATGTGTGTGAGCACCTGGTGGATCTGAGAATATGGGCTTTCATAGACATATTCACTGTTGGGAGGCTGCTGCACATTAGGCTAAAGAAAAGGGTGCTACTCAACAAGATTAAAGTAAGGAAAACAAAGAATAGTTCTCAAAGCGTACCCATATTAGGGTCCTGTATGCACACATAACGCTCGTGGTCATTGTGAATTGCAGTTGAGAATCTACTCCATGGGTGACAACCTTGAAGAGCTGGAAGACCAGCTGGAGGAAATGTTGTCCTCTTATCTGGACCATTTACCACCTGAGCTGCAATTTTTTGCCTCAGTCTGCCCCTTTATATGACAAATGCAAGTGTGTTTGAGGTCTAAACAGATGTGTGCACACCACTCTAAGAAAAGACCCAATAAAATAATCATGCATGAAAAATCCTATTTATTTCTTTGAAAACCAAATTAGTACTAATGGATGTGTTAGTGTGAATATCTGGCAAATATCGTGCTCTCGCCAGACAATGTTTTTTTTATTGGGTGGGCTGTGGTTGTGGAAAGGAAGCATTGACCTAGTTTCATCATATGAATGTAGGATGATCGAGGGGGGCAGTGTTTGTATGCGTCCATGCATGCTCAACCAAAGTGAGAGCACTATTTTAAGGAACAGATAAACAACAGAATCCCAATGGTGTTTGCACAATTCATGACTCATAAAAGCAAGGGGAACCAATCCTGATGTATTCATCTCATTCACTAGATTTTTTCCATAACAAATACAATTTTCTTTTACTGCAATGCCGGGCAATAGTCCAAATCTACACATTTGGACCCCCATAATCCCTATTGTTACAGTAGTGTTGTTAGAAATGACACAGATTTTACTTCAAATTTATGCACTTAAATTTTTTTTCAGTCTTGAGATTTTTCCCTCTTTATGTTGATGTTTTTCACTCTGTTACCACATTATTTTACTCTGTATCACTGATACACATCATTCAGCAAATTTTAAGTTACAGCTAAATTTTGGAAATAAAATGATCTAATAAAGCAAGCACTTTTTTTATCCACAGTTGATTGTGCGTTTGGAGGGCTATTTAGGGTCCATTATCTTCAACACACTGTAAGCTGGGGATCAGAGTACAACAGTCTCTTTGAGAGTTTGGCACCATCTATTCATCTATTCATCCATCCATCCATCCATCCATCCATCCATCCATCCATCCATCCATCCATCCATCCATCCATCCATGCATCTTCCATATGATGCCATTTAACATGGGTATAGTTAATGTGGGTTTAACTGTGTCTTATTTTTACGTAGTCTGATAGAACTGTATAAGTTGGTGTGAATCAAATAGAACTGTCAAATTCAGGCTTTTGAACAAACGTGGACCGGCTCGGCTTAAACAAAAATGCGAAGCAAAAAGAACATTAGTGATGCTGTCACAGCGCAACATCCCTCTCGTTATTGGCTGCCAAAGTCATGACACCGTCACGTGACTGGCCAACGGCAGTCTAACGGCACCGGGGCGGCGTCGGGAGCCAATGGTCGGCCCGGGCACCTGATCTCCATTTGAATACTGTAGCTCCCCCTGGCACCACCTCCCCCCAGTGTTGTTATCTCCACGCATTGTCTTCCTGGAGCCGTCATCGGCGCGGAGGCTCGTCGAGGGAAAGATGTCCTCGCTGCTGAAGCCGTTTTCGGTGCGGGACGGCCCCTGTGAGAGCCGCGCTGCCCGGAGAGGAGGCCCCGGCCCGGCCGGACATCAGCCGGCTCCACCCCGGCAACTGGCCTCCGGGGGGCCGAGCTCCCAGCCGGCCCACCGGGGGACCTACGCGGCGAGGAGGACCCTGGCGGCGGCTGCAGTCGGAGGGAGGAAAATCACTCATCCCGGGAAGGCCATCCTCGCAGGTCCATACAGCAATGCTCGTTTTTCAGCCCTATGGACGCAGATAGCAGACAACGTAATCTCAGTCTGTCGCCCATTAAGGCTCCCCCTGCAGAAGTGGGTCAAAGGCTCTCAGCCAGCAGTGATGCTGCAGCTTACAGCTGAATGATGGGGCTGCCACGCATCCCCGGGCCGCTAGATTCCTGTCAAATAACCCTTACAGTAATTCCAAAAACTGAAAGCATCCCTCATAGTTAACAGTGAATGGAGGATGCTGTTCCGGGCAGCTGGGCACAGGACATTCAGGGCAGCTGGGCACAGTGAGTCAACAGTTTTTCTCTCCCCTCTCCCTCAGGTGGCATAGCAGGGGGAATAGAGATCTGCATCACCTTCCCCACAGAGTACGTGAAGACCCAGCTGCAGCTGGACGGGAGAGCCAACCCTCCGCGGTACAGAGGGATCGGTAGGTCATCGGGAGGGTCGGTGTGACCGGTGTGACCGGGGGGTTTTGGCATTGGGTAACTCATTCATTCGTTTATGCGTGCTCCGTGTATGTCCAGGTGACTGCGTGAAGCTGACCGTGCAGGACCATGGCCTGAGAGGGCTGTACCGAGGCCTCAGCTCCCTGCTCTACGGGTCAATACCAAAGTCTGCTGTGAGGTGAAGCTCTTTTTTTTGTGTGTGCAAAGCTTCGCTTCTTCGGGGGGAAAAGGACATCTCAGGTTCACGTTGGAAAATGATCTAACACTTGGTTGATCTCCTTGCTTCTGAAATTACAATCAGATTTAATCCATTTAGGAACCCAAGCACTTGTAATGTTTGGTTGCTCCTTGAATTGTTTTTAAATATGAATTTGCTGTAAAGATCATATAAAAGGTTGCATCTAGAAAGAAAACAATAGAATTGGTGCACGTGGCAAACAAAAACATTAGCTTATCAGATGTGCATTACGTGCTACATGTTTTCTCACTTTCTTTTCTGTCTTCGAACGCATCAACGTTTCCAGGTTTGGCACGTTCGAGATCCTCAGCAATCCCATGCGGGACGCCACAGGTCGCCTTGACAACACGCGGAGCCTCTTGTGTGGTTTAGGTGCAGGGATAGCTGAGGCCATTGTGGTGGTGTGTCCCATGGAGACTTTAAAGGTTGGCGGGGGTGGATTCTGAGACATCTCTTTTTTTCTACTCGAAAATACCTCCTGGTCTCCTGGATGTGACACTCATCTTGAAGGCATATTTCTCATGTCTCTTAGGTGAAGCTGATCCATGACCAGTGCTCCCTCCGACCTCGCTACAGAGGTTTCTTTCATGGAGTCAGTGAGATTATCAGAGAACAGGGTAAGACCACAGACAGCAATAGGTTGCGTTGCTCCTTCTCTGACCCACAACCCTTCAGCTGCATGATAATTACAAAACTGGATTTTTGAGCACTGACTTGGAATCACAAACTGTTTGTGTCCTGCAGGCGTGAGGGGGACATATCAGGGTCTGACGGCCACTGTACTTAAACAAGGAACCAATCAGGCCATCCGATTCTATGTTATGAACGCGCTGCGGAACTGGTATAAAGGTGGGGACGATTAACCGTAAAACAAATACTTGTGTCTCCATTCTCTCTTGGAGCAAATCTTCATTTTGTGCTCATTCTTTTGTGCAAACTCTGTCAGGTGACGATCCCAGAAAAGAGATGCACCCCATCGTCACGGCGATGTTTGGGGCCACGGCCGGAGCAGCCAGCGTTTTTGGGAATACGCCTCTAGACGTGGTCAAGACCAGGATGCAGGGTTTGGAGGCCAATCGATACAAGCACACAATGGACTGTGCCTTCCAGATCCTGAAGCAGGAAGGCCCCCAGGCGTGAGTAGCCCCCATCTTTTCTCTGCTTAGGTTTCCGCTCTTGCCGTCTAACCCCGTCCTGCTCTTCTTCGCAGGTTCTACAAAGGCACAGTTCCCCGCCTCGGCCGCGTGTGCTTGGACGTGGCCATAGTCTTCGTTATCTACGAGGAGGTATTCAAACTACTCAACAACGTGTGGAAGACGCAGTAGAGCCGCTTGCGTGCGGCCCACGTCCAGGCGGAAGCACAGCCCAGTGCCTCATGCTACGCACAACTCAACACCTCTATCCTAGTCCATACTAGCTGTCAGCGTGGCTCCGAGCGGCCGTCGTCTTGACCGGTTTCCACACTGTAACATAACTTATTGTTTTTACCTGACTCACTCTAAACACAAAGATAAAGACGACGGCCAGCGCTCAGTGTTCTGTTTATCCTCTTTTACTGTAGAGTTCTGACTTTAGGACAGAGAGGAGTTCTAGATCAAACCAGTTCTTAGCATTCATGTCGCAGCATGAACACTGTACTAAAACCATAAAGGTGTCTTTAATCACTGAGTACTTACTATTCTGAGCAAAGAACAAACAGAGGCTTTTCGCAGTTCCATAGTACGTCATCCTGGCTGTAGTTTCTGACTTGGCTGTGCTTGTGTCATGGTGACACTGAGACTCTTCGCGGTGTTTGCCTGCTCTGTCCCGGTGACGAACTGCTGATATCATTTCTGCTGCATTACATGGCTGCTGCCAGTGGCCGTGCGTCGCTACATGAATGTGGACGGAGCGTCCGTCTGGAGCCAGCAGCTCCCCTGTGAACTGTTTCAGGGTGTTAACCCAACAAGTCGTTGATTAGAAACAGTTTTAACTCACCAGTCTTAATGCTTAATAGATGGAGGTAAATTGAAGTTTATGGAGGTGTGTTAGCTCATGGCTGCAATTGAAGAAAACTGTTAAGTTTCGTAGTTATTTAAGCTACAATTGAACAGGGTCTGGGGAGGGGGTGGTTTGTTAGCAAAATTTGTGTGAAAAGAAAAATTAATTTGCTTTACTGCTCCAATCGCGATAAGAGTGTAAACAGTATTTGTAAAGCCATATTACGCAAGTATTCCTGAGCTTTCAGTTATTGGTTACCACATTTGCTGTCCTCTTATCAGAGATTTGGAATAATCTGTGTTTACGTCATCTGACCTCAGTGTGAACAGTAGACGAGTTTGACGCACAAAAAGGGATGCAAGAATGATTTTCTAAATGTTGATGTTATTTTTATTGAAGATAGTTCCAGCACAGGTGGAGATGTGGGATGTCAGAGGCTTAAAAGCTCACAATGGGAGCTGTCTTAAGAGCAGAGGCTCACTTGTGATTGACCTAGTGGGGCCACTCAGCCTTGTATGGAAGCCTTTCAGCCCCTTGTTGCCAAAAGCACACGAGTGGACTCTCTAATAAGATATCCTCTGACACAAACAAGTCTCCTTACCACTAAACAAAGGGAAAAACATTCTCTGATCTCCGGGTTCTCGTCCTCATTAATTCCTTGGTCATGCTTCGCCGCTTTTCCTGAACAGGCCGACAGTGATGTGCACCGCTTATCAGATCTGGTGTGGTCATTGAAACATAGCCAAATGTCCCATTGGGTAGACTCATTGTTTACTTTGTGTGGAAGAAAAACAAAATATGTCAACATGAGAAGACACAGTGAAAAAACATCACTGTGCATGAACTTAAATGTGGGATTATTTGACTACATTTATGTGGCTGTGTTAAAGATGTCAGAGCACTCAAGGACAAACTGGAAGAAGTAGATTCTGTGGTAGGATGTACATGTAAGATCAGTTTATTTTGTAATGAAGATCATCCTGCTGTGTACTTTCAGAAGGTTTTATCAACGCGTGTTGTCAGAGTCACATATGGAAATAAAAATGGGTGCATCACAGCCCAGGGAATTGATTGGTAGCTAATGAGGGCCTAAGGGACACTTTCCACAGCTAGAAAAACTTGTATGAATGTTGCGCCTTTATATCTGTGGCAGATATTTAACGTTAAACGAAGCGCAGTTAAAAACAACTGCAAATGTTCTGTTTGTACAGCTGACTGTTTTGGAATAAACTCCAACTAACAACCTCCTTTCTCATTTCTACCTGTTGATTTACAAATGGATGCCAGTGACGGGAGGAATGGGTAACAAACGGTAGAGGGGAGACAAAAAAAAGGAGAAGGTCCATTGACTGAAGTGTAAAAGTCATTTAAAAGTTTTAGTTGTATTTACATACAAATTAGTGGAGCGACTTCTCTACACAGGTAGAGAGATGGGGCCTCTCTGAGCACATGACTGATGAGATTAAAGGCTGAAGGAGCAGAGCGAGCAGCGCAGGAATTAACTTGACTCCCACCTGTTGCCCCGTCTGTCCACCTGCACACTCACAGTACGTCACCATGAAGCTTCAGTAGGAAAAAGGGACAAACAGGTTTCTGCCGAAGCTCATTTCCACTGATAAACAGAAATCATGGCACTGCCTCCGGTTCCGTTTTAATAGATGCTTGTTTCCGCGTCCAGTGGCATGGCCCCACAGTAAGGAACGTTTTACGGCTTTGACTCCCCTTTTTCAATCTTACACTTGTACTGATTTAATATTTGAGAACAACCTCAAGCTCAGAGGACGGCAGATGTGCATTTACATTTCCTGCCTGATTTACATTATTGTAAAAGTATCCCCACTTCAATGCCGCTGGCTTCAGATTAAGTCGGGCCATTTCTGAACAGCTACACCTGACTTGACACCATGTCATCGTTGACAGATGCTGCTATGAAGGCAAACGGAGGATTAAATATATTCTGGTCACCCTTTGCTCCAGCTGTCAGGCAAACTGACAGCACGAGTTGTGACGTCTCATTTTCGTCAGGAGGAAAGACAGCACGTGTGTGGCTATCTCCTCCATCTGGAAAAAACACAAAAACAAAGCCAAAACTTTTAGTCTGAGGAACCACTCGAGCATTCGGTGAACCGCTTGGCATCACACTCACATTCTGAGGCATTTGTCCTTTCCTCCACTGACCACTCTCTGCCCATCGGGACTCCAGTCCACTGCAAACACCTGCACAGATAAGGACAACCAATCAGTACAGCAGCAGCAGGAAGTAGGCCCTCATGCTTGCTTCAATATTTTTTAATTCCTTGCCTCGTCAGCATGTCCAGGAAGGTCCATGTTGAGTTTTCCGGTCTTAATGTCCCACACTTTGAGCGTGCTGTCGCTGCTTCCACTGACCAGCAGCCTGCTGTCTGCTGACCACGCCACCTGGTACACAGATCCCACATGGCCTCGCAGGGAGGTCAGGTACCTGTGAGAAAACAAACATTTTCAGTTGAACAGGTATACTTGATCAGTTTTAGGCCGACAGCTCCATCCTCTGGACATCTATGGTATTACACACATGTCAACTTCTGATCTCCTCGCAGTTAGAGAGAAAAATTGCACTCTACACTCCAGGTGATGCAGACATTTTCTTACTTTCCAGTGCGTCCATCCCAGATTTTGATGGACTTATCAAAAGAAGCAGAAGCCAGGAGTCTGGTGTCGGGGGAGAACAGCACTTCATTGACCAGAGCGCTGTGGCCCGTCATCCGGGCCAGGGGCTTCTTTGCTTCGGCAGGATTCCAAAGGAACATGGTGAAATCATCCGATCCAGAAACCAAGCGCTCTGGAGCAGAGCCCTGCAGCAGAAGAGAAGGAAGCTAAGCCACAAAACACAGAGACAACTGCTTAAGATCCGACTGTACTTACCCTAACTTTATTATATCGCTGCAACGCTCTCTCCTTCAACTCATCCACTGCGTGGGGAAAAACAAACAAGCCCGTTGGGTGAAAACATCCTGAAAACAAAACCTCTACACTGGCAGCTGAGAAGAGCGCGAGGCCTTACGAGATCCGGTGAGATCTTGGAGGTTGACGGTTGCGGTCGCAGGCTCGAAAGCTCCAGTTCGCAGGACGTAGTCTGTGCTGAGAGCCAGTGTGTTCACCCAGTGGGCGTGGCCCTGCAGCGTCCTGCACTGGACGCCCTGAAATGAAAACACACACAGACCCGTGTTTGCCCACGCCTGCCACCTTCCACACAGCTCAAACGCACAAACACACCTACATCTTTGGCTCGCCACACTTTGACTGTCCTGTCCTGAGAGGAAGTGTAGAGGAGTCCATCTCCTCCCCACTTCACGCAGGTGACCGACTGAGTGTGTCCGGTCAGGATCTTCTCGCAGCGTCCCAACACAGTGTCCCAGACGCGCACCGAGCCGTCCTTGGAGCTACTAGCCAAGTAACGGCATTCGGGGTTCCTGAAAAGCAGAGCAGAGTGCTTCAACCCTTCTCAGCTCTCATATCTAGAAATGCAACCACAACTGAAAGCTAATTAGCTTCAAAGCTGCAGCAGAAGGGATGAACAGAAGTGCTCACAGATGGAGGGGTTCCCAGCAGAGCCAAGTGATCCACTTGGAGTGTCCTGTCAGAGTCTTCCCTATCTGTGCGCCGGTTACTGGATCCCAGAGACAGATCTGTAAACACATCCAAACAACAACCATGAAAGAAATACATATTTCTAAAAGAAACCTTCAGCTAAAGACACTAGATGTGTATGTTTGAAACGCACCTGGCTGTTCTTGCACCCTGAGGCTAGCTTCTTGCCATCAGGTGACCAAGCGATACTTAGCACCCAATGTGTATGCCCTTTACAAGAAAGAAGAGCACAGTTCAGAGGTGTCCAAGATGGCTAATTTGTTTTGTTTTTTTCCTCGATGAACAGGACATAGTTATTTTCAGAAGTGGCTTTATACCTCTGGCGGTGTGGTGGGGTGTCTCGGTTGTCAAGTCCCAAAAGCGCACTGTGGTGTCACCTGAGCCACTCGCCAGATATCTAAAACACACAGGGCACCAATCAATGAGCACATGAAAGAATTTTTCCAGATGTGCGCATCCCCCTAAAGGATAGTCAAGAAACAAGCCATGGCTGCTGTTCATTCTGTGACAGAGTTACTCACTTGCCGGTGGGGCTGAAAGCAGTTGAGATGACAGCCTCTGTGTGGCCCTGCAGCGTGCTGGTGCAGCGGGCCACCGCCCGGACCCTGAACACAGCCTGAGGCTGGTACACCACCGGCAGAATTTGTTCTGTCTCCACCCCAAGAGTGTTGACACACGAGCCAAGACTGGACACCACCTCTGCCTCTCCCCGCACAAAGAACGCCAAAGGCACTGGCTCCTCCTTCAGCAGATGACAGCAAATAAAACTGTTTGAAAACAATATTTTTCTCTACCTTGAGTGACTGTGGCTAAGGCAATATATTGATGGAGGAAGGTCTTTTTACACAAGAATACATAAGACATTTTAAAGTACATTAACAAGTAAGCCCCATATCATAAAACTTCCACCTCCAACTGTTTGTCAGGCTAAGAGATAACATGCTAAACTATAACATATTTAATACCATAACACATAAAGTTGTCACCTTCTGCAGCAGTGCATTGCAGACCAGCTGGAGCTTATCTGGGGTTATGTCTAGAGGAACATCGAAAGGTGAACCCAGAATCTCGCCTTCCTCGTTCTGAAACTGGATCAGCAGCCGTTCCACGTCCTCGCTCATCATCGTCTCCATGTTCCCAGTCTAATTCTACCAAAATGACATTACCACATCCTTAGAGGTGAAACGTGAAATGTACACATGCATGTATGTAGATACTTATTTATGTTTCAACTTTCATAATGTCGGACTATCACTCATCTTAAATCGACGTAGCTGTAAAGCGCTGGAAACGCACAATTTTATCAGGTAGCCCTTAAAATAAGCTAATCAATAGCTGAGCAGGTGGAAAATACAGGACAGAAACACGTAAATGAGCCATTTTTAAGATTGGAAGCTAATGTACCAAGCTAAAATTAAACATTGTGAGACTTTCAGCTAGCCAACCACTAAAGCTAACTAAGCTAGCCTACTGTTAGCCTGAATTTTAAAGGTCTTAAATGATCTTAGCACTGATTACAGAACATGGGGACTACAGCATCTAGCTTTGCAGAGATGTGGTGACACGTATATGATAAATGAACTGAAAAAAGAACTATTACCGTAGTCCTAACGACGAGATGACACTCCCCACGTGTATCCGATCCAAGACCCTTAAATGTTAAAGATGTGCTACCAAGCCAGAGTTGTCACGGAGTCGCGCAATGAATTGTGGGATGTTTCCTTTTTTTTCCTCACAGGCGGTTATCTTTGTTTGTATAGTATTTCTGATAATATGCCGTTGTACGACTGTGTCAGTTATTGGGCCTAAGTATATTTGGGATGATCCATGAAAAAAAAAGAAAAGAATTGTTAGTTTTAGAAATCAGAAGAAGCTTTTTCTTGGATGACAGAAGTGAAAAGATTGAAAACTTGATTCTTAGGTTTTCTATCAATCCAGATACTTGAGACTTTTGGATAGTGATTATCTCTTTTTCTGACAGGGCAGAAAAAGACAACATGTACAACTCCTATGTTAGACAGGATAGATGAATAATTCAAATTCCAGACACCTGAAATATCACTTAGTTTTTTCAGTGTCCTTGAGACTGATGTCGTCAAATGGACATCAGGTATTTTGTGTTAAAATAACATGGGACTCATTTCTATGTGGGAGTAGAAATGAGTATATCTGTATCTCATGTTGGAAAATAAATACTTTTTTTTATCGACTCTCTCTTTAAGATTCTTAGATCTGGCTATTGTTATTAATCCTCAACAGAAACTTCATTGATAAACTTTCCAAAAACTAAATGGATATTCCCTAAAAAGATTACATAGATAAATCAAAACAGTCAGTTTTAGCAAATCATTTTCTTTGTAATTTTGCCCTATGGTTTGCCAAAGTCCTCTCACTTGTTGCACTGGTATTAATGAGAGCCCATTAAAAGCAGACTTGATTAAATAATATGTCCACTGGTTATAAAACAAAATAAACAACAACACTTTATTGAATGCAGCCATGCATTTTTGGCAAGTTTATTCTTATTTGTTCTAAAAGGCCTGCAGATAAACTGGTTGGCCACATATTAAACTGATTTTCTTTTATTTTTCCAGAGTTTCCATTCCTGCAACAGTGAATCTGACAAGCAATAGTAAATGGAATTTTCCAGTCCATATGATGGAAGTGTGGCGTAATTTTATCCTGCACAGGAGCATTTTAAAATCTTAATCACATCATTGCAGCTGGATTTATTTGCATTTATTGGTCCCGTTGATGTCCTCTGGAACGAGACCTTCCATGACAGCACGTTTTGACTCCTGGATCTGCAAGAGGAGAACATCTATGACTTATTTATCCTGGATCGGTGATGTCGCATTTACACCAGTTTGTTAAAACCCTTAAGCATGCGCACCAATATAAATTTAAAAGAGAGTAACTGAATTCTAATGTCACAGTTTAAACTAAATAAAATGGCCACTTATGATTTATTTTTAGCACTTGCAGCTATCCAGACCAGAACTACAAATAAATCAAGTTGAATGAAGATGTCAGGACAGGTTGGTTCATGGGGAATATCTGAAATCCCAGTAACCAGTGATACTGTAAATCACTGTTATGATTGCTGTTAACCTAACATGTTTGTTAGTAAGCATGTTAACAGTTACGTGTAATACAGGAACATTATCCTGGTAATTTTAAGAGCTTTAAGAGATACAGTTCATATAAAAAAAAAAACATTGAATGGATTTTAAACACCAGTGTCCTGAAAGTATAATAATATGTTGATGACATATAGTAAAATATGGCCGCAGATGTCGGGGTACACTCACTTGGAAGTTAGGACTCAGCCCAATGATGCTCTGCATGTTTGTGCTGTAGTAACCCAAAACATATTCACCACCCAACAGAGGGATCTCATCCTTGTCCACAGACCTCTGCACCCAAAAACACATAAAAACAGGTGTCGATAAAGAAGGAATTTGCTTGTCAAAATGTGCCCCAAATTCCTCACTGGCACTGTACCTGTATGACCTCGTTGACTTCTGGCAGCTCATTCTCTCTGACCCACACAAAGGTCTCATAGTCCGACGCACTTTTAAATCCAGCCTGCGTGCAACATATCCATCAGTTACAATAACTCTGATGTAGTGTGCTCGTAGAGACTGATGGTTTCCCCTACATGTTTTTGTCAGAGTACCTTGTACAGGCCGATCCAGTCCCACGTGGACGACAAGAAGTCTTCTTGGACTGAATAGGTCAGAAGTGCATTCTCATCTGCGCTCCATACTCCCACAGAGGAGACATGCACCAGTGGTGTGTCGAAGAATTTCCGCAGCTGCACGCAAGACAAGAGGAAGAGGAGGACTCTTTAACAATGCAACACATTTACTGTATAAAATCAATTTATTAGAGGAGATAAAATATATACTGCCTCCGTTCCCACCTCCAGAGTGAAATTTGCAATGACCGGCTTGTGGTCACTGACTCCATAGCTCATATCACTTGTGTATTTGTTCTGGGTGACCAGGATTGGATACTCGTCCAGTCCACTGTCAGCAGAAGTTGAAGCCTTCTCGTCTTCCTCATCATCTTCGGATGGCAGGTCTTTGGGTTTGATCCGCCAAAGGATCCGGTCTGTCCAGGCTGGCTTCCTCTTTTTACCACTATGCAGTTAAGACAGGTTCTAATGATAAGCTTTTCGGTCTGAGCTTAAGTGAAAGTCTTTGGTTCTGTTGCTTACCTGTGGATACATTTCCATTAATGCATATTTTGTGTTCAACTAACAAACACATGATTATCTCAAGTTTTGGAAACAAGTGCTGTTAAACAGTGAAAAAGAGAACACACTCTGATGTGATATAGAATATGAGTTATTTTCTAGCATGCAGGGGGAGAATAAGGGCTGCTCCGTGTTGATGATACCATGCAGGTAAACCCCATTAATGATGGTTTTACACAGCGAACATGCTGAAACTTTATGCTCCAGCATGACTGAACTGCATCTCACACACTCAGTGCAGATGCTCCAATCTGGTAACATTTAAGATGAAAGCGAACCCATCACATCCCACAAACCCCACAAACTAGAGACCCTCCTGATGTGAACCCAGTATGAAGAAAAGGGAGCGGTGACCAATCTTGCTCTTGCACCAAAACCATAGTGTGATTTTTTTTTGTGCACGCTATTTCGATAAATACGGTTTATTCGTAACATGATCTAACCTTGACTTTTAACTAAACAACTATCTCGTCTTACTACCTACAATGCCACAGCAGGGAACATTTGAACTGACAAAAGCACAACAATATGTAACAATATTTCACCCCGTTAGAGTTAATCTATCTTTGCCGCAAGCCCACTGACTAATAAACTAGTAATGCAGGGGCTAGCATGGGCTGAGTCTTTTTAAACATATGACATGCATCATATGCCCTATAGTGATAGGTTTTGTCATCATCTTTATCTACTTCTGTATCTGTACTGGCTTCTCTGATTATTTCTGGTTCAATGATCTGAGAAGAAACTGTGGAGCACATAGAGAGTGGGATGTGTCCCATTGCATGTATATATGTAGAAGTAATTTAAGGCCTCATTATTTAGGTCTGTTAGTTCATCTTAGCAAAAAATGAGACATGAGCAGGTGTTGGGGTTTTAAAGGGGCTTAAGTGAATAGTGACAATTCATTTCTGTGCATTGATTTGACTGTTTTACAGCCCTGCTGAGGTAATGAAATATTCACTTTAGCTATACCTTTAGATATCTTTCATTGGAAGTTACATTTATTCAGAGGAGGACTGAATGAACATAATCTGCTGATGTTCTGCGTTTGTGATAAGGGTGCCACTCCTGTTTTTTACAGAGCATATCTATGAAGACACCCACCTTGGTGGGTCTATCTCTCTATACCAGGCCCCAAACCAGAAACAGAGCAGCCCCCAGGTGAGGGATGTGAGGAGGAAGAGGAGATTGGTGCTGCAGCGCTGCAGGGGCCTGGGTCTGTACATGGTTAGGGGCAGCGCCACAGTACTCTTTCTATGACAGACACATAGACGGTGCTCTGGTGAGGAACGGCTCTGAACTTCATCTACACATCAGGGATTACAGCCACGGCTGCTTTGGGTTGCTTTTAAGCATGACTCAGTGTGGGGGTTTGTCTCCACAAATCATGTGGTTGCAAAAGCTGTGGAAAAAAATAAAACAAACAACTAGTGGAACTACTGGTGCAATGACGGGGAAGCAAGGAGAGTGTGAAGGCATGCAATACAAAACTGTAGAGTCTTACTTAAAACCCAACCATGTCTTTAGAGAGCTGTGCAAAATTCAAATATGGATAAGAGACAAAATCTGAATGCGGCAAAATATGCATGGAATTTTTCTTCTAGTTTTTGTCTGCGATGCAAACAAACGTGTGTTACCTGGTGTCATAGGTGTCGGATTTACGGTCAAACTTGTAGGTGGGTTTGAAATTTAATGGCCCCTCCTCAAATTCCTGCAGGAATGGTTCGTTCTTCTTCATCATGATGAGCTGCAGGAAGGTGAAATTTGTCAGAACTCGAGTGTCGCTGTGAATGTGTGCACACTTTGCCAAATACCTGATCCTTGCTCCACAGCAAATTGAGGCGTCCACTGTTGATAGACGAGCGAAGGAAGTGCAAGCCATGGTCTGCGATTCGAAAGTTCAGATCGCCGAACGCGAACACCACCCTTTTGAGAGAGCAGCGGAGACTTAGTTTTGGCCTCAAGCACAACAGCCCTCAGTGCAAACTCTGCAGGCTCTGCGTCACTGTGTGTATATGCACTGACTTGTGATCCAGAACATGAGGGGTGTCAAAGATGTCGAAGTCTTGCGTCTCCAGGATGTACTCAAACTCATCGACGCGCTGCAGGGCATTGTTCATATGAGCGGCCAGGTGGCAGTTGAGGAAACACAACATGTGGCCATAGAAGGATAATCGAACAGACACTCCACCCTTATTACCCTGACAGAGATTCACAGAGGAAAGGGAAGAAAAACAGCTTATGAGAATTTTTAAAGGTATTCCAACATTAGAAAACATTTTTATTTATTCAGCTTTTACAATCCAATATTTTATACAAAGTAAATTCTCATTATTACAATGATTTAAACTCAGTTATTAATTAGGATCTTTGTCCAGGGAGGTTTTGCATACTGCACAAATGTGGCTTAGTGTGTGTTATTCTGCTGAAGCTGTTGCGAATTCCACAGCACAAACACAATGGGTCTTTCATAATTCGTTTAAAGCCGACATGAACTCCTGCCAGTGGGATTCCAGGGCTTAATAATGCAGTTCCCTTCAAAGATCAGAGCTAAACAGCGTTTTCTTCCAAGTTTCCTACCCAGTAGCCAAAGATGCCAGTACGAGTGTAGGTGGTCTGGATGTTTCTGATGTAAGGGAGATGCATTTGTTTTGCAAAAATCATCAACAGCAACCCCTGCATCCTCACTGATGTGACCTGAACACAGATGGAAAGATAATTTATTCATCACCTTCAAACGTTCTCTGATTCTCATATTATAATTTTAGAACATTTTTATCCGCTTTACAATAAAGGTTTTTCCTTAGAACAACACCAACCAATTAAGCTGTTCATTTTCAAGTAGTATTATGTACAAATATGTATATATACAGATTATTATTATTGAATGACTAATAAAATAAATCACTTAACTGCTCCATATGTTTATTCACAGACACTTGTTGCTTATTGAATCTGCATCTCTGTTTAATTTCTCCTCACCTTTACAAAGCCTTGGGGTGCCAGTGTGTCCATGAAAAGGTGGCTCCAGGAATCCTCCGCTATCAGGTCTGAGATAAACTTCACGGGGGTGGCGCTGACTTCCTGCAGGCTAGCTCACAATGACACAAATGACGAGCAGTCTGTGACAGTCTGACATGCTTCATCCTGCTGCTTTTGCTCTTCCTTCCAAATCTACGAAACTCTACTTATTATCCCCTACTTATTCAATTAAGGTTGTGGCAATGCTGAAAAGGTCATGCTCCATGGCTGAATTTCTCACCCAATCACGTAGAGGTCTGAGGGTGTCTGGACATCTGGCAGCAGCAAAGAGGTGACATCTTCAGGAGGTTCTGCCGTGGCCACATTCCAGGTCACCATGTGCAGCCTGTCAGAGTGTAGGACAATGTTTTCTGCAAAGGACTGACCAAACTCTGGTGAGTTGATTTGCATCCCCCAATAGTTTCAAGTTATTCATTTCGGTGCACCACATAATACAACCATTGTGCCGTAGCAAAACACAGTTCAGAGAGCTTACAATTACAGAAGTACATGCTTTGTCAGCATTAACACCTTGTAAATTAAATGTGTTCAACTGAAACCAATAAATGTAGCTCTAAAATATACAATTAAAATCTTCCCTGCATTTTTTTTGTTGCTTTCTTTTTACAAACGGAACAATTTAGCCTCATTAATCCTTTTTTAATAGGATACATGTGCAAACCAGTGAATGGCTGAGCGAGCATGTGCACTTGTCGACCTGAATGCATCTGAGGGAATGAAGCGTCCACAGAGATGAAAAGCTTCGTCCAACGTGCGGGACACTTCTTCGCCAGCTTCATCATCGGAGCTCATGTCCTCTATGCAGGTCATGAGCTGGGACAGGCGCTGGCGGAGGAGAGTCTTGGACCTGGAGCTCTGAGATGCTGAGCTGCTCGTGCTGTCCGAGCGCACGCGAAAAGTCTCTGGTAAAAGGTCCATTTCAAAAGGCTGAAAAAGGGTTTTCTGCTCTCAAGGATCTTCTCTGTTAAGAGTAAAAAAAATAAGGAGGCAGTCCTCCAAAACGCAAAAACAAATCCTCAAAAACTTTGAGACGTTTGTTGCTCCTCTAAGTCCTTCTGTTCGGCTGCTTGTATCCACCTGACTCTCCGCTCTGTCCAGGACACTGGAAGTAACGCAAACCGACTCTTTGAGAGTCAAAATCTTTCAGGCACTCCAAAGTGGCCAAGATAAAAAACGTTTTTGGCAGCTTGGGCAGAGGTGCATCTGTGGTGGTGCAGTTCCTCCTCTGGTCAATACGTTTGCAGCCAGGCAGAAATGCAGCAACCTCTGACAAAGCTGTGAGACCAGCTCCGGAATGTTGGCAAGAACGAGGCAGATTTGGTGTCTAATCGCAGGCAGGAGACAGGCATGTGAATTTGTGTGCGTTTTCCCGTGAGTGTAAGAAGATGCAAAGGGCAAAAGAGGAGAACCAGAGGCTGATCCACCCTCACTGTGAGTATTGTTGTTAGATTTGGGTAACCCTCTGGATCCCTAAGAGGTTTACCTCCAGCGCTCTCTCTATCAGTCGAGCACACTGAATAAAGCGTGAAACCCCATGATTACACTCATGCATTAGTGGGGGGACGACAGCGCACAATAGCATTAGCTTCTTTTGGCCACAATCCAGCCAGCCCTCATTTAGGGGAAAGGTTATCTTTGTTAACCCAGAGAGAGAGGTGGAGATTAAATGTACAGGAATGTTCCTGCCCAGAACAAAAGCACTTCTAATTAAAAACACTTCTAATGAACAAATATGGACATGTTAACACTGTTACATAATGCATCTGGTCACATATTACATAAAGCAATCAGGAATTACAGGAAGGGAAACAAATGCCATTGTTTAAAGATTTCAAAACCAGAAAAACTGTGAGGTGTGAACAGTTGTAAATGTCCCATTCTTAAAATAACTCCAAAACCTTAGAATGACCATTCACAGAAGTTTCTAACACATTTCTCTAGAGATATTGAACCTATTCTGCATTATTTTTTTAATTAATTTTGTTGTGCGGATGATTGTTCAATCAATTATATGAGAAATGCACACAAAACAGAATAAATATGAATTACAGAGCAAAATCTGATCACATTCACAAAATGAATTAACACATCATAGCAAATTAATTACACCATGGCACTGTAGTAAAATTATGGAATTGTATTAATAGGAATAGAAAATAAACGACTAATAGGTTAAAAAGTTGCCCTTAGCTTCTAATCTTCTTGCCAAATCATGCAATAGGATCACATGCTGAGACTGAATGCACATTCCTTAGCAAACCATTAAGTTGATCAATGGGAGGTTCACCGTTTAGAAGCTTTGAATCGAAGACTATTTATATTTAGTCGCAATCATGCCACAACAGAGATTTACCAGCCACCAGCTACTTTAAATTCTTTAAAAAAGGTTTATATATACTTTTCAAACAGCCCTTCCTTTGACAATTACTTTCAACAGTTTATTTCCTTCCCAATCCATCTGCGTAACCATCAGAGGAAAAGAGAAACAAGGGCTGCAAGAGGGAGTGCTGCTCTTACCTGAAATGTTCTGTCCCAACACTTTTAAAGCTTCCAGGGCTCATTTTTTTACCTGCAGGCACATGGAACACATCAACTTGAGCAAATGTTAAACAAATAAGACACCAGTTCTTTTTGATCAGTTTAACAGGAGTGTAGAAACCAGTCCATTAAAATGTCCACAAGCAAACAAAGCCAGATGAGACAGCGGTGCCTGAAAGTCATTTTTTAAATTGTTTTGTAATCATGTTTGATCATGGTCAGCCTCAGCCATGTTAAAGGAACAGTGTTCCAAAGATCACATGTATACAGATTTTAGTTTAGGAAAAATGATCACTGTGTGAAAAAATGCACTTGAATGTAAATAAGAGGTCCTCAGTTATTTTGTAAGATTATCAAATGAGTTAATAATAAGTGGACAAATGTTACTATAGGATTTGATACGTAAATAGATTGAGGTCATTAATACATCGCTTTCTTTTAGAATTGCTCGGTTAAATTAATTACCAAACCAGATAGACTAAAGTTCTTTATAAAGTGATTCTAAAGATGCAGTTATAAACCAACAATCGAACACAATCCTTTAGATCTATCAATTAATTTTATTTGACTTATTAATTACCAAAAATGTACATATTCCATAATCTTATAAAAAAGTTTAGAAAACGTGGTACACAAAATGAATTGCTTTCAGAAAAGTGATAAACTGGGAATGAATGGATCTCAGTGGATCTTTTATGTTCGTACAAATTCCAACCCTATGCCTCTGCCTGGATAGCTGATCTTTGACCACAAGGGGCAGCATAAACATGTGCAGACACATTTATTAGCAAACAAGTTTACTATTCTTATTGATCAGAGTCGTACATTAAGACTAGCGTTAATATGGTGTTCCTAATAACTGAAGTTGAGCACTTTCAGTCCACTATTTATTCACCATTTAGAATTGTTGAAGGTCTGCTTTGATTCCAGAAAGAAATACATGTTTTAAACTACTACATAATGTTTAAGCTCATTGTTAATGTGTGTGTGTGTGTGTGTGTGTGTTAATTACAGCTGAAAATCGAGTACAATCGGCTTAGTAGAGCTTTTATTTTCAATAACTTTTGTTTTGTCAAACAACAAGAGATTGGTAGGACTAAATTTTGCATTTGTGGAGTATAAAAAAAGGACTGTAGAATATCTGATAAATCTCTATGTATTCAAATCTACATTAAATATAGTCAACTAATTCGTTGTAAAGCAAAAAGCTTTAGCTTTCAGCATTCTTCCCAAACCTGGATGATTAGGCCACAGGACCAGAGGGTGACATCATCATATGTCCCCTTTCTTTTCAACAGTACATAGTTACATTTTTAACCCTAAGAAACAGATATTCTGTTGTAGTTAGTGTGTCCTTTGGCCTTTGAATTCTCCAAGCAACCTCTGACTGAAGAGCTGATACAAATATTTATATCTGCTTTAATATGTACAGCAGAAGAGCTTGAGTGGCATTTGAAAAAGGTTTGTATTTCCAACTATGGTGCATTTTGTTGAAAAATTCTAACTAGTTTTTATGCAGCTACTTATCTGCTATTTTATTCTAAACTATTCAGAGGTAGCGAATATATCAACAAGTAAATAAAAAATGCTGTAAATTGTACCTTCACAGTAGGTTGATATGAGAGGCTGAGGACGCTGCACAGATGAGGAGTGAAAAGAGACTTGATTTGTCCTCGGTGAGTCCTGCCGTTTGTCTGTTTGTTTCTGTTTTGGTTGCGTACCCTGGATTTCAGCTGCTCCCCTTCTGGATGCAGGTTTTCCTGCACACAACCCACACAAGACTTAAAGCGTAACATCGGATCAAGCTATTATCCCAGGTTGGTTAATAACCTGGTGAGAAAGCATTCATGAATAGACATTTCTGTTTATGTAGAATCAGCATGACGCATGCTACTCATAGTTGTAAAGGCCTCATTGTATGTTTATAATTAATCCTCCAGTATGAAGTAACAGTATGGAATGTATAAGGTGCTCTTATCAAAAAATGTGGCTAGAATTAGAACTTATCATATATATCTATATATATATCTATATATATTTTTTTTTTACTGAGAATAATTTGGATTGAATAAGGGTAAGTTTTTTTTTTCTTTTACATGTCAGTCTTGAAGTCATAAGGACTTTTCATTTGGATGTGATATGGTTAAAACATACCAACATTTTCTTTTAGTGTTTGGACATTCAGAAATAAAATGTTGTTTAGAAAGCCATAGCCAATAGCCTATATTAAATTTAGTTATGGTTATGGATGACTCATTAGTTTGAGGATTCATAGAATAGGAATGCTGGCCTCATGGGTTTATACCAGCTTTGGGAAAGTAGATGTGAGAAATATATGTAAAAGAGCAAGAAAATGAGAAAAACTTAATACTGATGATGGACAAATAATCATAAGCAAGCTTAAAATTGCTTTACATGGTTAGCTGAGGTATTACACTGAACCGCTTGGCTGGGAACCAAATTAGCAGCTAAATTAGCGGTGGCATTTGAGGTGAACGCTTGGCTGTCTACAGTGTAAATGCCACAGAGAATTTATTTTCTTCAATATTCCTAAATAGTTCATTTTTGTACTTTTAACATATGTGAATAGTTGAACAAATTTTAAAGTACATTTAAGGTTCTTAACCTTGTTTCTTTAAACATCTTGTCGAAACATCATATGTTTAGGTTCCTTGTGGCTCCCTGTGTAATAGATCACCTTCCCAACTTCAAGACATTGGTGTTCCAAAAAATTAATAATTCACATCAGACGTATAATATGTACTGTTGCTTTGCTTCTTTTTATTCATTTCTTTACATCTCTGATGTACAGTAGTGTTATTAGAGAATAAGATGACCAAAAGGCACAAATTCACAATAAAAGAAAGAAATAGAAGACAAGTTAACAGGAGTGAGAGAGAAAGAGAGATAGAGAGATTTAAAAACAGTTTGGGATTATGGAATCATTTGGTTTCTTCTTAATCTGATTATAAATCAAGGAATCTAACAACAGATATCTATGAGATTGTCTCTGTTAAACCATACTGTCTCACAAGCCTGCAAGTTCAGACCTGCAGTCGGTATCTGTGTGGAAACGACCATGTTTAATAGTCTTTTATAATTTCTCATTTCACTGCTAAGCTTATTAACTCCAACGCTCCAGACGTTGAAGCTACTATGAATTGTGGAGAAAGATCACTTCCATCCCCGTCGCTAACAGGAGGGCAGAATCCAACGTGCAAAGAGGCTCCACTTTTAAATCCATCAGCTAATAAAATGGATCAGTGAAATGACCCAAGCTGCCATTGCATGTTCCTTTTTCAGTGAGAGAAGCGAGTCAAATTCAGAGACTGACAACAGAGGTACAACAACATTCAGAACAAAAATATATATTTATACACTGTCCTGCCAATGAGACGTGGTTCCTGTGAGGAATTAAAGTGAGGACAGGTATGTGAGTAGGTTTTTTTCTTCACTTTAAGTATTCTTCCAGGTACAAACCACATCGACTCACCTCCTCACTATTTTACAGGAGTGTCTTAAAATTGACTCCATCTAGAACAATATGTAAGGAATGCCTTTTAAAATGACTACAGCTAACATTATTCTTGAAAATATCTCATCAGTGCTGAAGTTTAGCGGCTATAACCCTACATTTCCTCACGGTGATAGTCCTGTGAGGAATGTTCATATTTTGTGTACTGCTTTATGTTTAGCAATGGAACGAGAGGATCAGAGGGAGTGACGCAGGTTTGGCAGGACAGTCTCATTTATATATATGTGTTCATCTACATTAGTTAATTTACTATTTACAAAATCAGTACATACAGTACATCCACATATCTTCGTTGGTAGCCCCACAGACACAGAGTGAGATTCCTGATGGACACAGAGGTGGAAGGATGACACATACAGAGCCAGTGTTCTCTTCAAAGAGGAGGCAACAGAAAAAAAAGTTATAGTACTTTAGTTGTAACACTTTGACCTTTGTAGGCCTTATTACCTCACAGTCTGTCAAATGAAGTACCCTGTTAGTCTAATCGATTCAATAACAGGTAAAACATCTATTATTTGGGTGTAACATCTTCAGTACTTAGTGTGGTTTATATTGAATAATTATTAATGGAAAACCCACACCCCCCCTAAAAAAAAACAAAAAAAACTTTGAACATGTTCACTCAAGATCACTCAAGTGTGCTGTGTCTTTCTCTTGTAATATAAAATGATCTGCATACAGAAAATAAACATATTTCAGTAATCTATAAGTTTTTTAGACTTTTTTTTATTTACAGAAGATTTGAAAACTATTGAATTCTTTAACTGATTAAAAATGAATGAATGAATTAAATATTAAATCAATTCATATCAGCAAATTAGGGTGTGTGTTTGATCGTCCTCTAAGTAAAAATGTTGACACCAATCTAATTTTCGGAGGCAGTTATTAATAGAAATACAAACTTAAATATGTACTGTGGGGAATTATTGACATCATCTGTTGCTTGCTCTTTCAGGTTTCCACACTGTTTAACTATGTAATAAAAGTGAAGTAAAGGGAAGATGGGAAATAAGGAAAACAATAGTAAGTCAAGACAAAGGAGGCCAAACAGAAATCAACATTGGGGAGGTCTGCTATTTCTAGCTTCTTTCCTATATAGCATCAGCTCCCTGCAAAGACACCCACCACTGTATATTATTCACAGACACTCTTCACACTCATGCACATACCGAAAACACCAAAACACACTAATACGAGCCACAAACTTCCGATTCCAGCAGCAGAGAATCCACCTCATTTAAAGACTGACACATTAAAACCAGCATTTAATGGATTAATTATCAATAGCTTGACTTTCAGCTTGGGCTTTGCTGTACTAAAACAGGTGAAAACAATCGTAACACACAAATAGACAAAAGAGGAACCACAGGTCATGATAGTTATTGCTCTTGCTGGATAAAAACATTTATCCACTGAGATGACAGTAAGTGACAGCACAATAGATGCCACTTCTACACAAAAAAATATAGACAATCCTTAACTCATTTATGGCTGCTCCAATTGTCACCTGTTAGTTTTCATTGCAGAGTGACTCACATTCTATGTGCATCCTTGTAAACGATGTTTCTCACTTTATTTACGCATTCCCATGTTCTTGCTGCATGTTCAAGCAGTTTGATGAAGAGCAAGAAGTTATTTGACTCAAAGAAAATATGGCTGGAAACCTCGATATTCTAACAATGCTACAGTAACACACTCAAGCGCAGAAACAGTAGCGTGCACACACACACACGCGCACACACACAAACTAACACACGAAGCAGCAGAGAAGCTGAAAAAATGCCTCAGCCTTTTCCGGTGATCAGAAGAGCAGAGACAATGTGACACTAAAAAGAAAAAGCATAATCTCAACCTTTCAGTCGTAGTTTGTAGACTTACAAATCTATTTGGACAACAAAATAAGTAACAGCAAATTGCGGGGGAGGTGCGAGGACACAAAACTGAAAATAAAAACAAAAAATGAGCAAATCACAGGATCTAACTGCAACACTGAGCAGACAAAGCTTCATCTGGAAAAATAAACATTCACAGACAAACTTACAGAACTTCATTTTAAAAACCCTGTTAATATATATTTATATACTTCAATACAGTTATTTATCTCCCTGTGATACTTTTATACCCTATATATATATACACCACTGGGATATCCCAAGTAGAAATACATCCTAAATGGCAGAGATAAGTAACTCTATACTCTGAAGTTTTTAACAATTCTTAGAGAGAGAGAAAGAGAGAGAGAGGACTGACAGACAAGATCTATTATGTTGCTACTGGAGGCCTCAGAGTGTTTAACCAGACGGGGGACACTAGATGGAAGAAATAAATAAAGAACAGATGAGAATCAACGAAGAAACAATGAGGAGGACGAGATCAGCTTAAAACTGGGAGTGTACTGGGTCCAGGTCCCTGAAAACCAGACTGTACTGTGGGAAGTGGGTTTGGACCGGCCGGTCAGACTTAACGTCATTTTAGAGAAAGAGAGGACGTGAATCCGCTGGTGTTTAGGTATCTGTTCTGAAAGATAAGAAAAACAAAGATGGGTCAGAGCATGAAATACAAGGCCATAACTTTTCCAACATTAAGAAGCCGACAAGTGAGCAGCTGCTAAACATTTTTACAGAACGGCAACAAGAACAGCTGGAAAATCTGGAGTCTTTCTTAACAGTTCTGCCAGTTTGTGGGAAAAATCCCACTGTCCTGCTTTTAAACGAATTACTCCACAGATCCGCCAATTAGACTGTAGGTGCTTCAATTTTTGAGGCTGTGACTATGCAACCTCATGATTATAATATATATATATATAAAAAACAAAAATACCACATGTGGCATTGTGTCTCAAAATATCAGAATTTTTTACCATGAATTTGTTACCATTCTTTGATAAGAGTAGGTACAAATATCAGCTACTCCCATCTATCTGGTGGGTCACAGTGCAGTTCAGTTCACCTGATGAGCAGCAGCATTCACAGTCCGACGCAGCCTCAGTCCTCTAGAGCCACCATCCCCTTCACTGGGTCCTTCACTCTCATCTGACACACACAGGAAAGAAGTGTGTTCAGTGGCTAAAATAAATCTTTCTATCCTTTCTGCAGTTAGATGAATGAATTACTTGGTTTTTTTTACCTCATCCAGCTCCTTACGCGTCTCCTCCTCCATGCGGCGGATGTCATCCATGTTCAATTCAATCCACTTGTCAATCCAGCAGAACAGCTGACGATGGAAATTGGTAAACAAGCGCTTTTCTTGCTGTAAAATCACAGAGAAAGTTATGTGAATGCAACGTTTTAAAAAAAATAAAGATGTATCAGTGTCAGTGCCAAATTCACAAACCTTTTGAATGAAGTTCTCCACTTTATTCTGCAGACCCCACCACTTGAATTTGACAGTGACCAGTTTGTAGGCACACATATGGGGGCAGTCTTTCTTGTTGGGAAGCTCCTTCTGCATGTATACAGACAAATACTCAGGCTCATTAATTCCACTCATGCTCCATTTTCTAAACAGCTACATCCAGAAATATAACTACAGCATAAGAAACTACAACAAAATTGCCAAATTATGAACTAAACAATAAATACAAAGTATTTAAAGCTTTGTGCCCTTTTCCTTGTGTATTGATACTATTAAAAAGCATTTCCTACACTATCTACTCTAGCTAGAAGGCAAAGAACACAACTTTAATTAGCAAAATCTGCTAATAACTTTGTGTATTCACATAAAAAAATCCATTATAATTTAAATGGGGTAATCATTTTTGTATTGTTACTCCCCTAAAGGCTACAAAAACAAATTTAGGGGGAGTACTACATAGGCTTGCCTCAGTGTTTCCAAACCAAGCTTTGGCCTTGACTACATCATGAAATAATGTATTTCTTAGGGAACACTAGCTAATAATCATAGTTGCTAAGCAACAAGTATCAGTGCAAGTGGTGTTTTTTATTTAACAAATTAACAGAGACATGGTTGGGGGTGTTTGTTTATATAATGTGTTCTGCTGCAACCTCAAATGTGACAAAACATGTTGAAACAGAAACTCCAAAATCTTCATGAAACACGAAACTAAGAAATTGTCAAAACCATCAATAGAGTCTGCAACACCAACAACTTTATATTAGGGCATAAATAAAAGGAAGCCCACAGCCTCCTCTGATCCACATGTGGGTGGAACTTCTTTCAAAGGTCAGCCGGGGACCTGCTTCACTTGATGTGGACCAGTAACCACTGAAACATGTGTGGGTATATATGGAAAATGGTACATTTATCGCAATTATATTGTACTTTTATTAATTGAAGGGAAAAATAAAGGGATACTCTAAAATATACTCAAGTCTATGTAAATATTTAATATATATTCATACACTCGGAAGTGCAAAGTTTCCTCTCAATAATTTTCGCCTCTGTGACCAAAAACCAGAAACTCAACACAGACAGTTACGCTGAAGAGAGCACAGGACTGCAAAATGTCCATTCTTTATTGTTGCTGTGCGAAAAAAAAGGGCTTAAATGTAAGCACTTCAAGTTTTAGTTAGAATTTTCCAAAGCACTATACCTTCCAGTCTGTTCCTAGGGGCCCTCGTGCTGTCTTTGCCGACTTATACTTACAAGGATCCTCCTCTGGCTTGTAGTCCTGAGGTCAGAAACCAGAAAACACACAGCGTAAGGGTACACGAAAAGCCAAGAACATGCTTTGAATATTTTTCCACCATATTAACCTTTGGCTCCACTTGGCTTCTATCTGCAATATCAATATAGACTACATCCACCTTCTTCCAGGTTTCGGCATCCAAACCATGTACCTGTAACAGAACCATGGGGCAGTGAAATACTCTTTTTTGAAAGAAACAGGACAAAAGTCTAAAATGCCAGACACATATCTGTAATAGCAAATGGAGTCTGTTTTTGCAATTTTATCTTTTCAAAACCTGATATGGATGCTATCAACAAGAGGACTGTTTCTGTATTGTATACAATAACTAATGGCATTAATTACATAGCTAACAGAGCAACTTTCTGCAAGAAACAACTAAAAACTTGAAAACTGAATGATAAGAAAACAGGAGAAAACAAAAATGATTATCTTTACTCACATTTTCCTGGTGTCCCATGTCAGGTTTGTGCCATGTTTCGATCTTGATCAGGAAGTTATCTTTCATGTACTCATTCTGCAAAGACAAGAGAAGAAATCCTGAGTATAAAGAGTTGCATTGACACTCTAAAGTAAAATGTAAAAAAAATAATGACAAAAAATCCATTAAAAGTTTTGTTATATGGGTCAGAGCCATTCTCACATATACCCCAGCACACACACGCACACACACCCACACAGCCATGGTGTCTAACGATCCCTGCTGTCACTGAAAAAGATCACATTTCTCTCTCAGCTTTCAAGTTAACTTGCTCCATCTGTGTGCATTGAAATGTGTTCTGTCCTGTATGTAGACCTTTGAATTCATTTAAGCAAACACAAAAAAAGAAAATACTCACGGTGATGACTGCAGAGCCAGATAAGGGAAAGCATAGGGGTACACATAAAGAAACACAAAACAAAAATTAAACAAAACTGAAGAACCTTTAACAAATAATACAATTTTAGTCAATTCCTATCCTTGAGAATGTAGTACGTAAACTAATATGATGCGTGACTTTGTTTGTATGACAGATGGCTGTCTAACGGCTGGCAGTGTGCACGAGTGTTCATGCTAAAAAGGCTGGAGTGATTGCATAGTCCTTCTCACTGGACACTAAATTATTCAGCTCCTGCTTCAAGGTGACAGAGATCCAGAGGCATACAGAGGGAAGGAGACGTATCCATGACACCAAGACAGCATATTTGATCTGAACTTGTTGGAGTCACTTGTACCCACACTTTACAAAGAACAAGATGATAGAGATAGTGTTTCTGAACATTCTCTAGTAGCAAATACCATATTAGCTTAAAGAGTGGCACACCAAGATGTAACCTGTAAAGACGACTAACCCAGAAACTGCTTTTATCATTCATACACTGATGAGGAAAAACCAAGTTTCTGTAAAACTTGTATCCTGAATACAACCAAAAGGAGGATACATCTGTACACTCAAACTTTTTTGAGAATTTCTGACCAGCAAAGTGGTGAAAACATTTACTGTACGTGACCACTGTATACTGCTAAACGCCATTGTTACTCTCCAGAACTGTGAAGTATCCTACTGTGAATGTTTACTTGCCTGTGCGGCAGTATGGGTATGCATTCCAGGCTTTCTCGTGGATGTTGAGTGCTGAAGCCGGAGCCAACATTCTGACAAATGACGGCACTTTACTGGAGGACAAACAAGTAAAGACAGAACAAATTTTGATTAGATTAGTCAGGTTTGATTATGAATATATTATTAGGGACCACCAAGCTCCAAAGAAATGCAAAATAGCACCCCCCTCCCATAAATGTATTTATGGTATTGCTATTCATGATCATTCAGCTGAAATAATCTGTTTTAGAGAGCTCCACCCCTTCAGTAGAGGAAAGCAAATCTGCAGACTGAGCAAACTAATTAAAAAAACATTTTTCTCTGTCACTTTTAATAAAAAATTTGTGAGTGGACTTAATGGGAATACCGCACACAAGAATTTAACAATAAAAACATCACTGATTAACTGGTTACATAGGAGTGGTTTACTGTTTGGAATACCTGTCAATATTCCTTTCTAAATACTTACCTCTGCAAATGGTAGATTTTGTGTGTGTACTGTCCCTTCTCTCCTTCTTTCTCATAGGGTTCATTTTTGAGCACCTCCACTCCTTCCCCTCCTCCTGTCTCATTTTTGCTGGCCTCGGCCACAGAGTAAAGCTGGCCAACCTGGTACTGAAACACACGAGACAGCAGGTTAAAACAAAGGAGAGGATGCATTTTCCAGAAGAAACAGAAGCTGCACAAAGAAGAAAACTGTCAGAGAGAAAAAGGCAACCTGAGAAATGTCAAGTACTTTCAAATAAGCTATGACCATGAAGAAAAATTTGAAATTGGTGTCATCCTTCTCTACTCTTTCTCCTTCTCACATCCCCCTCATCATCTCATCCCCCATCATGCTGATCCAGAGTGTGCATGTGATTGTTTAAACACAGGACAAAAGGTTCTTTCATTTCTTAATCACCTCTAATCCATCATATAATCACTACACAAAGCTGGACTAAAGCACACGTACAACACCACTAAGATGGAATAAATCAGTCTGAGTTATTTTCTTATTTTTCCAAGAGACAGATAAGATATATTCTCTGTATTCTATTTTCAGGATGTAGGTCAAACATTATGGAAGTATGATCAATTACATGTCCACAAACACTTTGAGAAAAGTCCAATAATCTGCTGGTCTTTTATATAAAAGCTAACAGTGAGTTTTTTTATACATATAACTATGTTCTAGGGTCTTTATTTAAGCGGAAACCATTGCTGAACCAAAATGTCTAACATCCCTTGTGAATTTAGGTGTTCTGATTTTGAGTCCACTGTTTGAGAGTGATTAAGCAGCTTCAAAAACATATATTTTTCCATCGTATGTGCAACTCATTTCTGTCAATTTTAGTAGTGTGTGAAACTAATTGCTGTATCTGTTGGACCTTTACTTTGCTGTAGGAAAGAGATAGGCCAGAGAACACATATCAGCTTTTTTGTGACTATTCCAGCAGTCAAGTTCTGAAATGGTTAAGATTGCAAAGTGCATCTGTTGTGTACATTTCTCAATGTACTAATCTCAGTGAGTCCCCCTCTGTTTTTCATCTTGTGAACAGGTCCTTAAGATGGTCTATACAATTTCTGCTTTGACACTGCAGACTACTGAAAACCCGTAGGTTCTACAGGATTGGAGAAAACTTTCCTGACTCTCCAGCAATTTGCAAAATGTGAGGCCAGCACAAGCTAGAAGGACGTAAAGATACTTTGTGTGTATTTTCTTTTTGTTGTTGTTCACATGTTGTGTTTCTTACTGTGACAGTGCACAATCAGATTCTGTATTCCATCTTATCCAAAGAAGGTCATCCACAATCTCAGTTTACAGACTCAATTTGAAAACTTAATCTGACAGAACCTGAAGAACTCCTGCTGATACAAGGACAAGCAGGTATATCTGTCAACTGGTGGGTTATATTTTTGTTTTATTTCTTTTCTGCTCTCTCATTGACATCTCCGGTGCCAAAGCAGATAATTCCTACCAAGTGGTAGCTACTGTGGGCTGGCTACGATTAAGAATGAAACATTACTGTTTCATAATACTAATACTAATACCAATACTTCCACATACCAGCAAACTTAAGTAATTTAGCTTATGAATTGCATATGCACAGTAGAAATAGGACTGGTCATGTCAGCTACTGACTGAAATATGTTGGCAGGGTCAGATAAACACTCACATATCCCCATTAAATATATGAGGACAAAAGGTGAAAAGTCTTACACAGAGGTCATGAGAAGGTTTTTAATTGCAAAAGCTTTGAAATAGTGTGCATCATTTTAAGGAGCACATAAGAATCTTCAGGGTATAAAATATGCCGGAGTTAAACTGCAATATTGCATTGCAAGTCATGATTTCTGATTATTTAGATGGCAACTATAAAATCATCCATGAAAAGGACACTTATGATTACTGACTGGTCTTTTAGATATTGACCGTGTGAGAGCACTGTTCAGTTACAGCAAAAGCAATAAGGCAATGACCAACCTGAACTGTCCTGCATGGATTTACAGTTTGACATTGCCATATGAGGCCAGTCTATTTTCAGTTATGCCATAACGTTCTGGTCTGATACACATAAAGATTTCTTTTTAAAAATGGCTCCTTTCCAAAAAGTTAACGCACTGGAAATCAGATTTTTGTTATGGAGCTTCATGACATGGTCTCCACAAATAGAACAAATTCACTGAATAAAGAGTCAAATTACATGAAAATTAATTTTGTGCATCATTCAAATCGTACAAGATAAATTGAAAGAGAGATCAAATTTAATCTCGGAATGGCTCTAAACCACCGTGACTCTTCTTTTGTGGAAAATAATAGAAGATTTCTACTTCAAACAGTCAGCAGAGGGGGGCAAGGAGAAAATGAAATAAAAGCAAATGGGGAGATAGGAGTGTGGCTCATATTTTAGAGAATAAATGTATCCAAATTGTAAAACATGTGACATGATAATATATCCAGAGCAGCTGTCTGAGAGTCTACTAACACGTTTACATTATTAAAGAGGAAATAGATAAATAAAAAAGCAACATTACACAGTATGACAGAATCAACTCCCCATTGACAACAAGGTAGAAGAAAATCCTGTCGGCTGGCTTCTTTTGCAGCCACAACACCTACACACCTATCAGTCATTGAATCAACCATGAACTCCACTGTAAATCTCAGTACTTTAGAGTCAGATGTGAGGCCATCTGTCTGACAGCTAAAGCCTGGACAAAATTAGGTCATTCAGCAAGACAGTGGTCACAAACACAACAGCAAATGTGTATCGGAATGACTGAAAAACAAAAGAAAAGCTGTGGAGCTTAACAGAGCTGTGGACGAATGAAAGGTTGCAAAAATTAAAGAAACGAGGTGATGTTGTGAGAATGGAATGGACCAAAGTTCAGCCACTTTAATGTGTAACATCAGACAGAAATTGATTTTTTCAAGATCCAGTCATCATGAGGTGTAGTTAGTTACACTACACTACATTACATCTGCATTTTGGCTTCGTTTTTATTAAGTAAATAATGACACTATGGAATGTGTTGCCTGAGATTGATCGAATTTTAAGATAAGTTCAAATCGGATAACTATTCTAAATAAATGTCCAGATATATAACGCCATAAAAATGAAAAACTGAGTGATTAGTTTTCACTGAACTGGACTTTTTAAACAATAAAAGAGACAAAGTAAGACCTGGAGATTACAACTGAAGGAATATTTTGTATGTGCTGTCAGTATAGACTTTAAATTGGAGATTTCAGTCCAGATTTTGGGACACATAGAACTGGATTGTGAAAGCGAAGCTTATCAGCAATACATCTAGAAGGCAACAAGGAGATCACTTTATGACTGTTGGACTGATAAATCAACATTTACATCATATTAGTAACTGAAAGCAGAAAGCCATTTTACGCCCACAAACACAGTCAAACTAAAAAATGAAGGATTACACCAAAGAATGTTTTCCTTGCTCAGATATGGCCTCTTTGGGTCACTGATGAGACTCAGGTGTGCACTAACTGGTGCTCTATGCTGCAGTGTGTGTAATAGAAGATTAACTGGTTTAAATGTTTGTTTTTATCAAATGACCCTACTAAAGGTAGATTACAGTAATGCTGCATTAATCCATAATTATGTAGGAAAGTATAGGGGCAGGTGAGCATGTGATGTCATGGAAGTGGTTTCAGGTTGCTGATTTAAAATGCAGGCCTGAACAGTGGAGCAGTCAACAGAGTAAATGATGATAAGGCAGGGAGCAGGGACAGGGAAACACTGCTGGCTGTTTTACTTCAACAGTCCATTTGGTCACGGCAGCTTTTGAAATATATTTTCTCAAGGTAGCCACAGCTGTGTTTTTCGAGCTTTGAGTGCATTTTTCATATGAATGTATGAAACGTTAGCAAATTTACTTGGAACAAATGGAATGATGCAGGCTTTAATTACTTTTCATAAACAGGAGAACCCTGCGCTGCAGTTTAGCACAGACAAACACACATTCTCTTTAGAGCGTGAGGCACTAAACTTACCTCTTCCACAGAGATGGGAAGAATCACTCGACTGGAAGAGAAGGAAGAATAAGTTAGATGGAAAGTTAAAATGTTTTTAACTATCAAATGCAGCTCAGGCCTATGTTTTCACACAGAAAGAAACGCAATTCACCACAAAACGAATGAAAGTTGAATCAGTGGTTGTCTTTAGGTAACCAACGGAGAGGGAAAGAATAATTGAATCGGCTTTGACTGAGTGTTTTTGCCTTGATTCATTCATTATTAATTTAGTCAAACATTGTTCTGTCTCATCACAGTGTTTAAAGAAGGCCATTGAGAAAACTGCCTTACATGTGACCATATAGGAGATTTATCACCAAACCCTGGACTTACTCTGTAGCCAAATTACTCTTGGCTTGGACTGACACATGAACAAAATAGTTTTTTTCCACGACTGACCAAGTAGCAATCGGCCAAATGTAAATCAAATAAAGGAAGGATAGAGCACACATGTAAATATGATGCACCTGTGGCAAACCAGTGGCACATTACGCCCACCTCCAGTTCTTTTTGCTCACAGTTACTGGTTCATAATGTTATTTTAGGGAAATAACACTTAATTCATTTAGCCGTATCAAATTAGAATAAACAAATTCTTGTGGATTGGTGTAAAGTAAGAGACTGAATATTAAAACAATAAGTAATGTATATGAATATTTGATAATAAAACAACATTATCTTCAATAGGTACAAGACTTCCGCCTGATAGCCACATTGCACCTTACAGATCTGCCAACACTGGCAGTTGCACACATGTCCACACGTGCAAATCCACACACCACATCTGGCCTCTTTTGCATCATTGACAGCGTTGGTCAGCTGAAACACACACACTCCATTCTCTGACCCTTGTTTGTCGATCACGTAACGCACATGTACAGGATGCAGCTTTTTTGATTGTTCGGTGAGCGCATGAAGTGTGCCAAAATTCTTGTAATCCTGTTTCCTACTTGCCATTGAATGTAATCTGGGTCTAAGTCTCATATAGACAGACACTGGATTGGAGACCAGATGCCACAAAGAAGACACTCTAATGTCTCAGAGTTCTCTCAAGATAATAGTGATTGGAATGGAAATAATGAATAGACTGAATTTTAAGCAATCATAAGATTTTTTTTGTTCATTTCCCCTTAATCTTTGTTCTGTAAATGCTATTTCTTAAGCATCTGTTGCTTGAGAATTTCCCTGTCTCCTTGGTCTTCCAAATGGAAGATCAATTGACTCACTGTTGCTTCAGAAAACAGACACCTTGATCCCTGTGCATTCTCTTTTTTAAAATGTTCACTCCTTTCCTGTTGCTGCTTCTGGGTAACTTTTCGCTGCTTTTTGGGTAACTCACTTTTTTCACATTGTGTAGTCCTGTAACAAAACAATAGCAAAGGGGAGGGATTTGGGTCAGTGGTTCAGGTGAGCAGAACAGAGTCTAAACAAACTCCTGTCTGCCTGTGCACGAGCAAGGCCGGAATCTATTACCTGTTTTCCTCTTTGGTGCTTTCTCTGTGGTTCGGTGTGTTTACATGTTTGCGTGGGTACGGGGTTGTTGTCACGTCAGTGTGTTGACAGTGCGGAAGTGCATTCAGCCTTTAATCGTGACCGATTTAATTAATTTCTATCCCACTGCTGAGGCCCATACTCTCTCTAATCACTCCAGATCTTTAGTCGTGCCATCACTCTGATCATTCTTTTTTCTTTTATGTATGGAGTCTTAAATTTATTAAATACACGTGATATGAAATCAAGACAATAATTTTGGTTGAAAATTGGTAAATCCACTGACATTTTTCAGGTTCAGTGTTCAGGAAGCTGACAGCAGCTGCTACATGTGCCATGTTCAGAGTTTTGCTCTGACCTTGTCACAACTAGAATAAAATTAAATACATAAAGAAGACAAATAGCTGCTTTAATCAAGGCAAAATTCCAAAATCAGGCATGTGGATAAGCTGTAGCAATAATATACTTTAAAAATTTGAAATATTTTCACTCATTAAAGCCAAAATGGTCCCTGTTCACAGCTTCTCCCTCACTGCTTTCAGAACAGCTGATTTAGGCCTCAGTTCTCCATACAGAACACGAAGCCCAGATAAATGAATGTCTTAAAACAATGTACCGAAAAACCCCTTCCCCTTTAGCACGTACAACTGTACTGTATGTGCCATTTCGTCCCCCAGGGCCCTGCGTCTTATGGCGCATCGAAGCCTCGTCATTTGCCCTTTGAGCCACCTCGTCCACCTGCCCGGCCCACTCCTCCTCTGCTCCGGCCATCGCTGGCCTGCCTCACCGTCTCCATTCCTCCACAGCTAAGCCCTGAACGCTCCACGGCTCGTTTCACCTTCAGCACGGCGCATCAATAACACGGACGGACGGACTGATGGACGTTGGCGCGGCATGGCACGGCGCGGCGCGCTCGTGCCAGCCATGTCAGCCTCAGCACCGCGGCTCCTGTCGAGCATCGCTCACTACAGCGGCTCAGCAAAAAGGAATTACAGCCGGTGGGAAACCCGACTCGAGGGGGGGCTGGCGATGCGCGCCGTGAAGGGCACAGCCGCGCACCAGCTGCTGATGCAACCGCAGCCTAGACTCTCATTCATCCCGAGACCGTGCGCGGTGTCGAGAGAAAAACAGATCACCGACACGAAGACGAGCCCTACTGTCGACATCACATCTCCTAATTCCCCTCTCGGGCTGCCGGCCACAATGTCAGTGCAGTGCAGCGAAAACCAGGCGCGTCAACGCTCCCGCACGCACACACATCAACACACCAACGCGCACACACGGTTACTTACTATTCCTTTATGAGCATTTTATTGTGGTATCTTTGTTTTTTTTCCCTCCGGCGAAGTGACCGTATATCCCAGAGGAGAACGGCTCCAAACTGATCTGGAAGCGGGGTCGATTCCTCCCTCCGTTATATTCGTTTTATTTTTCTCCGCTTGATTCTCTCCACCTCTTCCCCCCTCTATGTCATTCTACCTCCACAGTCGCTATTTTCTTGAAATTCACTTCCTGATGGGGGCCGCGGCGCGGCGTTGCTGTTGCGCGCAGAGCAGCGGAGGCTGTTCAGAGAGGAGAACACACGGAAAACGATGGTTTCATCCGGGGAGTGGTCACTGCTGGATCCACAGAGGGACATCCTGTTTCCACGAAAAGCCGGAATAAACTCACAGATACAAGTCTTTTAAGTTCAGCAAACGTATTACAGATAAAGAAGACGATAAATATTCAATTAAAAACAATTTCTGAAAAGGATTTTTCTATTTAGGGGCCAGACAATGACATAAAAAATAAACCTTTTTTTGAACATGCAGGAAATGGGAATAAATCATAAGCAACAACCTGGTGCATAATTGGTGTTATATCAGATCAGATTAGATTCACCTCAGAATAACAACAACTGGGCTGCTCTGGACCGTTTTTCTCACAAGTGTGCAGCACATTGCGTCATCGTGACAGGGGTGACGTAGAAACGCACGAAACGGGGACTACTGGCGGTACAGGCGCATGATTCACAGGCTCAGTCCTTCAAACACGGATTTTTTCCCTTCACTCCATTGAATATATATTAGATATATGCTGATGCCTGTCATCATTTTGTTTTGTTTTTTAAAAATTGTCCTGATGTAAACTGTATTTACTTCCCTTCTTAATACTGTAAGCCCACTTCATTAATCCTCATGGAAATGAAAAACTGCCCTGCAGTTCCCTGAGGGCCCCCGGGAGGTCTCCTGTCCTCTGCAGGGTGGTCTTAGGGATGGTGCTGCATGACGTTTCATGTCAGGACTCAAATCCAGGCCCACTTACCGGATATGAGCGCATGTGTACACTCTAATATTATATAACCGCTGACTGTTGCCGTATTTATAGCACATCTCTGTCTGCCACCCGCTTACCAAGCTTCTGTCTTCTCACCGTAGGAAACGTTTTTAGCTCTGTGGCCTACATTATTTCTTAAAAGCATGATTTTGGTTCTATGTAATAATGGCAGCTTACTATAGGGGTTACTTGTAAAGACAGGTTGATATTTACAGAGACTGTACAATGTGAAAAGGTAGTGTGAGGATTATCACACAGATGACCAGCTTTTATCTGTTATCCCCCTTTCTTCTTCATCATCTCTGGCTTTATGTTTTGTGACATTCGTAGAGGGGTTCATTTCAATGATATTAATCGAACTCATTGAATGGGACATCTCAGAAATTTTTTTCATACTGGGATCTCTAAAATTTCAATATCTAAACTGTAATGTAGAATACTATGACACCCTCAAATTTAACAGTTTTGATTTGATTCACTGAAAGCTTTCATTAGTTAAAAGAGCTGGAAAAAAAGTATGCCATTGACCAAGATACATCAATTGACTATATGCATCTTAATTAAAAACACATTTTCTCCAAACTCCAGGTTATATCATTTTTGGATATATGATATTATAAATGTTTTTTAACATTCTGAAATAAGCATAATAAATAAGCAACTCAAACACAGCAAAAAGACAAAATATGTGTAGCTGGATAAGGGGTAGGAAGTGACTTCCGAGGCCTAAAGGAACCAAAGCCTGGCTCCACCATTATGGCTGTTTTAGTTCAAAATGTTTAGTTAACAATACATTTTGTTTTGTTATGTCAGTTTAAAAAAATACTGACATTTTGGATGCAATGAACAGTTTTTAACTCTTATATTTGGGAGGGAGTATGGCAATATGGGAGCCAGATCTAAAGAACCATTCATACAGAATAAAGTCATAAGCATTTCCACCTAGTCAGATGTGCATTTTGTCTACTTGACATTTTATCAAGAGAGTTAAATTTGTCCTTTCCTGTATTATTCAAAGCCCTAGCAGCCAGAAACCTGGGTGGAGAAGGATGAGGAAGCCCTACCTCAAATATGAAAAAGTTTTTTTTGGCTTTGAAATGCATTATCTGGTTGATGGCTGGATTCTATAAAAAAGAAACCAAACCGATGAAGCAGCGTTTTCAGCATCATCAGCTATTCTGATATAAGCAATGTTCTTTCATATCTTGGTCAGGTGGTCAGAGGTGCTGAGGTGTCAAGTGATAACCATCTGCTAGAGCACGGTGTCAGATGGCGGAGCTGGGCACTGATAGGGTCGGTGAGACCAAAGCGTTTACAGTGATGAGCATGTGCTGAGAACATCTGTCGGTTAAGATGTACAGAATCATTCTTGATTTTAGCTTGGGGCAAGACTCCATGCTGAAAAACGCATTGTGACGACACTCTACTCAGCATCTGGGAGTATTGGCTCCTTTTTTACACATGCACATTTTTCCAGCTGTCCAATATTCATACATTTGCACCTTTGGTCCCACGTAACATTACATAGATGATATAGAATTTTGCAGTGTGTGTAAGATCTGAAAAAATAAACGCTGCCTTGATTTATCCATCTTTCCATCAGCTATCATTGACCTCTGCTGGATGGTTGCGGAACAACCAGAACATTTTAAATAAACTCAATTCTAAAAGGTCTTTTTAAACAAACAAAACAAACATTTTCTATGAGGTTTGGTGGCAGAATAACTTTATCAGGAGCTTGATTAATAAGAGGCATTGAGTTAAGTGGTTAGCAGTGGAATAAAGAAATCCTTTATTAACTCCTACATTTTTCAAAGAGTCTTGCATAGAAAAAACATCTCTACAATCTTCAGTCATATGACGGAGTTTTTATTCCAAAAAAACAAAAAACAACAAAATAGTACCACATAACCAGTCTCCAGAGTAGCACAGAATAATTCAAATGCACCAAAAGATATTTGTTGAAAGTGTCACATAAAATAAATACATATATATATGAAGGTAGTGGGTACTATACCTTAAGGGGACCTTAAAGTGCCAAATTGAGCTAAGTTTATTTGGAAAAAAAGGATAAAAGTGCTGCATTCCTCTTTACAGTAGGGAGACGGGCTGGATGACATACAGACTAAAACTAAGACATCTGAAAGAAAACAGGTTAACAGCTGCATCCACTGGAAAGCATTAAGTATACTTTAACTGGAGTTTTTATGCAATACAAATGAGATAATGTTTTCAGAGTATACCTTTAATGAATTAATGTGCTCTTTAACTCGAAGGTACATCTAATAAGTGAATGTGAATATTGAAATAATATTAATAAAGAAAATATAATAAATACTATATTATACTGGTCTACCCATCGCACAGTATATTAGACTCTACAGTTATAGTGTCATCAGATGTTAGTCTTAATAAGAAGTTTTTAAAAATCCAGCCTCAGAATCTTCACTATCTTCTCTACTTGCCTGAGGAACACCAGCAATGTCTCCTCTTTCACTTCATCTTGTCCTCCTCTACTTTACACCATTTGATGGGAAAATTGCACTGATGGACTGATAGATAGCATCAAGCTGATAAATCAGGATGGCTAAAAGTTAACATGTAAAATGAAGAGGAAAATCAGACTCAGAAAGCTTAGTGAATTTGGATGTGAGGGTAAAGTTTTTGGTGATTTCAAAGTGGGAAGCTCGTCCTTTTCTTTTGCTTATATGGAGATATCAGAGCAGTCTGAATTATAGATCGAAGCTGTGCTGGTGTGCAGTTCAGATGGGAGGGAAAAAAGAGAGTTCTGAGGATTTGGGGGAATACAGATGGCTCATGCCTCTTTCCTTTCACAGTCTTTCCTCTCTCTCGTCCTTCATCCCATCCCCTGTGCGCTTTACTTTTCTCTTCAACAGCTGTTCATTGGACACATCTCCATGGAAAGTATCATACTAGTTTTTCTTTTTAAAATGTGGACAAGTTTAACAAATACATGTTAAACATTTCAGTTGTCCCATTAAAACAAATTTCGGATGCCTATGTGCGTGTATCACTGGCTGGCCCATATTCCTCAGCATCTTCTTTTTTTAGCTGCTTTCTGTCTGGTTCTACTTTCCTCTAGACGAAGGCCTCCGGGATATCTGAGCCGTTGATTTTGATGTATATCTTGGCATTGTTTGCTTTCTGCTTTTGCTGTTTGTGGAGCGTCCGTCTGTAGCAGATCAGGTAAATAGGCAGCAAGAAGCCCAGCAGACTGAGTGCAAAGAGTCCAATATTTACCTGAAGGACAATACCAGAATTAGCCATGCCAAAGAGCGGAGAAGCGGATGTGTTCTCTGAAGCGTATTTATATTCTTACCCAGAAAGGGTCTCCTCCCAAGGGTCCCATCATGGCTAAAAACAGTGGCTGCTGCAGCAGAGCGAACACAGCGCTGACCAGAGACTGCATCCCTGTTAGACTGCCAAACTGGGAGGAGGGATACCTGGAGAGGCCAGGGAGGTCAGGTTCATTTCTCAGTAAAAAGTCAATCATGAAAAAACGCAAAACAACATTAAAGGCGTTGACACAGCGAATGACTGAAAATGAATGAGTGCTTTCATCAAAACTATTGACTGGGAGTGTATGTGTGAAGTTAAAGGAGCAGTGACACTTACACAGCTGCATACAGGCCCCCCACAGCAGAGTGGATGAACCCTCTCACCACAGTGTGTAAGACAAATGACACAATCTGAGGAAAGTTGAGAGAAAAAAGTAGAAGGAATATTTTTTACTTAGTTTATAGCAGCAGTCAAGCTAAATATGTGTGGTCTTTCCTCTCAACTGAGCTAGCCATCAAAAGCTTTGCATCTATGATTGAGCTGTTTCTCACTGACAATACAGAGTCTATGAGCAAAGGTTCAAGTTCTGGACACTGTCAACATCAGGAGGGCCGCTCACCTGCAGAGGGAGATTTGGCACCAGGCAAGTGACCCCAAATCCCACCAAAAGGACATTTGTGAGGACAAATGCTCGTAGCGCGTTGGTCAACTTCTGCATCTTCTTGTCTCTGCGCTTTTTCTTTGTTTCACCACTGGTGGTTCAGAGAGGACACAAGTAAGAAAGGTAAGATTCTCCCAAGTCTTCGAGTTTCGTCTGGTTTAGAGTTGTTCAGTTTAGCGCTATAGTTATAGAACTCCTTCTCCAAAAAGTTATATTCAAGTAGAAATAAAGGGTTTGGCCAAGCTTTTAAGAAGTTGTAGCTAACTACTAAAAACTTTACTCACTTGCTAAGGGGTTCCTTGTCGTCTTCCCCATCATCACACTCTTTTAGTTTCCAGTCCATGATCTGACCAATCACAGGGGTGGTCATGAGGCAAAGAAACTGCAGCACGCCGAAGATGGAGGAGTATAGACTCACTAGTGATCACAATCAGGACAAAATAGCGGATTAACAGGCATAAAACAAAATGCAGGTTTTACAGGCTGGTGGTGGAATAATAAAAAAGTTGACATAAAAGGACAGAAAGTGTCTCTTTCTGCTCAGGTATGATGGTGCAGTTAATGATTAGTCAGAACTACTGGAGCCATACTGAATGCATCAACAGGGTTGTTCAAAAGTCAATAAGATGCCATTTGGAGGGATTTATGGCTCCGGGAGCAATGATACATGAAAAGGGCACCATGTGAAATGACTTGTATCATGTGTATACTCTGCTGATGCTGAGAGCCAAAGTTAGTTAATGAGTACTACTAATGGGACACTGTGGTTTCAGACTAAATCTGAATGACAGATAAAGGGCTGCATGGTTACTAAGGACAAAAGCCAAAGTCAACTGTAGCAAAGCTGACTTTGAGAAAGAGGCCAGAAAGTGGATTGAATATGGTAGGGAGTTGTGATGAGAAACCTAAACGAAACTAGAGATTTGATTCTATTTGTTGGTCTGCTGGACAGTTAGTATTCTAATACCTCAGGAATCTATTGTTAGATCTGGAAAAATATCTTACCGACTTCCATCCTTTCCACTGTAAATTCAGTTAAATAAAGAAGTTCAGTTGCTTTTAGTTCACATCTTATTTAGAATCACACAGCTGAAGATTTTACATAAGCAAACACACTCACACAAGATGTGGACACATCTTTCAAGCACACAAAGACCGACTGACCTGTGTTGAGGTCTCCATCGCTGAGCGACTCCAGGACACTGTTCAATGCTCCCATGTAGAACAAGAGACGAAGCTGAGTGATGCTCATGGTCAGAGCACTGAGCATGAAAATTGGGCTCATGATGCTTTTCAGGAAAGATTCAGCTGCAGAAAAGAAGAGGGAAAAAACTTTAGATTACAGGAAGTTGCATGAAAACCACACAAAATTTCTCTGAAATCCAGTTTTTTATGAATTTGTCGCTTGTCTTTCATACTGCACCCTTACATTCTTCCTTTGGCTTGCCGTCCATTTCTAGGTCCATGGTGGAGAGGCAGAGATTGCGTCCATCTTTACTGACGAGCTCCTTCTGCTTCATGTTGTTGCTCACGCTCAGGCGGCGGCCCACTGTGGTGACTTGGTGGTAAAACTGCTTCCCGGTGATTTTATGGTCAAATCCCAGCCAGCTGAACTTGATCTTCACACTAAGAAGACAAAGATGGAAAACGAGACAAACAAAAAGGTTTGGGTGAGCTAATGATGCTGGATGTCCTGTTACATTTCTTTATGTTTATAATGTTTGTTCTTTATCAGGGTTTACTAACGTGTAGTCCATGTCCTCTGGTCCTGGGAATGGTTCCAGTGGCCAGTTGAAGAAGCAGTTTAAGAACACCAGTCCAGCACAGGAAGCCCACACCACCAGAATGGTAATGAAAGGTATGCCAAAGTCATATATTACCTGTGCAAAAACATGGTTGGTGAATAAAGAATGAATGGAAAACATATAGATTAGCTTCTGAATTTGCAAATCCACCAAAAAATAAACTGTTGTAAAATACTGAAAATCTGTCCTAACTATGATTAATAGCAACTGAATGCAACCAACAGTCTTAACTCAGAAATTGTGTGTAGCTGCAAATGTTTGCCATGGATATTTTTTGCCATGCAAAGCTGAAAACAGGGTTCTAATCAAACTTGTAAAATTGTGACTTTTTGCAGATATTTGGCTGTCAAGGGACAGCAAAACCACAAACTGTCAAATATCCTCCAGAGTATGTCAAATTCTGTTACAATAAATACATTGAATAAACGGCTATAGATTAGACAAGCCATCTTCAGTAGTTGTAATAAGGTCAAATGTTTACATTGTCTGAAAGTAATTCAACATTTCGTGGGTAAATTTGTTTTTATCTTACCTTAACACCAGGGAAGGTGACAGCAGAGGAGGCATAGGAGCCAATCATCAGGGCGATGAAGGTTGAGCGGAGGTCTCCAAACATGTTAGGGAGCTAAAAAAAGATGTAAAATATACAAATTATGTTTGTATATTGTGAAATCATCACAACCCATCCTTAATAAAATCACTTTTAGTTCAAACCTACTAGTTAGTGGAAGCCTATTATTGTGAATGTGTCAACAGAGGTTGAAGTATTCATTCCGAAATGTATTAACTGAACTGTACTCAGTAAAAGGAGTATTATAAAGATGACCATGGGATGACACCATGGGAACCACTGCATGCACACATGACTATACATCAGAGAACATAAAAACACAACACATTGGTATGAAATCAGTGAAATCAATATGAACTAGGATCACATATCATGCACACAGCTTTCCAACACATGACACAAGAGCACTTTGAATTCATCACACAGCTGGATGCACCAGAGAGGGAGGTGGAGGTGGGGTAACATAGGAGGACAAAGGAGTCCCACAGTAAATATACAAGACAGTGAGAGGGGACTTCCCTTTTTTTGTTTTTTTGTTTATAACCTTTGCTCCAATTATGCGGAAAAAACTTGGAATTGGAAGATAAAACACCAGACAGTGGGGGGTAAAATACCAAGAACACAAAGGCGTTCACATGCTGTTCTTTTTTCAAGAGACTGAACAACAACAAGCACATTCAATTACATAAGAGCGGGGAAAGCTGAGCACGGTTTAGCATGTGTTTGTGTGTGGTAAAATGGAAGGGCATGTGCACCAGGTAACAGTGTTCCCGACACCAATATCATTCAGGAACACCAGTCAAACTGTTCAAAACAGATTTTGAAACATGGGTTATGTATTTGAAGTTGAAGTTTTGGACGCAGAGGGCAGCTGAACGACACCCCACAGCCATCAACTGAATATCAGTGCCTGAGGGTGCAGAAAGAGGTCCTGATCAAGGAGTCAAGGTGTGGTCTTGCGTCTAATCATTAACCCAACGCTGAGGCTTTTTTGTACTGTGTCGGGTTGTTAAGGGGATTAAGTGAAGCAGAGTGCGTGGCTTTCAATATGGTTATGTGCACAGGCTGTGATGGGTTGATACCTTCAGAAAAGGAGCTGATAAGACATTTAGGGATTAGATTAGAAATGAAAGAATTATCTAAGATGCGGTTGCAAAGAATAAAATTGTTACACAGAGAGAAATTTACAAGGGTAGAGCCCCATTTCTAGGGAGCAGGATCACCATGGTAGAGCCCAGGACTCCACAGTCAGTCACCGAAGGCTGAACTGATGGGAGGGAACAAAGGTACAAAGACAAAAAGGGAAAGAATGCAAATGAACGGCAAGGCATCGACCCTGTGACCCCTGAAAGAAATGAAGCGCTTCTGTTTTCTCTGTCTATGCATTCCAGGATCTGTTAAGGAGAGTAGAACTGATAATGTGAAAATATTTTTGTTTAAAGGACGCTGTGCAAAAATATAACCAACTTTACGATAATGTTAATGAGTACCAGTGAAGTCTGATACTTTGATGGGTTTTTAGATGTGGATAATTTTTTGCTTACTGAACCCCTCTGGGTTATGTAATGAATTTCCTTGAAAAAAAAGCACAGCACATTGATGATAATGAGTATGTTGTAGTTAATTTTTTACTAATATTCAACCAAACTTGTACAGGTGGTAATAACTAAAAATAACTTGGCTCATATCCCACAAGGGCATTCCACAAGGCATACATATTATTCTTTTAAACTGATCAGATCATCCTTCTCACTGTAATAGGTTGAGCCTGGCTGCTCAGAAGAGCAGTGTTCAGCGTTAGACACCGAAAGAAAAAAAGAAAAAGAGACCTAGAGACAAAGAAACTGGAATGCCAGACTAGAGGGGAGGAAGAAGGTGAGCATGCAGGGAACCGGAAAGCTACGACAACAGAACAGTACCAGAGAGAAAGAACTATGGACATAGGGTAAAAACATCTGGCCAAACATCAGGCGGCAGGTGCAAAGGCTAAAGACTGAGATTATGGATTATGTAATGGCGCACACACTTACTGTGAGGGAAGTGAAGGTCATGCACATGCCTCCGAAGCCGTTGAATGTCAGGGCAATGAAGATAAGAACAGAGAGCTCTGCAAATGATACGGATATTAACTTGCATACTTTGCTTTGCATGGCGTGCAAAATGGTCTGTATGGATCACCTGGACATACCATTTGGCTTGTATGCTCCGTAAGCAATGAGGAGACAGGAAAATGCAAAGCACGTGCTGAAAACAGATAACAGTGTCAAACACAACAAGTAACAGGTGCACCAGCTGCTTGAATAAAGTCTGTTCCCCCTCTTGAGTTTTGCACTTGCTATTATTTTCAGATACCTTTCTCCAGGTTTCTTCTTTCCTCCATAAACCAGTTAAAGCTACATTTTCATACAGCATAAATTATCACCCCTTTTTTCTGCTCACCTGCCCAGCAGACGAAGCTTGCGAGGCCCATATTTATCCATGACGATCCCCAGAGGGAGTGTGATGGCCGACAGCAGGAAGGAGCCCACGGTGAAGGCCAGGTTCAGCATCTCATCTTGTTCTTTGCAGATCAGCCAGCCGTTCATCCTCAGTGGCCCATCCGCAGGGACCAGGGGCCTCATCTCCACCCCATCTCCCAAGCCCACCACCTCTTCCTCAGTCTCGTAGTAATCAGCATAGTCATCAGAAGGCGTTGTCGGCGGTAGGGACTGATTGTAGCTTGTAGCATTACCTGAAGACAGTGATGAATATCAGTTGAATTTATGGACTTATGTTACTTATTGCACAATATGAAAGGCATGCAAGTTGGTACACGGCTTCAAGTTGCCATCATGTGCCCATTTTTCTCAGAGATAACATCTTTGATTGTACCAGTGATCAAGAGTTCAGTTATACTGTGAGTTGTGGCTACTTTTTAGAAGAAATGTGAAGCTTCCCCTTTTTGTCTCCACGTGATTATGACACATTTGGAAGAATGCATGAGCTAGGTGTGTTGTAATCCCCAAAAGAGGGGCAACCACATGTCAGCATATTATCTGCAGAGACAGGGGAAAATAAGGACTTGGATCAGAAGATTAGAGTGTTTGATGTTAATTGCTTTTTGTTGACACATTGGAATGTCCTCGACAAAAAGTGATAAGATGGCACTAGCTGTTAACTTTTCCAAACGTGTAGGTAGATAGTGTGAAAAGGTTCATAAGTCCATGAGAAGACTCAGTGATGGAGCCAAGGGGGAAAACAGAATGGGACCTTAGCAACTGAGATGTTTTCTGAATTGCACTCTCTGTCTGTAGTGTAAGCCATATGATAGGATTGCAGTCACACAGTGCACGCAAGTGTGTGACATAGCCATGCGGAACACTGTGACGCACTTCATAACAAAGTGCCAAAGTCTTCCTCAGGAAGCCAGATCCCTTAATACCATGTATTGTGTCGATAGCACTATTGGCATGTGGTAGGTCAGACTGCAGAAATATTCACATTGGGCTGTATATATTCAATCCATGTGAAGTAACATTCAATTTAAACTCAGAGAAAAATACTTCTTGTAAAGCTGACACTCAATTGCTACTGGGACCGAAACTATTAGACATAGTTCCCTGTTACGCATGTGACACCAGGCCTTAATAATTTCCTTTTCATTACTGCTACATGTGCAAAAACAAAACCAGTCTGCACTGCACCTCTATCTTTGAGTCTACTTTATTTCTTATTGGCCCACCCACACATGGTCTGAATCCTGTTGCTCATCACTTTGCTATCAGCCACCCTCCTCCCTGGCTTTTTTCTCTGGACTTTAAACTGTCATTACCAGCAATAAAAAACCACCGAAGATCTCTTTGTTCCTCATTCACACGTCACATGCCTGAAAAGTGCTGAGCAGCAGTTCTTTCCCCTTTGTATCATCAGATTAAGATAAGACGTCATTGGCATTTCTCTGGGAAATTTTGAGTTTAGGATGTCCATACACACAGCACAGGCAGGACAGTAATCTGTACAGATGGCTCTTTGTTACTAAATGTGTCCAAATGAGGGGTCTTAAAGGTTTTGGGGTATTTCACTGGCAACAAGAATGGATTCCTTAGGATAAATGATGGGTAAGACAAAATTCAGGGAGTTAATAGAAAAAAAAACAGTGTGTTACATGTGTGGAGATGAAAACCTATCCATGCAGTCACCTGTCATTTGGGAAAACACTTCCTAAGTGATAGGGTGACTACTGCTGAGACAGAAAAATGGAATCCAGCCAATAGTCTGGAGTCAGTGGAATCTGCATGACACAGTGTTGCCTCAGGTCCAAAGGATAACTCTGCCCTGATTCTTCCACCACTCTTTCTTTTGCTTACCACAGCCAAAAAGACCAGATTATGAAAAGTCAGGCAGAGTGCATGAATGCCAACTTTGTACTTTAAACACAAAGAATCTGGCACACTTAACCCAGTGGGAGCCAATAATCTAATTTCCTTTAGAAGAAAGGCTTCGAAAAAGGCAAGAAATTGCAGTTTTGCAGATCATCACTGTCTACTAGCTTCCTCTCAATAAATCAGCTGCTCTGTCTTCAGCATGCCTGAGTTAAAATACCCAAATGGGGAACAACGGTAAAACTGGATGCTGTCCCATTTTCTAACACAGTGAAGGCTTTTATTTGTTAACTTCAGACCACATTGTCTACCTACTGCCCTGCTTTTCTTTAATTCAACTGATCGGGTTTAATCTCTGGAGTACCTACGAACAGCTTTTGACTTCTTTAACAAAAAACACCTGTTTTCCAAAATAATGGAAGAGGCAGGTAGGCAGTGTTGCTTTACATTTTGAAAAAACACTTGCTTCATCCTTTACACTGGCTGTAGATTAGAGTTTCACACAGTTCAGACTCCGCTTGGCCAACCAATCTATATTAAAAAGGCTTGTTTCTGGTGACTATACAGGTGAAAAAATCTACAGACTTTGAATTTGAGCAGAATTCAAGGTTATTTTAACAATGGAAAACTTAGGCTAACATTCCAGAGCTCCCAATTATGCACAAACAACGTTACAGCCGTGACTCACCCTCTTCAGTGCAGAGGTAAGAGTAGAAGCCCTCTGACTTGAGCATGATTAGGAGCGACCCCCATCCCAGCAATACAGCAGAGAAGAGCAGATTCTCAATGATGGCAGTCACTGCCATCCACCAGCGCCTGGCGAAGGCCGTGGCCAGGGTCGGAGCCATGGTTTGAGGGAGGGAGGTTGAAGACAGAGAGAAGCAAGAAGTAGAGATGTGGGAAAACAAAGAGTTGAAAAGGAAAGAGCAAGCTGGACGAGCAGAGAGTGCCTCCCGGACCGACGAGCCGGATGAAGGGTGGTGATTCACTTATCTGTGAAGAGAGCGGTGCAAGAGGGAGGGGGAGCTTTTATTAATAGCCTTTCAAACAAGTCAATGAAGGACACGAAGGGCTTGTGTTTTATGAGCTCACAAGATAAATCATTTAGCTTTTACTTAAGTACTTTTGGTATGTGCAATAAAGTGTAAATGAGTTTGTAGAATGTATCTAAATACATGATGTGTGAAAGGCTCCCATTTGATTAGTCAGACAGAAAATACTTTCAGTTGTTTATAAAAAACTACTTATCTTTACAATAGATTTTGCACTATTAACTTAACTGTCTGGAATGAACATTACATAAGACAGGTGCTGGAACAAAGCTTTTTTTGTGACTTCATAGACCGTAAGAACAAATTGGGCATCTGTGGTCGAGTGTCCGCAGTTTAACAAACTAGTCCAAACTGGACTCTGAGAAATTAGGACTCCCTGCCCTCTCACAGTGGAAGCCCCCCTTCGTTTTTCCTACGCAACCCCTAAATGTCCTCTCATGTCCATCCAACCGCAGCTTTTTCACTACAATTACTGAGATGCATCCCAAACATAAAGGAGCCGCTGAGCTCAACAAACAAATCAGCTCAAACAGGAAGCTTTTCTTTTTCGATTCACTTACACCCACACACAGACACACACTGGCTGTGCACTCCATGGCAATCTACTCAACCAGTCAAATGAAACTAGATATGGTTTGCTGTTCCTCTCAAAAGAAAAATACATAAAAGAGATGGAATTTTACTTATCAAAAGCTTATGTCTTTGTATGTTATTTAGTCACATTAAAATTTTAGATATTATTATGACTGCTTATCAACATGTGCAGCCAAATAATAGTTTTGCTCACCCCTCCAGGCTGAAGGCAGCACGCTCCAGTCTTCAGCTTGTTGATGTGTTTGTTGGCTTAGTGATCAGGTATCTCTGAAAATCCACATTTATATGCTCAGGCAGTCTCACACGGCGCCCCCTATTGACTTTTAGCTGCGCACTCTGGTCATCTGTCAGTTTTCTTAGAGCCTTATCTCCTAGATAAAGATGTAATAATAGCAAACCTGTGGAGCATTATGATAGAAGACGCATTTAAAGTGGAATTATTGAGCACCCATTTAGGAGGTGATGAGCAGATTAAAACACATCTGCATGAGAATGGCCTAAAAGTTTGATTTTATCATTTATTGCGCAACGGGAAGTGTGAAAGCGCAGGTGAGTGGAAAGGATTAATCAAGCAAAGCTAAACGTGTCTGAGAGCCCATCAGACCTCTGGTACCAAAGAGTCTCTGGATCAATTGCAAGTATTGATAGAGAAGGAGAGCTAACTGAGGCGGTGACGCAGTTTCACTTCTTATGTCAGTTGTTTACAGACATTTAATGCTTTGTGTTTAACGGTTCGCTCCATCTTCGTCATCTTCAAGTGACACTTGAAGTCGCTCTAAGGGACGCAGCTGGAACAAAGGCCGACACCCAGAAATCTTTAAATACACACATATTGTCTGTTTCCTGCAGTTGTTTTTCCAACCGCTTGCTTATTCAAAATGCTGCCCTCCAAGTTTGGATGATCAATAGTTGCAACGCCTGCATGCTGACTTCTGCATTCTGCGTAAATGCCTTCTATTGTGTGAGCGTCAAGCACCGGGTCATTTGACCAATATCTATGCTCATTTGGGATTTAGATGTTCAAACCACATACATGTGGAGAAGACTGAAATGAGAAAAAAAACTTGTTTTCCAGTTTGTATAAGTGCTTATCCTGATTTGCTGTGGACTCTGGTTCCCCTGATCAATATGTAGATCAATCACTGAGTGAACAACAATGCCCATATCCACGTAAACATTGATATGCAAATCTGTGCTGTTGCTCTGGTAAAATACCTAGTATAAAGGTTGAAAAGAAACATTACTACACCTTTGATTTGTGATTCTAACTATTCCTGTAAGGCGTGATCTCTCTGTCTTAGATCAGACAGTTCCAGTGTTACAGATGGATTACCTCCCCTCATGACAGCTGACTCATTACACACTATCTTTCAATGTGGCTAATCAACAATCCATTGTTTTATTCTTTCACCATTATAGCATTTATTGATCTGGTATGGTGCTATTCCATGTGTATCGGTGGTCTAACATTACCAACACAGTTAAGTGCAGTACACTAATTTATTGTGTTTTCATTCCAATTTTTATTTTCTACATCACCAAACGTCAGAAGAATGTATTTTTCATTCTATTTATTTGGTTGCAAACTCAGCAACTGTTATAGTAAAGTCAAGAATATGCAATTTTAGTTACATTTTAAATGCAGCACTTTTGTTTGCAAGAAAGTACTTTGAAAGTCTGGCCTTTATATATAAATAAAGGATGAAAAGTATTCGATGTGGAATCACTTTCCACTGTGGATGCAATCCCAACACTCTAAATAACTGCAAAATCTTTGTCTTTTGAAAGCTTTACATATCATGACACAGATGAATAAGTGTCCCTTTATTGTCATGGCATATAAGTGTAGTATTGGTACTAACTTTGACACACAAAAAACGTAAGTTGCCTCCTGCCTGTTGTCTAGGCATCTTTTTTTTCAGATTGGATGAATGCCACCTTGTGGTGTTGGGCAACACTAGCACACAGAGAAGTAATACCTCCCCAGTGAATCCAGACTACTGATAGACGAATGTAAATATCTTTATTGCACATTCATATTCAGTGTAAAAAAATTGATTTCACATACTTTGAAAATAATCTTCACTAACACCTTTGAATATACAGTAGTTTAAAAAAAACACCGCAGCTCAGAGGACTTTTTTTTGTTCTGAGAAAAAAAAAAGAGTTGCTTGACCAAACAGTGGTTGATAATAGTTCTACTGGCACAATCTTTTCTTAAGACAAAAACAACTATCTTTGAGCAAAGATTTTGTTCTCATTGCATTTAAGGCATCTGTTGTGGTTGCACACGTACAATCAAGTGTCTTTCACCGGTGCATGAAGAGTTTTTCACTAGTAAAGTCGAGCAACTCCTGAAAGCCCAAACGTAAGTGAAAGTATGAGCATACTTATGGAAACTTCAGCTCCCGGGGCTGCTGCAGAAGAGAATATAAGAAAGAAAGTCAGAAGACAGTTTCACATTTCTATCACCAATGGGTTTTATGGGTGACATTTTTGACAATTCAGTCTCTTTCAAAAATACTAAATGTTAATGCTTATCAATTCTGTGCAGCACATGGAATTCCTATAGTCACAAGAATGCCTGACCCAAATAATATGTTCTTTGACACAACACAAACTAAGCAAAGACAGATAACATTTTCAAATCTTTCCATGTGCATTACACAAGAGCTCAGGAAAAATTCAAACTGCCCCCCTTCAACCTGCAGTCACGTGACAAAGAGCAGCACCCACTTTTAATTTTAATTATTTAAACATCAAAATTTTGAAAAGTCGCCTGGTCCTAAAAAAACTTTTGAAATTATGTAAATGCACCCTCAGATGAAAAACAAAGCAAAAAGTTACACTTTATTTAAGAAAAACTACACTACAAGCAGAAGATAAACTTGATAAACATCTAAAACTTAATGATAATTATTTCATGTGTAAAATTGTCAGTGTCTCACATTTTGTGGGGAATATTCTCCAATATCTTTCACAATGGGGCTTTAGTTCATTGAGGAACAATGTCACTTTGATTATTTTTAAGGTGTAATATTTTCTTTTTGCAAGATTACATTTCCACAAAGCTGTGGCTTGTGAAAGCTTATTAATTTATATGATGTTTTATCGACCTGAAAAGGGAAATATTTTCATCACATTTGACACATGAATAATTTTATATATAGATGAGTTCATGGTGGACATAATGACTGAGATGTCTGAATTAAGCACCTGAAAAAAGAGTTCAAATCATTCACCATTCTGCTGGACAGTTGGTATGACGTGTCTTTACTGAAATTTGTTTGGATTTCTTTTAGAGTCCAAACACTAAGCATCTCTATGCTGGTCTCGAAAGTCCTATGAACATTAGTTTGACTTATTCTGACTTTTTTTAGTAGGACTCTCGTGCACTTGTCAAATTGAACAAATTGTCAGAGAGTGACATTTCCACTTTTTTTTCTAGATTAACATTAACATGGAGAAATATGTCACATGCTGTTCACCTAAAGCTTCATTTCCCTCATTTTAACATCCAGGGTGTGCTCACTTTTCCACACAAATTCATGTTGCGCTAGAGAAGAACAATGCGCACTGTGCTATTGTTACTATGTAGCAACCCAGACTTTGCCCTTTTGACTGTTCTGCAAATTATTTTGTGAACAACTTGTTAAGGAAATGGACTTTACCTTGTGAGTACAGCCTCTCTGAAAAACAAAGAGTTACAGGAGAGAGATGTTAAAAATGTTTTGTTCAACACATCTGTAATTACTGCATGCCTTATATGTGACAAACAAGGAATGCTTCAAATACACACCATTGATGGTAAAAGTGGTCTCCATCCCCGCATGGATGTGGTCAGACACGTGACAATGAAGTAGCCATGTCCCTGGGTTACCCACCACCATTTCCACAGTCTGGAAAGTCCCAGGGAACAGATCAAAGACATCCGCACGATGCACACGGTCGGTCTGAAACAAGAATGCACACACAGTTTTAAAAAAAGGGAAACGAAAAGAGGAAACGAACAAAACAATCTGAGCTAAGAAATATCTTCAGTACAGATGTTTTCACTGCAAACAGACCTTATAGGTGAAAGCCTCGGCATGGAAGTGAACAGTGTGCAAGTCCACTTCGTTGCCCATGCCCAGAAGATACCAGTCAACTTTCTGGCCTCGTGTCATCACCAGTCCATGAAGGTTACCATATAGTTTACCATTAATTCCTATAATAGACATACAAACACATACATGGAACAGGCATTCTGATTTAACTGTAGAATATATAGTGTAATGAAGGACTTATACTGGCTCCTATTTTAATTTGATCTATTTCATGGCTGTAGAGGGCCTGTAGAATCTATTACATTTCTTAGCAAGATATAAAACAATGAAAGTGATGGAAATAGTCAATGCTTACTTTAAATTTGATCTTTATAAAAAGAAAAAAGTAATTTTCCCATCAGCCTCCCATTATATGTTAATAATGTACCATATGTTTTCAGAGGATTTCAAGTATTATCTGATGTTTTATTATATTGCGTGATTAAGTGTGTTCTTTGTGCAATCTGGCTCTAAAGTAAAGTTCTTTTGTACAGACTTTAATTTAAAAGTATCAGTGGTAAATGAACATCAGTCAACTTTCCTCTATGTGTGTAACTCTCTCGTTTGTCTTACCATGCATCAGGTTACTCTCTTCAAAGTCCTCGTCTGGCGTAAAGATTTCAGGATCAATGCCAAGATATGTTTTGATGTTGTCATCCAGGTACCAGGACTGGTTTTCATCATAAATCATAAAAAGGAGTGCAAACTCCTTCGCTATGTCCCTCCTCTGTCTTTCGGACCCCTTACCACGCTTCAGGGTCCCAGGCCTGCATATTACCAGAGGCCCCAGAAGGCCACTGTACAGATCCTGAATAGGATAGATCGATCTGATCAATCACAAATGCTTCAGCTTCTATTTAAGCATGCACTTAATGTGTAGGTAATGTGTTTCTATGCAATTGTTATTGTTTTACTGCAAACAGGTACCTTGATGAAGTTAACGGAGGAATAGTAGGCATAGGAGATGCAGTTAGGATCTGTAATCCCTGGCCCTGAGCTTTCAGGAATATCCCATGTCAACTCAATAATGTGGCCTGAAAGTGAGAAACATAACAAGTATAAAACTGTGCCGTTCCTAAGAAAAGCCAGCTTCGGATCACTATAATCAGTTAACAGCTGTACAAGCTTTGTTTCGTGTTGTTAGTTGTGATTCTCACCAGGTGCGACAGGGGTGTGTGCCCCACTGGCTTTAACTCCATGAGGACTGATGGAATATGGTCGACTGGCTTTGTTCTTGAATGTGATCACTATCTGTTCTCCCACCTCTCCTTTGATTATGGGCCCTGTCGGGGATAGAGAATACATGTAGGCCCCAGTCTTTGGCAAAACAACATAAAGTGTAGCTAAGCTCACCCATGATGCCCAAATGTTGTTGGTCAGGGTGTCGTTCCTTCTGAATTTTGAAGGTTTCATCTGTGTATTCCCTATACACCACTTTCTTATAGCGGGAGCCAATACTGTTTTTCCCTCTCACCACAAATATATTGCCTGGACTGGAAGACATGAACCAGTTTGCCTTGATTAACAAGCAGCAATGAACAACAACACTAATCACAGGCTCAGACTCTGACACCAAAACACATCAACCCACAATGATCCCACTCACACACCTGTCCTCTGCGGTCGTGTGGTGTTTCTCAAACTCCCATTGTCTGTCAGGTGAGTAGTCCCACACGATTTCCTCAGCACCGATAAAATACTGCACAGTCCTCCTGGGTGTAGTATTTTTGTGCTTATATATTTTTCCAGGGCACAAGTTCACTTTGTATTTCTGCCTCATGCCGGCTGAAAAGTGATCTGTTGTTCTGCAGCTCACCTCATACACACCTACGAGAAACAAGAAAAAAATTAAGTATATGAACACATTCATTTTGTTTCTATACATGGGTGCACACATTTGCCAATGCAACGCATGCAGTGGACAAAAGTCTGCTCTATAAGCAAGCTTATCTTATACATTATTTATGTATGAATTTTTCAATCATCTGTCACAGTGAAGACAAGCACTTTTTTAAGATCTAATCTTGACTTAGGCTCAGTATGTGAGCAACTTGTAAATCAAGTTAATTTGCTTCATGTGCAGAAACAACAGGCAGTGTCAAGATTGATGGATTAAATTTGATGAAAAAAATTGTGGAGGCCATATAAATTCATTCACCTTTTTTTAGAAACATAAAAATTTGGATTTAAAAATCATACATAAATGAACAAAATGTTAATTTGAATGGGATTTTGAAAGATATTTTAGATTATATTTATATACTGTTTATTTCTGTGACCCCTCAAGGTCTTTTCATTTACAAAATGTTCTCCTGATGCGTTATATTAATAGGGCACTCGAAATTGAGTTATTTTATTAACATTGTTTATGGAGCAAGTTTACAAAGGACTAACCCTATCACACAGACCCTGCAGCAGAGCCTGCAGCATGGATGAGCGTTTTTTTCACAGGTTGAATGACTAACCAGGAAAGTTTGGCTGCATGGAAACAGCTGCAGTGGTGTGAGGGAAAAGGCTGAGGGTATCTCGAGTTGTGCTTTGTTTCTTGAAAGTATTTCCCTCAAAATAGACTCCGTGGATATCTGCTTCAGTCCCTAGCCCAAAGGTGTACCACATAACTTTGTCGCCAACACACATATCCAGTCCCACAAGGTTCCCGTACATTAATCCATTTATAGCTGAAATGACAAGATTTTATCAGGAAAACACATAGTTACACTTGAAACATGGTACGCTTACAGTAATATCAGTGAAATTAAATTGAAACTGCACATGCTTTGGCAAACACATGGATTACCGTGCATTTTGTTGCTCTCCTCAAAGTCCTCATTTTCTTCTTCTGTGTTAATGCCCGACCTCTCAATATTCTCATCCAGATACCAGCTCAAATTTTCATCCATAACAGAAAAAAGGAGGAAGAACTCCTTATCCACACCTTTCTGTTGAAATAACATGGAGAAGATTAAGTAAACAGGATGTACAGGGCATACAGATAGTTTCGGAATCAGATTTAAGAGCCCTCAAGCAAACAGGAACGGAAAAGGAAGCAAAATACATTGAGAGCCAAAAGATCGTTGAATGTGATAACTTTGTGTGCAAACTCATGCGTGCGAACAGATAATTACAAATGTAAACATATAACCTGTATTCCATTCTCTGCCAGCACTCCTTTTCTGCATATGAGCAGAGGTCCAACCAGTCCAGAATTGGTGTCTTTGGTAGGATCAGTAGCAGAGTAGTATAGGTATGGGATGCAGGGAGTATCTGATGAAGATGGGCCTTCCAGCACCTGCCAGATGTAAGTGAATGTCTCACCTTGGCCAACATGGGAGCCTGGCTTGTTAACACCTACAGTATTACAGAAAAACAATCAAAACAAACCACCCTGCGATATATCAGAATATGCACACACTATGTATTTTCAGCTTTATCAATTTTCACCTTCTACTTCTCACATGGAGTTCATTCTAATTTCTACCTTGTGGAATTTACAACTTCATCTATTTTGAATATGTAGACATGATCTACTCTCTCTAAAAAAAATCTTTCAGCAAGGATCGCCCCAAAACTTGTATTTTAAATTGGGCAAATAAACATGTATAAATTATTTACTTTTGTGGATCCATACAAACTTTATTTCCTGTTTTTGCTTAGGTTTTGTTCATTTTTGAGAAAGGCTCCTTAGCCCTCCTCTTCATATGTACTTGTAGACAAAAATCTTTGACCTTCTATGCACTTTAGTCTTCCTTGTTTTAGACTTTCGCTCCTCTTTTTGTTTGTCTCTCTGCAATTTACCCAATGTGGTTTCTGACATTCATTATCCTCCATCAGGATAACAATGGCAGAATAACAGACTGCTTCCTTACCATCCATGTAGCTGGTTCCCTGGAAGTGTTTCTCATAATGAAGGCCATGTGGCTGAATACTGAAGTTTCCTTCAGCCCTATTCATGAATGTCACTCTGAGAGTGTCTCCCACCTCTGCCCTCAAGACTGGACCTGAAAGCAAAAGGAAGAATCAGCTAACAGGTGCTCTCTCAAAGATAACGCATTGTCCCACAGAAGAAGTGTCTTTACCCAAAATTCCAAGGTGTGCAGGACTGTGTACTGGTGATTTCACAGTGGTGAAGGTGTTGTCTGTGTATTCTCTGTATATCACTTTTAAGTAGGAACCTCCAATTCGTCCACCTTCTGTGCCAAAAAAAACTTCTGATGCACTATGAGAGAAAAGAGTGGGATTTTCGGTTTTAAAAAAATAGCAAGGGAATATAGCTGGTTTAAGGAAAACTGTGGGAACATTTTAATTGAAAGAGAAAAGTCCTTCATAAAAAACTCAAAAGACATGGCTATGTTAGTGTCTCATAAGAGAAAGCAATGACACAACAGTAAGCATTCCACTGCGTCACTATACGCAATGTTTAGACAAAGCAAACCGCTGGTCGGCCTACCCGGCGAGCTTACACATAAACAGGCCTCTATAGAAGCCAAACACACAGACAGAGAGTAAGCCTTTAATAGCTAGGCACATTGATGGATGAAAAAACTAAATTATGCAACACAACAATGAAGTAGGTGGGCTAGGCACATTTTTTTGTGGTTAGGGTTAGGTGTTGGACTATGGTGAGCTCCAATATGACTTTAATCTTGCCGTGACTCTGTAAACACTACATTATGTCACTGATAATAAAATACGTCACCTGTCTGCTTCAATAAGAGGAACGTTGTTTATCAAATCCTTTTCTGAGGGAGCATAGTTCCACAGGACTTTCTCCGCTGCCAGGTAAAAATCCCTCACTACACCACCCGTTGCTGTGGAGGTACCCTCACTGGCACATGGCTTCACTTCATAAAAGGCCTGCATCCCAGCTGCAACAAAAGACGCACACAAGCTCAGAATACAATTTGCGTGTATACATGCTTATGATGAATGAAGGAAATCTGGTATCATTCATGACAAAGAGTGACTGAAAACAAGTATAAAGTCTAAAGGGTTAGATTCATTCACTCGTTAAATAATTATTCCAGAATTCAGTTCACACAGTCAACTTCTGTGGTTTAAAAAAGATAATGAAAATATGTACAATCATAGATTTTTGTAGTTTACAAACATATTAAGAATTCATATCACATAAGGTACTTTTCTGCATATTGAGCTTATACATCCTATTCAGCTGAATGTTCAATAGACTTTGGACAGTGGTAACTGCTCATCCTGGCATGTTCTATTGATGAGCAATTGGTCAGTACAGATAAGAATAGTATCGTGTACAATACATAAAGCATAAGTATGATTTATATATGTTGAAGTATGGCTTATTCAGCTATATGTTCAATGGACTTTGGATTATTTGAAACACATATCCTGGCATGTTTGTTGTTGAAAGACACACCCTGCTGTAACAGTGATTGTTGTAACACTAAAGTGCAGCACACTCTAGAAATTAATTCTCTCCTGTCAGCAATTCTTTATAGGAAGTTAAAGAGGTCAGAGGTAAATCAGAGGTTAAAGGTGAGGAATCCTACCCTGCAAGTGGTCATTAACCTGGCAGGCCAGTAGCCACTTTCCTGCCTTTAAAGGGACCATCTCGGCTGTAGCAAACGAGGCTGGGAACAGACTTATAGTGTCCGTGCGGTGGCCACGGTCCAAAAGTGTATTTCCGTGGAAAAAGGCTGAGTGGATGTCTACCTCGTTACCTATCCCAAACAAATGCCAGGACACTGTACTGTGCTGGCACATCTGGATTCCGGGCAGATTGCCATATGTGAACCCATTGATAGCTGTCACACAGAGAAAAACACAGGCATATTTAAAAACAGAATATTTCCCAGTTTTACATATACTTGTATAAAAGGCTTCCAAGACATTGTCCTTAAGCAGATACCTGCGGCACTTGGAAAAGTTTGATGGAGCAAAAAGTACAACCAAACAAAAAATGCTTTGCAATGAAAAATACAGTACTGGCAATACAATATGTTCAATAATGCTGGAAAATAGTTTAAAAGCGACTTAAAAAAAACTCACAGTGCATCAAATTTGACTCCTCAAAGTCTGGGTCCTCAGTGTCGACCCCGTCTGGATCAGATACCCTTTGAATGTTTTCATTTAGATACCAACTCAGGTTTTCATCCACCACATTGAACAGCAAGAACACATCCTTGTCCACGTCAGTACGGACAAGAATTCCATTCATTTGTTTCAAGGTTCCTGTATTTAAAAAAAGAACATTAGAAGAGATACCAGCAGTTAAGCTTCTCATTGAATGTATACTTGGATCATTTTAGTCAGATCTTCTTACCTTTTTTGCATGTTAGTAAAGGACCAATTAACCCTGAGGCAATGTCCTTAGGTGTCTCTAAATGGGAGTGGTAGATCCAGGTCAAACAATTGGAATCATCATCAGTGGGAGCAAATTCTGGTTTGACTTCCCAGCGGTAAGTATAGCTGCCTCCCGGAGGAACACTGTCATCCTGCTTCAAGGCATTTGAGGTTCCATCTGGGTAGAATGCCCCTATGAAATAAACACAATTTTGATACCAATATAATATCGTTTCTTGTTGAGAAGCTCAATTTGTTCACTTATTGTTAGTAAAGTTTTGATGACTTCAAGTGACAGCATGTAACAGTGTTAGAGATGTTTTTTATGTTTTTATTCTAATTAACTAATTCTAATTTATGAAAGGCTTTGATTGTCCAGCGTACATTTTGTATCAAATTCTTCTTAATATTTAATAAAACAGTTGTTTCTATGGATATTAAAATAATAGATTAGGAATATACAAAATTGCTTCATTTAATTATATTGTTTGGTTGTCAGTTTTCAAAAATATCTGAAATAATTTAAAATCTTTGTCAGATCAGTTTTCAAACTGATTTTGTTGAATTCCCATTTGTTATGGTGATGATGATGTGCCGGTATAAAAGAAATGCTCTGCAAATATCTGTAGAAACATTGAGGCTAAATCAATAGAGCAAGACATTAATAAAATGTTTTGATATATTAGAAAAATAAAAAAACGTTATGATTTTCCTGAAAAAACACTGTGACATGATGTAACACCTCAATGAGGAAGTGTGTGTCTGTGTTGCATAACAACAAGCTGCAGAGGTCAGGACACTAATTGAGATACACTCAACAGTGTATCTGAACTCTGCATTACAATCGGACTGGGCATTACTGTCAGACAGGGGTAGCTGGAACAGACTTCTCTCTACGATAGAGGCCTGTAGATAAGCTGTCCTGTCAACTGACAACTATTGCAAGTTGAAGATAAGCCTTCATTTCATATTCCCTCTTGATTCAGCCTAACAGTTTATTGTTATCATTCACATGGTAGAAATATCATAATCTATCATATGAAGCCACTGCAACTAATAACAATTTTGTTTTTTGTCATAATAAACACCAAAAAGTCTCCTGTTGTCTCTGTAAGCACTCATATCATATCACCTACTTTTCATAGGCTTTGTAAATGTGTCTTTGTTGAAAGATGCCCTGTATCCAATTCATTTCTGTTATCTCTTCACAGACACACTGCCTTTTCTTAAAACTGTCTGCATCCTCTACTGGTGCGTGTACGGTTTCTTTCAAGGTTGTCCGGTTCCCTTTCACCCACTGGTTACAGTACTTACTGTTAGGGTGAATGGACATGTGCCATTATGCAATAGAGATTTCTCCATGTCTTTTGACAATAACACCTTAGTGATACTTTCAGTGTAGTGTTCACAATGAAACACTGTACCTTCGGCATTCTTCTCATAGAAAAGACCATGGGGATGCATGGTGAAGTTTCTAGATGCAAAGTTCTTTAGGTGGACCACAATGACATCATCAACCTCAGCTCGCAGAATGGGTCCCAAAAAGCCCAACCATTTAGGTCGAGGAACCTGGCTGCTATAGGAAGCATCCGTAAACTCTCTGAACATGGCCTTCTTATAAACTCTGCCAATGCGGTGAGGTCCGCTTTCAAGGAATACACGAGCATGCCTGCAAGAGAACACACAAGGCAGAGATTACTGAAAAGAAAATCATGGAGGAGGTAGATGAGATCTACTTTTTCTTCCAGATTTGGCATTTCGTCAATTTCCTGTTATTCTAACATTGCATTGCACTGGAATTACATTCAGTTGTGTAAACAGAGTAAAAACAGAGACTCCACTACTGCAGCAGAGCAAACCTTCTTAAAAAGTTATGAGATTATGTAAAGAATAAAATATTGCTGAATAAATTTGATGAGATTGGTAACACATTTTATCAATGTAGATGCAAGTGTACATCATAAACATGATCTTTTTTTTTTAACAGTAATTTAACAATTAGACATGTTGTTGTCATGATTACATGTTTTTCAAGTTAATGAGCTGTTGTTGACCATATGACAAATGCCGTTTTGCAACTGTATATGCAGGTCATGGCAACAGCAACTGTAAAGAAGAGCAATGGAAGGCTGTTGGCTTTCTTATTGCGGTATCTATTTAACGAATGCTAAATTGAGGCAAATTTAGGTACGAACAGTGGCATTTCAAAAACTCGGCTCATTTCTTTAATAGAAAAAAGTAGGGCTAATGACTTTTCGTACAAGACAGCTCTTTTATTTTCAGGTCCTAAGATTACAACTATAGCACAAGTTGTTTGATTGAGTTAGTTTAGAAAATCCTGTGAAAAGATGTGACAAGAGTCTAGATGGTTATACTGATGGATTCTTCCGGTGGAACAAACAGTAAGGTGTGACAATAGATTAATTTTACTTGTAGCAGTGTAACAACCAAGCCATGTAAACGTGTTAAGCCTTATCAACTTTCCAGAGTACAACCTATCCAATTGTCTCTTTTAATCAAGTTTCCTTCTGAAAGTGTATTTTCAACAGTATCAGCAGCTAAAACATCAAGTGAAGAGCAGCTTAAAGTTGTCACAAATGAGGGTTAGACGTGTTTGTTTTGGAGGCTTGGGTCACCATAAACCACAAAGACAGTTCAGAAAGGATCATTTGTGCTATCTTGTGGTATTTCCCTGTTGATTCAGTTTAAGACAACCAAAGAATTTGTGAACTCTTCCGGTTTGGTTGCTTTTGGTTAAACAGGGGCTGACAGAAGCAGATCCTCTAAACACTCTGATACGGTGTCCCACCACCGGATAACGTTTGTCATAAAACTAGTTCTAATTATCGGCTGACAGACTATTTCCCGCAAAAGCACCTTGAATCAAAGTGGAGCACATCAACGCCCTTTTGTTTAGTTTCGTTTAACATGATCTAACAAACGGATGACAATAGCGCATCTTAAATAGATATTAACAGCCATTTATAATGATAACTCACTCGTCACTTTCGATGGATTTGCCGTTCAGCAGGTTTTTTCCACTGGGTGCGTAATCCCAGAAGTCCTCAACGATCCCCACGTAGTAATTTCTCTCCGTGCTGCGCCTCTCTTGCGCGCCGGACGAGAGAAAAAGTAACAAACATCTCGCAAACAGCCCCAAATTGACCGTCATAGCCGGAGGCGCAGGGACCGGACGGCAGAGTGGTTCTTTCTCTGGGTCAGGGCTCAGGGCACAGGCGCAAACCTCTGCCGGCTGTCTGCAGGCGCGTTTGGAGAGCAGCACTTACGAAACTGGATGTGAAAACAGTTAGTCTATTCAGCCACAGGGCACCGATTATGACCGCCTCCAGTGGTACCAGATGGGCAGGGATAATAACCACTCATGTTGCTGCATCAATTATAGTTGATGTAATTGAAACTGCCTGCTGGGAAATTAATATAATCTATCTACTTATGCCAAAATGCAAACTCAAGCACCTATGGGTGTTCGCTTTGTCTGTCACTTGGAGTCTGTGTGTGTGTGCGTGTGTGTTAGAGAGGAATAGGATTTTTAAAAATGTATTATGAGGCTCCATATTTGAAAAAATAATAATAATCTTACCATTTTTATACCACTTTTTTAATGACCCCCTTAAAAATAGCAGCCATTCACTAATTCTTTAGAGATAATCATTAAATTTGTGGAAAAAAAACATAGAAACTGCCTGTGTCCTCTATAGTAATGAAAAAAGGTTAGGTTTAAATCTTTAATGAATGACACGTTTAAGTTACATTTTACACAGCTTATGACAACTTAATTGACACAGTGATGCATGGGGCATTAGATTACTGTGATTTATAAGAACATTCCTGTCTCTTACAGTTTCAAAATAATAGTTGTACTGCTGTTTGAGTGTCTCTGGTTTCCTGCTGAAACTAGTTATGAGGATGAGACTAAGATTTAGATAAACCCAGGAATCATTGGAGTCTCTAATACAGACACTTGGGTGAGGAAGGACATAGCATTAGATAGGCATGTTAATCTTTGTTTCCAAAATGTGAAATCATGCTCTGCTTTTGAAATATCAGTGTGTAATCTGTATAAAAGAAACTGATAAAAATATATCTGTCGTTTAGTGATTTCCTCTACAGTTGAAAGGCCAGAGATGAACTCTTAGTAAGTTCCATATTGATACAATAAATTCAGCTAAAATCCTGGCAAAAGGTTTTTAGCAGTTACATTAAAAAGTGTGATCATACCATTTGAACCTGTGGAGGCTGACACCTGCTGATCATATCTGAGCAGGACACCCTGCCTTTTCTAAAAGGAGATGGTGCTTATTACCTCACGCCACTGTGATGTTTAAGTTACTTATCTATTTAGTAAACAACAAACACAGGGACACAGCAGCAATAAAGGAAAACACAAAAAAGTAGGTCATATATTGTCCGGTCCTTGAATATCCCATGCCCTGTGATCATTTTAATATTTTGTTGGGTATAGCCGAGGCTCACTGAGGACAAATTAGCCAAGCAGGAGCTGCTCCATCACAGGAATTCCTGCCTGTGCCTTTTTGTTCGCATATAACAGCATAATCAAATGACAGTACTACACAAACATGTGAAACAAATATTTCACCAATTCAATGTTCCACATACAGTACATACTCAGTTAGAATGGAAAAAATTCAGGGCCACAGCTTATCGTCATCCCCTGAGGAGTTTTGGATAAATATCACTCCAGAGCAAGGTGTCTCTGAGGGCCCCAGAGTAACATCTGCCAATTAAATGTAACCCATGTCAGCTAACGTAAATGATGATGACATTAGATCCGAACAACAGTGAACCCCAGTGATATATGACTGAGGAAAAAATCACTGCCCTCAGATCAGGAAATTTCTGCTCATCTGCAGTTTGTCAAAGATTGGCCGGAAAAAAAAAACTTCTGTAATTGGAATAAAACTTTTGGGTTTTAGATACGAGCATAAAATGAGAGATTATTGTGGTTAAGAAATATAGGTAAAAAGAGTCATTTAAAGCAGAATGGTGGCAAAATGATTGTGAAATAACCGAATATGTAGTTAGTTGGACACCCAGAAGTGAACCCAAAACATATACTGAAAATACACTCATTAGATTTATATTCTAAATAGTTAAAAAAAAATCTCCAGCAGATTAATGTTAATGTGCTTCCATATTTCAGGATTTGAAGTCAAAATACAAACATGAGATACATTTCTAGTGTAAACAGGTGGGATCAATTGCTGAATCTCTTTCGTATTTTAATAAACATTTTGCATCTTTTTACTCCCCAACCACTTAGGAGACTTTCAAATTCTTGATTTGATGAATAATAACTTTTTATTTTCGCCTCTGTTTTTCAATGTTAACATCTACCTGAATATTTACAGGTAATTGCAGCTAGATGCCGGTATACTGTACCCATGCAAAACAGATAAGAAGGTGAGGACTCAGCAGTGACCGCAGTAAAATCTCAGTGAGGAGTATGACGGCATGATCCATAGAGGAGGACCGGAAGTCTGCCGTGCGCTGATTGGCTGGATGGACTGTCACAACCGCTCCCTCCCGTCCGCGCGCACGAGCGTGCGTCGCCGCCCTCCTGCAGTTTGTTTCAGTGTGAGCTTACAGACATGGCTGCGCTCAGTAAAATACCACACAGCTGCTATGAGGTCGGTCATACGTGGAACCCATCGTGTGTACATTCTGCTCTGGATATTACCAGGGGCGCTCTGGAGGTGTCCTTCAAAATATATGCTCCTCTGTACCTGGTAAGATGGCATACTTCAGACTTTGGAGCTAGCTAAAGTGAGCTAGCTAGCATGGCTAAGTGGTCCAGACAGAGCCACTAAAGATTAGCTAGAGGTGCAACTGAGGTCTAAGTTCACATAATGCACGTGGGCACACAGGGAGGAAGGTGGTGTGTGTGTGTGTGTGTGTGTGTGTGTGTAACTCAACATATCATGCAATGTTGACCTTGTGCAGTGCTTTCAAATGTCATGATTAGGACTATTTAGGTGTCATCTATTAGCAACTTTCACATTAACTCGTGTAACACTGAAGGGTTTCATCGTAATAAGTTGTGTATTTCATACGCAAAGCGTTGTATTACCTCCAATGACCGTTGCCCTGACCCGTGGCAAACACTCAGCTGTGTTATGATGCAGTGTTGAGCCGTAGGTTGTTGTTAGATAGGCTGCTGTAGTTGTGACTACAAGGAGGAGATTTAGTCTCAAACTTGCTCCATTACACGGAGGAGGAATATTAGGGGAGTTGGTTCTATGGCTGTATGTCAAACAGGCCGCAACTACCGTATTCACAGGTGACATTGTGCTTTGGTTGTTAAACTTTTGGCAAGGAGAGGCTTATTTTAACTTTAGTTACAAATAAGCTGCTAATAAGATGAGCGCTCAGATTAATGTTCTCAAGCTACTTGTATACTCAAATGATGGTTTTTGACCCAACAAAGGCTCGTTTGAGAAGTACTCATAGGAGCAAAGGTTTTACTGCAGCCCCATTTCCATCTTAATCAAGAAGAAATGAACTCTAAACACACCACTGTCTCGTCATCTCCCTGTGTCCTTCAAATTTAGCAGTTTATGAAACCCGGATGACCCTAAACAACCCCTGTTCATATCTAACGCACCAAGTATAAAGTGCATATTGTGATTTAAATGTAAGGGTCTGCAATGTAATGCATGGAAAAAAGTTATGGATTGGGGAAGTTTGACTTGGGGAAGTTTGAAGAGATTATTACAGGGTGACTGGTAACACACATGTGATATTTTGATTTCCTGTCGAACATTTTATTATAATGGAGCATTTTAAAGCCAAGGCAAGAGACAGTGACAGTTTTTGTTCCTGCCTGAAAATTCATTAAAACTTGATGTGCAAAATTGAGGTTTTCTCGACTCATGATAAAATCATTAGGCTCCCGATCATGAGGATCTTGAGCACAGTGACCACCATTCAAACATATATTGCAGATAGCAGCAGTACTACGGAGAAGAAAGAAGGATTATTATTTAAAAAAGCTTCTCCCTGAGATCCTGTGGTCTACCTCTTTCCTAACTGCCAATGGAAGTCTCTTCATCGTTTTCTTCTGCATTCTAAGGTTAGTAAGTCCAACAGGTGTCAAACATACCCCACATTTAGATTAGTTGTTGGCCATTTCGACAGCTGGTTCAGCATTTACAGTGTCTGTTTTGAGGGAGAGTGGGAAAAAAGGATATACCTTTTTCTCCATTTGCTCTGTGTGTCAGGGTTTAACAGTTGGCAGGTCAGACATAGTGTATAAAGGTAGAACGTAGCCAGGGACTTTGTGTTTGTTCAAATGAGTCTTCGCAGCATTTGTTTGAAATGAGGATAATAAAATACTCTAAGCAGGTTGAACTCTTTCTCAACACCTGTAAAAGCTTTAAAAAAGATATTTGAACTTTTAAACTTAATGAGAGGAGGCCTCCAAAAGAGCCAATATTCTAACTTTTTTCATTTTTTTTCCCTAATGTGGTTAAAAAATGTGGTAATCACATCAACTCAATGTCAATCATCATTGTGTCAATGATTAACGACTCTTTATCTCAGGAAACTATTTGGAGGATTCTACTCTTGGTCTGGGGGGTTTGGAGCAGCAGTGCCTGCCTCCTACCTTGCCATCCTCCTTGAGCGCAAAAGCAGGTGAGATCCCTCTATCTTTTAGCTCATTTCTCAGACTAATCAAATTTGCAAACTACAACACACACCGCATGCTCAAACTTCTTCTTTTACATTCTTGTACTTGTGCACATTTTTATTGACAATCTGTGCATGTCCTCCTTCTTTATCCTTGCCAGGAGAGGGCTGCTGACAATTTACATGGCAAATCTCGTAAGTATTGACAGTTGCTCTACTGTTTTCTAATATTTTTCTTTGTCAAGCAATACATCTCTTTTCATAACAGTCTGTGCTTGTAATGACTATCTTACCAGGCCAGTGAGACATTGTTTCGCATGGCAGTGACCCGAGGTATCGTCAAGCCCATCAAACATGGCGAGGTAATCTCAAAACCTTCCATTTCAATTTTGTACGGTGTGAATAGATCTATTTATATGAGTAATAATTTCTAACCTTTATTACAAAACACACCAGGTTGCACCATGGTGATGAAATAAAAGTTGAATAAGTTCAAAACTTTTTTTTTTCTTGAAGTCTTCAAGTCTGTTACTCTGCTTCCCATCAGGTGCTTCTGTTCTGTATAACAGCATCAGCCTTCATGTACCTCTTCAGGTTGGAATGGTCATACTGGTTTTCAATCAATGATAGTATGCGTGAGAATGTAAATATTTAATGGTTGAAATAAATGTAGATTTATCTTGCAGGAGTAATGATGGTCTGAAAGGCTTTGCATTTTCTGCACTGAAGTAAGTGGACATTGCTCCTGCTTGTTTCTTAGGTGTGACTGTGGATGGTGTTTTGATTAAAATTGATGGACGTGTATGTTTTCTGTCACAGGTTTATCATCGGAAAGGAAGAGATTCCGACTCATTCTGCTCAGGCAGAACTTGTTGGAACGCGGCACTCCGAGAGGCCAGCTGCAATAGAGCCTGAGCACTCACAAGCATCACCAGAAAGGCCCAGCACCGGGAGGAAATCCCTGATAGCCTACACCAGGGAACTGCTAGAATCAATGTGAGAGAAAGCACACCTTTAAACACACTAGAATTGGTTGATGGATCAGTATTGACTCACCTTTAGTTTCTTTGTTGTTGTTTTTTTCTTTTAGATGCAGACATGGTCCAAGACACAGATGTTGTAAACATCACCAGGACAACTGCATCTCCTACTGTATTAAAGTAATTCTTTTTTTGTGTTCTCTTATATTTGACGGTGGATTTCTTTACAGCTAGATCAATGATGATCACGATCTGTCATCATTGCTCTCAACAGGGATTTGTCAGGATGTTCAGTATCGGCTATCTCATCCAGTGTTGCCTCAAAGTGCCTTCGGCATTCAGACAGATGTTCTCTAAACCCTCACGGCTCCCTTCCGTCTTCTACAGCAAAGAAAACTTTCAACTCGGTGCCTTTTTAGGCTCCTTTGTCAGTATATATAAGGTACATTTGGCTCACAGATTTTTGGGGGGGATTTTGTTGGCTTTTTAACGATTTCTGCCCCTCCCTCTGCTTTTTGGCAGGAGGTTGTTCCAAAGTTTCCTTTCCCAAACAAGATTCTGATAATCTGGTCCTATTTGTTGGCGTAACCTGAGTGCTGTGCCGTCCTTTTCTTTCACTTAGGGAACAAGCTGCTTGCTCCGCTGGGTGCGGGACATCGATGATGAACTTCATGGCCTAATAGCTGGTACGTCATGACTTTGATAATCTTTAAAATCCCTGCAGAGCAGTCTCCGAATTGATTTTGTTGTTTCTTGGCTGATGAGTGGTTTTCTCTTTTCCATTCCCCTCTGTCTCTCAAGGCTTTCTGGCTGGTATCTCAATGTTCTTCTACAAAAGCACATCAATAACCATGTATCTCTTCTCAAAACTGGTGGAGGTAAAAGCTACCAACACACAAAACTGGATCTTACATTGTATCACACTGATCATGGTAGAGACAAAATGTTCATGCAGTCATGTGAAAAACAGACTTCACCCTGCTTGGTAAAATGGATAATTTGTTTAAAGATAACTCGATATTGTGGAACTTGCCACTCAGCAGATACTGCCAGCCTCATGCTTGAGGACATGGAATGTATTGCCAAAAAAAACAAAACAATAGATTGTGAAGAATGAATTGAAGGGGCTTTTTCCTGTACTGGACTGTTTTAAACGTCAGCATTTAGCATGTAAACTGGGTCGGTTTGAGTCAGAGAAGTGGATCTTGGAATTTCTCTTTCCCAGCATTTCATATGTGACCTTAAGGTGAGTTTGCTGGGATGTTCACTCCAGGGAAGATTGACAGCTATGCAGGACATTTTCAAGTTGTGAAGAATTCCCTCTCTGCTAAAAATGATGGAATCAGATTGATGGGCAGCAACATATAAATGCAGACTACCAACAAAACAGTCAGATAAGTCAGTCAAACTTTATTGATAGAATACAAACCAGCATTCTGACAACTCCGTTCACTCCCAAAATTAATAAACAGCTGTTTTATTATTTTTCCCGAGGTAGTATCAGTGACGTATTGTTTTCGGGACACAGTTAATCTTTTAACAACGACAATGTATAATAGGTAGTGCAACATTCTTATCATGTAGAGGAGAAGAACTTTTCCTCAAGTCAGTAAACACGTAAAAGAAACAGTCTGATACCGTTACGGTAAATCAAACGGTAGTGCAATCACAATATATTTACTATCGAAATAATGCAAAGCAATAACAATACAACAATAACTCAACGTTGTTCAAACGTTAATGTCCAAATTCACAATATGACCAACCTTGTTCAGCTGAATGAAATGCGATGAAATTAATTGAAAATTAAATGAAAATATATCCCAGCATGCACCCTACACTACATCTTCTATGGGATGTACTATATAGTGCGGAAAATACGGTTATTTAGATAGCACTTCCTGGTTGCTTTTTACCCTCTTAGTTCCATCTGAACATACAAACAGTTACATCTGGGGATTGGAGTGTGCAAACAAGGTCACACATGTGCACACATGGTCATAATGATTTAATCACATCTACTCAAATTAAAAGTGGTTTAAGAAAATAACAGCTGTAAAAAATACAAAATATCGCCTTTCCCTTGGTTGAAACTAGCTGTTACATAAAAGCACAGTTTGCACATACTGAAGCAATGACCTTTATTTGGATGGGTCTCTACTCCTCTTTCAAACAAGCTGTTTCCTAAAAAGTTCAGTCAACTCCAAAGGGACGAAAACATCAGTTTCAAGTAGGTCAAAACGTTTGACTGAGAACCGCATTTGATTTTTAATACCGTGGCCTCTTAGCAGTATGCTATAGTAAATATTTATCTGAATCTTGTTTATGGTGTTTTTATTGTCTATATATCTTTTAATGTTTTTTTTCAGTGACAGGACATATAATCTGTCTTTTCAGACTATGTACTTCAAGGGTATTGAAGCAGGCCGTTTCCCTTACTTTCCACATGCTGACACCTTCATTTATGCCATCTCCACAGCTATCTGTTTCCATGCTGTGAGTAACACTTCAGCAATTAGCCCACATAAATGTGCTCCACACACACTTTTTCTCTGCTGATTTAGGATCTGTTTGACTTTTGATGTTTACACAGGCTGTGATGGAGGTGCAGAACCTCAGGCCTGCGTACTGGAAGTTCCTTCTGCGTTTAACAAAGGGCAGGTATGAAAGTGTGCTGTTAAGTTATTGCCAGGCTATGCATTGCTATTCAATAAATCTTCGAAAAGAATTATAGTATAGAGGTTTATTACTATGTAACTATCCCAGATTGAGGTGTCTTGCATTGAATAATTGACAGCCTGATATGTCTTATAATTATTGTCTCTCTGCTTTTCTAGATTTGCTCTCATGAACCGAGAGTTGCTTGATGCATTTGGGACGCAGGCATCCAGGGACTTTAAAGGCTTTGTTCCCAAACTGGACCCTCGTTACACCACAGTGCCCTGTAGAACTACGCTTCTGCCCGGAGGTGATATCCAGCTTGGATGAATAAGGACTCTGCTCTTTGGGGAGACTATAAGGGTTACCTCAGAGGAAAATGATGACATGGCTGTTCATTCAGAGTAGCACAAGGATTGTCAAAAGGTCCTATAACAGTTTAGAAGTTGTGTGGTTGTGTTATAATGTAGGTAAAGCTTTGAATGCAACAGGAACATATGATTTGTCCTAAAGCAAGGAGTCTTGACTTTAATTGTGGAGTAGACAAAGACTACACAGTCTTGGCAAGCAGTAAAAGAAAAACAAACAGATGCAGAATTTGATATAAAACATCTTGATTTATTAAATAATAAATATGAGGATGGCGGTAATCTCGAAAAGGAGCAAAAAAAGAAAATGCTGCCCTCCTTTCTTCTTTCCTTTCTCTATCCTAATACAGTTTATGTGTTTCCGCTGCACAACATAAACTTGAAACTCATCTCACAGCAGCCTTGAGTCTTTGGCTCTGGAGAACAGAAGGCTAAATTCTGAACTACTTTTACATGTTTTATTCCTTTTTTTAAGACTCAGAATATAATGCAACCACATTCCTTTTATCCATTGGTTATAGCAGCCTGGGTGTGTATTTGCTGAATCCTTTATTTTATTAGCTGCATTCAGATCAGTGAGTTGAACCATAGACTGTGAATAAAAGATGGACAAATATATCATGACATCAGCCATTAATTTGAGAAGCTTATTTTTTTTTGGTGCCTCAAATTCAGCATTTTATCTTGTGATCTTTCAGAGATGCTTTGGGGCCAGTATCTAGTATTCAGTGTAAGGTGGTTTGTTTTTAGACAGCTGGAGACTGTGTTCTTCTTTACTAACAGCTTTTTGGTGAAACTCACCAAATGAATTGATGTGGAAGCTCATCATCCCGAACTTTTGACTCTAATTCAAAAGAATTTCAGATTACATGGTAATTGCTATTTTCCAACTTGTATTTAAGTTGACAGGTATAACTAATGGTGTATATACCTTTGTAGCCTTATGAAATATTTTATGCAAAATGACAATGGGAGATGAATTTAGATTTTATTCTGTGAGGTAAAATGCAGAGAAGTTATTTTATTTACTTCAGTATTTGAGTATTGTGATTTACTTTGACTCTATGGCCTTCAATAAAGCAAAAGGACATACAGGCAGGCAGTGTATAGCGGACAAATCAGTTTGTGGATTAGTTTGACTTAAATGATCTTTTTTTTTATAAAGCCAGCACTGGGAAAATCTGTCATTTCACCCTGTGAATCTATATTTGTTTACTTGTGAAAGGCACAAAGAATATCACTTGCACATGAAAGTGGATGAAACCTATTTGAATGAGGAAATCAGCTGAACATTCAGAGCACTAACCTGTTTATTTTAAAACATTTGTACAATTTACAGAAAGATTAAGATGTGTTAATGTTTAATATGAAACCGTATTTCTGACAGCTGAAGAGATTATTTTGTAAGCGAACTTTGGCAGTGCTGAAAACATGGGAGAAAAATTGTGTTTCTCATTTGAATTTAACCTAACCAGAAAATCCAAGTTGAACTTCAATGTAAACATGATGATGGGACGATGATAAAGAATTGGGTGCCACACAGAAGCATTTACATGCCTTTAGTTTTAATAAAAATCACATTGCAATCGACTTTTGTTTGTGGTTTTAAAAGTCAGAGAAACAGGATGTCTGCTACGAAAGAAAAAGGATTAATGAAAACTTAACTATGATACCTATCTAAATGGACTTCATAGCTGGCAAATTCTGCACACATACCAGAGTTATGTTAGCTGCCAGGCTGTTTTTAAAGTGCTACACACACATTGACAATTAAGCTTCAGACTTCCTTTCATACCAACAACCAGGATTGCACATTTAGAAATATGTGTTTAAAGAAGAGGTTTTACCTGAGTGATATGTTACCTGATGTGATGTACTTATTTTTAGTAGTTATGTACAGATGGTTCACATTGAAACATTTTTTCACTCAAATGTGGGACTTGACTTCAGAGAACGAGGAGTCCTTGCTAAAGTTCACTTTGTAGCCGAATGTACAAACTTATGGCACAAAAGATTACTGCTCCTTAAACTATCCTTTGAGCTGGTCTGTCATTTCAAAGCCTGATGATCTGAGGTAGCAGTAATAAAAGTAACATGATTCAGAGCACGATATTATACATTTTATGCCACCGGTGCACAAAAGCTGTTGATATTTATGCTTTCCGAACTTTATTAAGTTAATAGTAAAAAAATATTACAACTTACAGAAAATACAAACGTAATTTACATTCTTATTATGTTCATTTTTCTCTGAGATTGGTGTTTGTATCGAATAAAAAAGCATTTTTTTTATAATAAAAGTTGAATGGTTAAATTATTGAGCTGGAAAGAAAGTCCTAATTAGAGCAATCAGTTTAATTTTCAACTGGTGAAATCTACGTGGCATATGCTGTTTAAGCAAAATATGGATAAAATATTACAATCATGATGAACATAGCTTTGTTTTGGCAGTAACTGAAACGAGAGTTGTAGAAAGTCAAAATATTAGAAGTTAATTTCAAACAGATTGGAAAAAGTATAACTATATTATCAAGAGAGGGTCTATTAAACTGCTATTAATTTCCCCTTCATTAGAAAGAGCTTAATGAGGCATTGATGCACATTTTTAACATAAAATCATGCATCAAATTCTTGTACCAAAATGTATATGACAATTAAAATAATAATCAACAATTGATTATTGTGGATTAATTGGAGTAATCTATGTACATTTGTTTTTCTTAGCTACTTAATTTATGCTGATTTGTTTTCTTGATTTCCAGCAACAACCAAAACATCTGCAGACACCAAATTTGTCTGATGAGTAATTACAGCCATACTACTCACAAATGTACTTTATTTTGAAAGATATCCAAAGGAAGTCGCTGTATTAACGCAATCGTCGCACACGGTCATGATGCATTCGATGGCCACTGAAAACTCGGAATTCTTCAAATTTGCCCTGTAAAATGAAAGAGATCCTCAAAATACAGTTTGGATGTCTTCTTCAAGTGTAGGGTTTGCCAACCCAGATTATGGCATTTTAGTTTTGTGAATATGTGTGGACCATTCGCTATGTTTGTGAGCGTTTAATTTCCCCAGAAAAGTAATAAATCACAAACGGACGGGCACGAACCCTCACATTTTGAGCGATGAGTGTACGGAGGTCGAATGTGACGTAAATGCGCACTCTGACTCTTCGCTTCCGAGTTACCCAAATACAACTACATTGAAGTTCCGCGTGTGTATTTTTGAGCGTATAACTATCATAGAAAATATATACTTAAAGGTCAGGTGTACCCATGGGGGGTAAAAACAAACAACGAACAAAAGGAAATGTTCGGGTAAGTCGCTATTGATATGTGACCCAGTATTGAAGTAGCAAACGGGGCTAGCAACAACACGAGCTGTAGCTCCAATGTGGATTTTGGGGCTATGAGCTGACGCAACGTGTGGCATAAACCTGTTTGATAACAACCTTTTTTTTGCCTGACAATAAATCCTCTGTTGCAATGTTGTCTAATATCGTACATTTCCCTCCCACGACTAGCCGTCTAGCAGTGGCCGAGCTGCGGAGGTTCTGACCCGGGAGGGTGGCATCATCCCGGGCTTCATAGGGTTTGGCTCCACGGCCACTTCTGAGCTGAGCTATGTTCCAGCTGTACACGGAGCAGAGGACATAGACAACCTGGTGGATGCAGATTTTCGCTTGGTGCTGCGGAAACTGTCAAAGAGGGATGTAGTCACAAGACTGAAAGTGAGCCCAAACTTTGACTGCTAAACATACAAAGTTCAAGACGATAAAACTATATGCATAGAACATCCGCAGGATAAAACGTATGCAAGTCTAACCAGTTTGATACCTAGATCTACATTTTGTTACTAACAATATAAAAACATGTAAACATCAGTTTCCCATCTGATCAGTTAAAATTCAAATGTGTTCAGTAACAAAGTGTGATCTTCTCAGGCTGTTCAGGACTTTGGATCCATGTGTCAGGAACGGGATGCTGAAGAGGTTAAAGGAGTTCTGCCATACTGGCCGAGGATTTACTGCAAAATATCAGTGGTGAGCTGGTCCCTCACAGGGCCCTCATTAAATGACTCAACCAGTATCATCAGCTTACACATACCGTTTCTAAAGATAGTCCAACTTTACACCAAAAAACAAACAAGAGAGGTCATTCCACCATCATGGCTGAGAGTTTTGTCTCCATCATTAACTCTGTTAGGATCACGATCGTCGCATCAGAGAGGCCACGCAGCAGGCATTTGAACAGCTGGTGCTCAAAGTGCGACGGAGTTTGGCCCCCTTTCTGAAGAGTTTGATGGGCCACTGGATTCTGTCCCAGTGTGACACTTACACACCTGCAGCCTCCGCGGCGTGCCAGGCCTTCCAGGCTGCTTTCTCGCCCACCAAGCAGCCTGAAGCTCTGAGCTTCTGCAAGGATGAGATCCTCAATGTGAGAAGTAGTGGTGGGTTTAGTGTAGACTAATAAGGTCTTGCTCTAATATACTGAGTTGAACTTGAAATAACTTTTCTTTTTCGCAGGTGCTTCAGGATATTTTGTTAAAGGAAACAGCGGACACATTAAGCGATCCACAGTACGTTGTTTTTGCTAGTTTCTGCGTTTATGTAAGAAACGTTCTAGAGTCAAATGTTTCCTCTTTTTTTACAGAAGTGTTACGGAGGAGGAAAGAGAGGCCAAGTATGTTCGCATGCTGACCAGCGCCCTGTTAGGGGTGAGAAGACTGCTCTCCCTGCTGCTTCAGAGTGACAGGGTGGCCCTCGAGGAGAGACTGACACAATTCGTTAGTTCTGGGAGGTTTTGGAAATACAGCAAACACAAGACACCACAGGTACATATGTAATGTAGTTTAATGGAGAAAAAGTAAGGTGCTGATGGTTTAATTATTCAGATTTATTTCCCAGTTGTAAAAATCTGAATTTTAGATTTAAGGGTGCAGATCCAAATGTATGATATATATTTTATCAGAGAGGCTTTCTTTTTCATAAGATACAATATAATAGTTTTAAAAAAAATCACAAAGATATTTGCATTTAATATATCGTGATTTTAACATGTGGTAATACAGTTTGACATGTTTAGCACATTTATGTTTATGTGTCTTATTTTAAAGAGGCTATCAGGTTCCCTCTCTTTTTGGGCTGCATTTGAAAAGCAACACATTCTTATCTAAAAACAAGCACGCAACATATGTGCAATAACCTGCTTTTAGGATATCTCACTTCAACTTCTTCTGTTGCTCCACAGGTGCGAGGGGCCTTTTTTGAGATGGTGTGTGCTCTGTGTGAGTTTACTCCAGAACTGGCCAAAGCTGAGGCAGCTCACCTCTGCCCTGCTGTTCTCCTGACTATAGACGACACAGATCCTGTTGTGCTGCCTCCCGTGTGGGAAGCTGTTCTCCATGTGGTGTCTACTATTCCTGTAAGCTAGCGTTGTTAGATTAATACAACTCATCAAAGCTGTCATACCAGTCTTATTTCTAATTATTTTATCTGCAATTACCGTTGAGCCAACAGACATTGAAAAGAAGGCAGATTGTCTACGTTTAAAGAATGAGTTTCCTGTTACCATTGCAGGACTGCTGGACACACGTCAATGGCAAAAAAGGCTTCCTACCCAAACTTTGGGCTCTATTGAGAGATGGTGGTAAAGGCATGGCCAAAGCACTCCATCCAAATCTGCTGCCACTTCTCAGCAAGTTGCCAGAACAGGTCACAGATCCAAGCTTGGACTTTTACACAACCTTCTTCACTGCCTTCATACAAGGGTAAAATGCTTATCTTATCATTTCTTAGAATTGTTCTTATGTAAAAAAACAATTTTCCGTTTTGCTTCATAGACTATTTGAATGACTCATCGAGTCCTTTGTGCTTCTTAACATTGCAATATCTTTGGTTACAGTTATGCCCTTCACAATCTTGTTACGCGTTGGTTATTCATATTGACTTGTTTTGTTAGCCTGTCTAGTGAGCGAGCAGCGACAAGCCCATCAGAAAGCGCGCTGATCGTGACCTCTTTTGTTGAGTGTTTGCGGTATTGCATACTGAGAAATGCAGAAGAAGAGGAGTACCAGGGAAAAATAAGGAGCATGCTTATTTTACAACAGGTACTCTCACAGAGTTGTAGATAATTTCTTACGCTACGTTAACCTTACTGAATTTTCAGATTATTATTGTACTGCCGTTTTGCAGCTCCTGCCTTTATTGGAAAAGGCTCTCAAGGATCCTTCCCTTCAGAATGGTCCTCTTTTCCTAATGGTCACTGAAATGCTGATTTCCTGGGAGAAGAGGGCTGGTTTGCATGGTGAAGTCAAGATAAATGATGGCAAGGACATCTTTGAAAGACTTCTGGCAGACTTCTGGGAGGAACTCGGCCTTTTGTTTGTGCGATATATTGACAAAGAGGAAGCAGATTCCCAGATTCTGGAAGGGGTAGCCATCTTGCTGCAGGTAAATTCTTCTTTTTAGAAAGCAGTGGTCCAAAATAAATATATCACCATAACAATTATGATTTGTAATATTATTATTCAGACAATCTCAGATATATTCCCTGCTGAAATATCTGTTTTGACAAGTAGTGTATAGATGGAAGATAAGGATGTTTTTGTTTTTTTCTTTCTCTAATACATGGCCAGTGCCGTTTAGTTAAAATAATGTTTTCCCTTGAATTTCTCCAGGTTATGCGTTACCCTGAAAAAGCGAGCAAAAGACACACCCAGAAGAAGAAGTCTGTCAGGATGCATATACCAAAGTCAGAGGAGGATGAGAAGCCTGGAGTTGAGGGAGATGGGAATGAGAATTATGCCCAGACTGTGTCGGAGCTCGTGAGTGAGCGAGCGTTTGGATCCCTGCAGACGCAGCATTTTGAAGACGTCGTGTGCCAACTGACACAACTGTGCCTGGTGCATGTCAATGAGAAAAACTCAGAGAGACATCTTGTTTTCCTCTCCCTTCTCTTGCGATCTTTCCACACACCTACGGTCTTTAGTGTAAGTCCTGATATTTTTTTTATGCCGAATATGATCAATTCCGACATTTATTGCTAATACAGATGATGATTAATTATATCCAATGATTTTGAAGTTCAGGGTAAAAACTTCAGTTCGGAGTTAAATTTATAACGTTTTTGATATTTCCCACCTCTATAAAATTCCTTAACGCTTTAACATTTTCCTGATTCTGTGCCTGCTTTAGACCTTGGTTGAATTTGACAAAAAACCAACAGAAGATGATAAGCAGAGAAATGAGGAGGTGATGAAAAATCCAGCAATGCAGTTCCTCCTGGAGCGAGTGGTGGTTTGGCTGGCCGAAACGGGGCGCACTGACACTGAGCACCTGGTGGAGATGGTTTTCAGCTCGCTGTACTGCTGCAGCCGTCAGGAGACCACCCGCATCCTCAACCACATCACCACGGTAACAATGGCTTTATCTTTTATCGATTCAACTTGAAATGCGACCTGTTTCTGTCATTGACATTCTCTGTACTCTGCTTGTAGATGGGCTTACGTTGGGGAATTATCCTGCAAATTATCCAGAGGGTATGTCTGATTCTTTTAATGTACTGTTTTAATCCAATGGTGTTCCTGACCTTACCATCACCGTTGTCCGTCTCACCAGGCATGTAAAGATCCTGGAACTTTAATAAACTGCAGAGATTGGCTTAAGGGTTCAGTTCTGGGCGAGCAACTCCTGGTACTGACGGCGGAGCTCTGCAAAATGGGGAGCAGCTCTCCCACCTCTTCTTCAAGCAGCCACAGCTGGACACTTGTCAGTCTGGTCCTCTCTCAGAAAGACAACAATGGTGAACCTCTTTTTTGGACTCCAAATGTACTTTCTAAATAGATTTAATTCTCAACCACCAAATGAGGCAACCTTTTTCTTTGAATTTGCAGAGTCCCTCATAGGAGAGGTTTACATGGAGAAGATCTTAGAGAAGCTCCACACAACTCTCTCTGAGACAAAGACTCTGTCAGACGCCGGCAACATGGAGCCGCTCGTCTCCTTCATCTGTGATGTGGCCTCCTCTTTTTTCTCTTCTGTACAGGACTGTCTTATGCTCCTCTCCGCTGAGGAGCTGTTGCTCACTGTGTTTGAACTCATTGCCCAGGATCAAAGGCACACTCATCTGTCTGGTGGGTACTCCTGCAGTGTTGTCTGTAATTTTCCGCCGTGTTAAATAACTAATTTTTGTTGTTGTTGTTTTTGAAGACTCCCTTCTGGATAAACTGAAGAATGTATGCGCAGCTGGGGTCAAGTCCTTGGTGCAGCACTGTGATTATGAGGTCCAGGAAGGTGGTTTCCTGCACAGTGCTGCTGTTTGGGTGACGAAGCAACTGCTAAATGTTTCACTAGATATTAAAAGGTAACTCAGAAAGTCTTCAGTGAAAACACATCTCGCTTGAGCTCATGTTAAGCCATTTTCTTTTCAGTTTGCAGGTTCTAGTAGCAGCCGTACAAAGTTTAGTTGAGACAATCATTTCAGTTGGCGATCAGGCCACGCCCATCCTCATCCACTTCTTTACCCTGTTGACACCAAATCAAACAGAATGGACGACAATCAGAAAGGCTCTGCCTCCCCAGGTCAGGAAGTCTTAAAATGAGGTTCAACCAACAAAATACTTTATGTAAACCTGCAGGCAAAAACGTTTACTTTCTTTTTTCTTTTTTAAGTGGGTGAAAACACCTTTACTGTCCCGCCGTCACCGTGCAGTTTGTGCAAAACCGTCCAAGCATACATGGAAGTTTCAGGAGTTTCATAAACTGCCAGCCCACCTGTGTGTCTCTGCACTCTTGGGAAGAGTTGCCCAGATTGCTGCAACAATTATATTTGGTGGCCAAAAGGAAGTGGACTGCCCTTCACTCCTACCAAACCTAACAGACACAGGTACTCTTCCAGGATGGGAGATTCACTATATATTTCACTTATAGTGTATTAAAAATATTTTTGTGTGTGTTGTTGAAAGCCATGTGATATTTTCTTCTTTTATACAAATTCTTTTGTTTTTTTGTCCAGTTTCAGAACTGCTGTATGCTCTACAATGGTGCAAAGAGCTCCAGTACAGCCCAACGCTCGTGTCTGCCTATCACAAGCTACTGACTGAATGGGGACTTTCTGATGGACTCCATAGTCAGGTCCTAACGACAACCCTTCTAGAGACACTCTATTCAAGGTGTGGTTCACAGACTTATCCCATCATAAAAGAGGAGATTAGCTTATCTCTGGACAGTGAGAGGAAACGGGCTGTTATGAGAACATTATGTTATTTGAAAGTTCTACAGAAACTTTTTTTTTTTTTTGTAATCCACATCTATGAATTGAGTATGTAATTACAGGGTCATCTGCTGGTCTCTAAAAAGGTTTATCACAGATTGATGTGTAGATATTACATTTTTCCACTTCTAAACAAGAAAGCAAACTTCCATAAAGATCTCAGGCTATTATTAAACAAGATCCACTGACTGCCTTGTTCTTGGTTTGGTACCTTTAAGGTCAGTGATGGATGGAGGTCTGTGGTCTCTGACTCTAGAACACTACATCCACTCCAACGACTTGACGGCCACTCACTGTGCAGCCCTCAGGAAACTTTATGGGAGTGCAGACAGGTCAGTAAACCATCAGATAACATAATTAGGGTGCCTATTATTTCATACTATTTCACTTGCTGCATTTTTTGCTTTGAGCAGTTTGTTTCCAGTGTCTCAAAGCAAGCTGAGCACACTTCAGGTGCTTTGTCCCGCTATGACGAGTGACGACAGAGAGACTCTCATCACTTTGGCAACTGCTGGATTAGTCAACTGGCAGGAAAACGACAGTGAGAAATGCACACCGCAACAGTTGCATATATATTCTGGAACTATTTAAGCCAGTGCTAATTTTGGCCCTGTGTGGCAGATGTGTACGGATGCCTGGCTGTGCTGCTGTGCTGCCTGAACGTGAACACACATGTGGAGGAAGAAGTTGTGCAGGCCATCCTGGCCACTGTGATGGAATGGAGGAATAGCAGGGAGGACTGGTTCCTCTTCAGTTGGTAACGTATTTATATGTTTTGAAGTCATTCTCAGTTCTGTGAGGGTTTTGGTTCCTGATATAAGAAATCTTATGGCGCCTCAAAGGGTTACATCCATTTAGGTGAAAAAGGGATGATCAGGAAAATGAACGGGTGTAGTGTTAGTAGTGTGGCTCATCAATGCTTTTTCAACGGATTAGTAAATGTGTCAAATGTTGTATTTCAGTGATCTGTCTGAAGCAGCGTCTGAGCAGTTGAACCTTAACGTGGAGATGATGCGTTTCCTGTCCTGGCTGGTGACTCATTGTCCAGCCGTTCTTGGGGGGAGCCAGTGGGACTTTTTGCTCTGCTCTATGTTGGCATGGCTGGAGGTGAAATGCGACTCAAACATATTCTTGTATATTGTAGTAGATATGAGGCCACAGTCTGACTTTTTTCTGCCCGTTTCTAAATGTAGACCTCCAGTGAGAGTGTGCGCAGTCTGTGGAACCCTTGGGTTCAGGTGTTTGTGTGCGAGACGGCAGCACTGGTGGTGAAGCTAAACCAGTTCTTCGCCTCATCTGCGTCTGACGTGATGGAGAAGCTGCCATCAGAACTGGCTGGTGAATGGAACGATTTCTTCGTAGAGGGAATCTACAACCTGTTGCTACCTTTGCCTGTAAAAATTGCCGGTATGTGTGCAAGTTTATTTTCTGGAAGTTTTTATATGACCTTTTTTTATTTTTTTTACACCTCTACCCCTGATTAGTAAGTTATATCTTCAGAAGATTTTCTGGTAAAAATCTAATGATGTAACTTGGTCAACTCTACTAAACTAGAATTACCAAATGAAACAACAGGAAACAAGCTCACTGAGCATGTCACTGCTGGATTTAAATGGGAAAAACTGACTTCACAGAGCTTTTGTTAGGAGTAAATAGAACTGTAAAAAAAGAATAACAGAAAAAGATAACAGATATTGTGCTCACCATGAGAGAGACAGATTTCTTCTTTTTTCCTCATCACTCGTCAGATTTGTTTCAGAATGTTTGGCTGCTCAGGTTCATAATCAGAAAATGATAAACCTGGTATCTGAGCACCACTTGATGACCTGCAGTTTGAAAAAAGGATTATCTATCTAGGTTGCAGAAATTATTGAGCTTTGTTTGAATACTGATACCAGATTGTTGCATGCTGAAATGCGTCAAGGAATGGGACAATATCACAGCTTTTTTAAATCGGCTTGTGATTTCTACATGCGCATGACTCCACATCCGATGCGATGACCACAAATTACCCTCACTGCTCCCACACACTGGAAAGGCCACAACAGATAAACTAATTGAACACAATCGCGTGGCTGCGTAAGCTGTGATTGTGGTTCGGATTTGAAATCGCACCCAAAAGAGAGCCCAATCCTTTTACATGTTTTTTTTTAATTTATTTATTTGCTTACTTACTTACCATTTCTAGGGATACCTTACTTAAATGTATTTAATAGATCATGTTAATAGATAATGTCATGTTTCCTTCTGTCTTTGAATGTAAAATTTGATGTTGCAGGCTGAATTCTTTTTTTAACTGCATAACCTGTGGTCTTTACTCAGAGGCCTTCACTGAACCAGATGACCCAGTGTTCCCCACGGCCGTGCTGCAGTCAGTAGGTTTGGCTCTCACTTATATCCCAGTGCAGCAGCTAAACCAGAATTCCCTGCCACCTCGGTTCATAGCAGACCAAAAGACAAACCTGCCGGAGCCTCTGCAAACGCTCCTCAACACTTTGTGCCCTTTGCTGCTGTTTAAGGCCAGGCCTCTGCAGATCACTGTGTATGACTTGTTAGAAAAGTGAGTATTTCATTTTTAATTCACTGTTTATATCTGGATCTTTTTCCTTGAACTGAAGGTTTAGCTATTAAGCAACCTATTGGAAGGTTATATTTTACCTGTGCTAATATCTCAAGAGATGCTGGCACAGGTTAGCTAACATTTAACGTGTATACATTTTTGATACAGGGTCATGTCTCAGCTGCCTGAGTGTGATGGAGAGGGAGACAACAATAAATGTGATGATGATAGAGATGAGCCGTGTCTGTAAGTTGCTAAGGGGTGGGGGAATCTTTGGGTTTTCCGCACTCACTTCATGGTCAGTATTTAGATTTTTCCCTTGAATGTTTTTTAAATTGCTCTAAATGCGGCTTGTTTGCTCTCAGTTCTCCCCCAGCCTCGCTCATGGCCATCCTGTCAACCTGTGAAGAGCTGTGTGATAATATCCTGGCTGCCGTTCAAGTGGGGGAGTTTGCAGTGGTCCAGCCCCTGAGTGTGGAGTACTCCTGCATCCTGGGATACCTGCTGGCATGGAAGCTGCTTCTCACTTTCTTTAAATCGTCACCCTCCCATGTGAGCCATGAATGTTAATTTATGCAATTACCTTTGACTCCTTTAAGTATAGTTATGAGTTAATGCAAAGAAGCAGGTGTCTCAAGTTCTGCCCTGAGAACTGGTCATGAAGGTTTTGTCAGAGTTCTGAAACCTTTTCTCAACCATCTCCAGTTGCGTGCTCATTATGCTCAGTACCTGAAGAGAAGCTGCTCCCTCCACAAGCTGCTCCTCCATCTCTTCAAGCTGATGCCCGAAAGCCCAACCTGCCCAGGCCAGGGGCCCGAGACAAAGGAGATCAAAACCTTCTTTTCAGAGAGCCTGCTACTGACAGTTGCTGGTAAGTAACGCACACATCAGCACAGTTTCTGCACTTTGAAACCAAACGCCACAGCGTGTCTTTTTCTGTGTTTTCCTGGCACAGAGTGTAACAGCGCTGAGTGGGAGCTCCCTCACCTGGCTTGCAGTGTGTATTACAGCACGGTGCAAGACCTCCCTGCCATGGTACGGCTGTGGTGGAACAGCCAGGAGAAGAGAGTGAGCGCAGCCGTGGAGAAGTTCACCATTAAATACGTCAGTCCTGTACTGTCAGCCCAGGAGATCGCCTCTGTTCACTCAAGCACTCAGATGTTTGAAAACATGACTGTAAGTTAGAACATTTTTGAGTTAAAAAAAAATCTTAAGAATTGCTTGTGTTCTGAATTTGCCAATGTATTGTTAATATCCTTATGCTATTTTTTTACAAAAGAAAAACAAATCCTCTCATCTCTTCTTTGACCTAACTGTAGAAATCTGCAGTTCCGTTACCTCCTGCCCATAGTGCAGAATGTAGTATTAAGCTGATGCCATTTTGGAACACCTGCCTCACATTTGCTGTATAATGATGCAGAAACAATAGCTTATGTTAAACTGAAATTAATGGGCTAATTTGTGATGAAAGCATTGGCTTAATCCTGTATGATCCTGGCATTTAATTGTGCAGCCGTTGTCTGATTAGCCAACTTAACAGAATCTTTGTCTTTTTGGCTCAGGTCAAAGCCCGCTCAGCAGCTCGAGAGGTGATCGCCACATACTCTGTAGATGACATCTTTATCGAGTTGGTGATTCAGCTGCCGCAGAACTACCCTCTGGGCTCCATCGCTGTGGAGAGTGGGAGGCGTGTGGGCGTCGCCGTGCAGCAGTGGAGGAACTGGATGCTGCAGCTGAGCACCTACCTCACACATCAGGTAGAAACACAAGCAGTGGATGTTATCACAAGAAGTTTATTCAGTAAAAAGGGAAAGTTTTTACTGTTGAGCAATATTCTAGCTCTTAGTGAAGCTAGAAACATTTTAAACATCAAAGCAGTTGAAGACCAAAGACTGTGAAGAGAAGGATGTTGAAACAAAGACATGTAAGCATGCGTTTGTGTGTGCAGAATGGCAGTATCATGGAAGGTCTGGCTCTGTGGAAGAACAACGTTGATAAGCGTTTCGAGGGAATAGAGGATTGTATGATCTGCTTCTCAGTTATTCACGGCTCCAACTACTCTCTGCCTAAAAAGGCTTGTCGCACCTGCAAGAAGAAATTCCACTCTGCATGTTTGGTAAGATATACACACATCTGAAGATTGGATTAAAAGAATGCATTGTCACATTATTTCTTATCTATTTGATCAGCTTCTATTTGTATTGATATTTTGATTTTTTCCCCCTCTTTCTACAGTATAAATGGTTCACATCCAGTAACAAGTCCACCTGCCCACTCTGCAGAGAAACATTCTTCTAACCGTTGGCTCTGAAAATAAACCAGGACTGGACATGCAATGGAAGATTATTGTTGAACTCATGTAGATATGATTTTTAACTCAGTGGAGCATCAATGGGTTCAGGAAATCTTGGGAAAGTGTGAAGTACAGCAGCATCAAGTACATACAGTTTTTGTACAAACATGCCCAAACACAGTTTTGTTGTAAATAGGCTCCAAGTTCCTTGCTGCATTTCACATTCCCAGATTCACTGATAATTTTATCATTTTTTTATTTCTTACTTTTGAATCCACATATAGGCAGAAGAGGGCGATTCACAGTATAGTTAGGAAATTGAAGGTGCTTCAATGAATTTGGAATTGGAAGTTGTTTGAATCATTGCAATGTGAACGACAGTATACATAAATAATTCCTAATATTTAGGAGTGGAGAGACAATATGTCTGATACTTGACATGCATTTCACCTTAAAAAACCCCAAATGATTGTGTTGGGAGGCCTTTCTTTATGTCAAATGCTCCCAAATATCAGAACATAAAATTATATGTCGTACCCTGTGTATGCATTCAGCTGTAATGATGATGGGAAAATAATTAAAAGGCAATTGGCTAGATATCATTCATGGACTAGATGTCTTTGATTCAGCAGAACACCTGGCAGATACAGCACATGTGGCTAATAGGACATTCCCTCTGTCATAGGTGTATTGTTTTTACACATATGAAATAGGGGTTTAGACATGCTTCTTCTATTTGTCCAAAAATGAGTTTTTCTTTCAATCATTAAGACTTGTATATGAAGAAAATAGTAGAAAAGTTAAATGATGGATCCACTGGGTCACGGCTACAGATTTGGTTTTGACTTGTACTATTTGTTCTGTTCACTAAAAGCTAACAAGTTGCCTCATTGCCTACAGAGGGCAGCATGTATTTGACATTGTCTTTCCTAGTTGGCTTTGCCTAAAGTCAGTCGAAACAGATCTCCAGAGCTTCAGTGAACTGTTTTGTCAACTTGAGCCTCCAATTACACTTGCAGAATAGTGTTTCCAAGCAAGACCTACAGTGAGTAACCTGTGCTGGATTCCAAGAAAAGATTATAATTAGCCTCAGCCCTTGACTGCTGCTCCAGTCTCCCAAGCTCATTTATCTTGGGTCCACCTCTCCCTCATATTGAATAATTTATCTATTTAATGGAGACTTGCTCTCATCATAGTTGTTCCTATGGAATTAATTATGACAGATTAAGCATGATCAATGAATTGGGCCCTATCATTTGTTCTCCTGTCTTGCGTGCGCGCAAGCGTGTGCGCATTTGTTCATTACTGCGGTCAAAATGTATCAATACAAACAACCAACATCCATCATCATCTGCCCTTGACCTTTTTAATCGCCATTGATCTGTTTGCCAGGCATAAATATTTATACTGAAATCTCCTTCTCTCACGGGTTTCGACAGAAACACTCACACCGACAGCCTCAAGTCTTATTGCTCATTATCTGCTTGATTAAGCAGCGGAGCAAATGTTATGAACTACAGTACAGTTCTCTGTGTGTAGCTTATTCTTTACATAACAGCAGTTGATCCTCACCAGAAGATGGCAGTGTTAGCACAAACACTGGCTGCTAGCCTCCCAGGGAGTCTAAAAGCTGACACAAACGAAAAAGGCCGTCCTGGTTTAGGCTATCGGGGGAAGGGCTGCTCTCTACGATCAAATTCGATAATGAGAAAAATGTCTTCTTTTGTTACGTGTCCAATTGGCCAAGAATAATTCAGATGGAATAAAAGTGGGTTAACTATGAATCCCACTGGGTTATTCTCTCAAAACACTGAGAAATAAATGCTGTTATACCTGTATGATGATCAAGCTTTTTGGACAGTGACAATGAATCATATGCTGTGTATTATCTTTTTTCTTTTTTATAGAGTAAATGTTTCCCTCCATCCATTTTGCTGTCCTCTTACAATGACCTACTTGCATGAAACTGCTGAGGTACAACAAGCTAATAAGCAGACACCGTGTCAACGACCAGTCAGATCACTGGCCTCTGTGGTCTTATAGCCCGATTGGTGCAAACTTGGTTACTTCATAATTAGCCAGGCCTGGTTGGCTTTCATTTAGTTTCCTCTGACCCATTTGCAAGCCTATTAGTATTCCAAGCCATTTGTGGGGAGGCTAGAACCATCCTGGTCACGCCATTCTGCAACACTGCAGGCAACTGCTCAGCTCTAGAAATGACTTGGAATTACTGTGTGTGTTTGTGTTTTTGTGCATATAGAGGATAATGCACCCATCAGTATGGCTGTTTATATTGGTTCTATTAATATGGATGCCACACAGTCACTCTGTTTTCCTATGTGCAGCTGGTCTGCCTCATCTCCATTTCCTTGTGTCTCTCTTTCAACCGGCTTATAATCAATACGTGAATTTGAATGTGATCCTCGAAATATATTGGGTTCCCTAATCCTACAATAAAGCAGAGAACCTTTCTACGTGTCCTATGCTCTTAATTGCATTCAACTCGCATTCACAAGGATCAATTTTATTAACATTTGCTGTTTTCTTATAATGAAGGCAATAAACAATGATTATTGACCCCGGTCTATTGGCTCTGAGACATGCATTTGTATTAGCCATTATGACTGGGAGAGGCTTTTTGGTCGGCCACAGTTTAAATCAACTGTTATTGGTCTGTCATCACGTACAGGCCTTTTATAGTTTTCTATTACAGCTGCCATGTTACTGCAGCGGTGGAGCAAACTAAAGAACAGGTGACTGAGTGTGCTGCTTTCAGAAGCCTCACACTGGGAGTCAGAACCACACAGAATAGATTGGAAGACACTAAAGTAAAAAAATGAGCAAGCTGAAGATGAATTCTTATGTAAGAAATCATGTTTTAACTAGATCTGTGGCAACAGTAAAGACAGCTTACTTAATTTGTTTGGGTCATTATTTTGATAGGTAAATGTACATGTTCTTTTTAGGAAAATACATGTTTTCCATGTTACATTGAATCAGAGTGAAGAGTGTTAGAGTTATCTTAAGCCCAAAGAAATATGAACACAATCTATGCATGACCTGATCCTTTTAGATGCCACTGGGACAAATACATGAGTGGTGCTTCCTGAATGTTTTAGCTAGTGTTGGTTACGCATGCATATGAGCTGGACAGTACGGGTTCACTGAGTCACCTTATGACTCATTGCAGAGGTAGCAATTAACCCATCGAAGTGCACCTGAGACAGATCTCTATCATGCCCTATCCACTAAATTTAGAGACCCATGGGCTTGTCCATATATCTTACAAATGCTCTATATATTGTTATAGAGGCTAAGAAAATGGGCTTCCATTCCCTTTGGCAAAATTTGATTTACTGTGCTATTTAAATGGCCTCACTTTCAGGGAGGCCAGTGCTTCCACATCCAGCCTGCGGGCCTTTAGATAATTTAAGCTGTAAAGTAACAACATACTTAACATACACCAATGAAAGTGCACTGCGAACACAGCAGTCCAAATGAAGTTCTGCATTACGATGAAAGAATTTGGACCTTTTGTTTTAGTGCAGTTGTCAGTTAGTTAACCCACAGCTATGTTTCAGGCCAGAATTCTCAAGAGATGAATCCCTTGAACTTTAGAGATTCAGTTACCTTTTTCCTCCGGGATACCAACCTCTTTGGTCTCAATTAGTTTCATAACCTGCTCTAAAATTTGGTACGGACATTAATGAATTGTAAAGACTTTGTTAACTTGTTTATGACCAAATACCTTCAGCAGGATGTTTAGAATACAAGATGACAATAGACGCAAAACAAAAGCATGAGATAATCAAGTTGAAAGAAGATAACAAATGGTGAACACAGACAAACATCACAATAAATGAAAAGTAAAGCAATGTGCATTCAGCCAAAAGACAAAAACATCACAGCAAAACTACACTGTAGGGATAGACCAAAAATAGGTCATTGATTGAGTCTTGCCTTTTAAGGCTGCTGATTCCAAAGTCAAAGGTTACTGATGGAAAAAGTGAGGCCACTTCTGGATTTTAGAGTCAAGTTTTTGGGTTGCCAGAATAACTGAGGATTTAAAGCTGCAAGCACTCTCATATGGAGGTCAACATTTCTGCTTTGTAGCTGGAAGCGAGATCCAGCTGTGCTTTGAAAGTGCTCTAAAACGAACACTTAGAGAATGAATAGAAGTGAAGATTTGGGTTATCATGTTATGTCATCTGCTTAGATTCCAGGGCTAACCGTTGCATTCTGAGAGATACAGTATAAGAATGATTTCTAGTCTGTGACTCAGAGGGGGGTGCCTGAATGGTCAAGAATTGCAAATAACATTTTCAGTATGAGCACTCTCAGTATGATATAGATTTAGTTTGGTGGGCTTCATGTGATGATTTCCAGTAGCTGAGTTGATGAAAAGGAATTCAAACAGTGTGCAACAGGCTTTTCAGTTGGGAGGGTTTTAATTTGTATAGCAGTAGAAATATATGCTTTGCTAATGGGAAATTGGGCACACAAAAATGCAATGCAGCCCACACTTTCTCAGGTGAGTCTACTCAGGGGCTGTGGGCGATTACACAATCAATCTCATAACCTGAGCTACCTGAAGCTACTGTTGCTACCTTCACTAAACTAAAGATAACTTCACCACCATTAAACAAAAAACAAATGAAAAAATACAATTAAACAAGTAGCAACTGGGTCTGTGTCTACATCCAAAAACAGACGACTAGAATTTAAACTAATGTGCGCAAAAAGATCTAGAATATGGTATGAGGTAAAACCTTTAAGGTTTCATTTGAAATTTTACACTTTGGTATATGATATTCTTCCTGTGATCCATAATCTTTCTGGAACCTTTTGTCCACTGCTGTTCAGAAAACTGTGAACTTCCATCATAACCCTTCCACCAGACCCTATCTACCTTAACCGTAACTTTCAGTATGATAATGAACATGTTAAATGTAATCAAATCAGTCAGATGTCCTCTTTAGATGAAACACCAGCACCCTCTCAATCTTTCCACCCATAAAAGCATCACATTAGTAGACGTTAACAATGACAGAGTAATTGAGTAGTCGTATGTAAAATACCATGGCTAGAAAATTTCTAAGTGATCTAGACATAATTTTAGCTCTTGCAGTCATTGTGCTACCTGTTCCTGTCTGCTTGTCCCAGCTGTATTATTTACTGTCTTGAGTAAATCAAAATATGATCCCAGCTGGTTCTGCTTGTCTACATCAATCATCCGAATAGCGCACCTGATAAACAAGTATAGAGAGGAGTATGGCTTCATGTAGTGCAGCAAACTGAGAGAGAAAGCATCAGATTCATGAAGATTTTAACAATTAGGTAAATCCTAATTGGCAATTACTTTGATTTGTAATCCTAAAGATTTTTAATGAGCTCATTTAATGGTGCCACTGAGCATGATGGAGTATGGTAATTGGCTTTTATAAGATGTGTAAAAATCTTCATTTGCATGTGAGGTGGGTGGTGCTACTTATTTGCCGAACCATTATGGACTATTAAGAGAAGGCATTTTTCTTCAGAGGAGCTTCAGGAGGGAATGTCTAAAACTCCAGACAAACTCCTTTGGATGAAAATAGAG